TAAAGTTAAGTCCTATAAAAGAAGGCCTATAAAAGTTCTATATAGGAAATTACTTTCTTTAATGAATGAAAGACGTAAACCGAATTTATTGTAGCCTATAATTTCCTCTTCTCTATCTCAGCATTAGACCATTTGAACAGAACTATTCAAATCTAAAGCTGTTACTATCTAAAACTGTCTTAGGTCAAACTTGTAAAAGCAAAACATTATAATGTAACATAGATAGAAAATTTGATTACATTTTAACTAAATTTTCACTTGTTTAGGCAAAGCCGTGAGGGGGCGTGGTCTGCGGTCTGGCGCCGCCCTCACTGTGAGCGCACGGAGCCAGACTCGTGCAGCAAAAGGGCGCTCAATACAAACCACGAGAGACGAGCTTCTGCAGCACGAGGGGCACGAGCTCCGCATCACGAGGGGACATGACACAGCCACACTGCGCCCGGTACGTCCTTAATCCATTATTTTATGTTTAGAAAGATTATTTGAAATGACGTAGCCTAGAAATGTAGAGTTGAAAATGTATTTGATAAAGATGTGGAGGGGCACGTCAGCTAAACGTTCCGGTGTTTAAGGACTTAAATTGTAAGCTACAGAAAAGGTTACAATGCCACAGTTACATAAATGTGTCATTAATTTGATTAAAAAAACATTTTAAGACCAGATATTCCTCAAATCAAGTAGCCTGTTTAAATGTCAAGCATGACAAACATATAAAACACGTGTCATGTGTTCATGTGAGATCAAGGTAACATATATAGCCAATGCCTTTAAAATGGCTTTATTTATATTTCTGAAACTGATGACTTACTGATATTAAACCAGTAGTGGTTATTTTATGGATTTTATGTGGGGCATGTGTATTTTGAGCTATCTGTGATTACAATTAGGCCTAAAAAGGACAGCAGCTATCAACCCCAAATGATAATGTTAAAGGTACAATATGAGACATTTGTGGTGAGGAATCCAACACTTCCTTCTCTCCAAGGAAATGTGGAATCCAACACGTCCTTCTCTCCAATGAAGTGTTATTGCTTTGTCTGAAATGTTCCAGTATATGACATTAAATTAATCTATAAAGCATTAATTTAAACATGATTTTATTGCACTACAATACTGGGGTCACATCTCAGCTGATCTGTAACTTGGCTCGGTGGTGGCACAGTCTTCTTGACTGCATGGACAGAAGTTTAGTGCCATTCTGTGGGACATTCTAAGCAAAGCAATAACATCTCCATGGAAACAAGCAGGTGGTGGACCCTCATAAAAGTTACATAGAGCACTTTCTGAATTATAATTAGTGCTATTCCATAAATAATGTGAATATTAAATGCTACCTATATGTGAAAGATACATTTCATACTGTCTAAAGTTCATCTTGAGTCTTTCATGTTACTGATGTGGATGATGTCAGGGTGTGTCTTTGAAGACCACGCTGGACAATAGCCTGTCAAACTCATGTCTTATTCCATTAGCCCTGCTCCTGTCTATGTGCCCCTAATGAGAGCAGCCTCTGTGAGAAAACCCTGAGTGTGTCCTTCTCACCACAGATCACGGATGAGTGGGCCGCCGTGGGACAGGGGGCTCCACGCACCTCCTCCCCTCCAGAGCCAGGACGGGACACTGCACAAGGAGAGGCGAGGAACAGGCTGAGTAAAAGAAATGTCAAAGATTAGCTGTACAGTGGTGAAAGTCAAAAAGAGGACTAAAACAGAGCTAAATCCATCTAAATCCTATGACTGTGTAAAATCTGTCTCAGATATGATACAACTTTAAAGGTATGACTGATAGAGAGCTTATATTTTTAAAATAACTAAAAACTGATCAATGCAGTGATTATTTTAAATGACTGCTAATGAGATGCAAAAATACAGATAGTTTAACATCACAAGTGACCAAAAGCTCAAATATAAAACTATACAGTTGCTTCTTATAAAACAGCAACAAACAGTGTTGAACACAATGGGATCACAATAGCCATGGAAGAAAGACACACTAAAAGTTACAGTGAATGTTTTGCTGGTAAAATAAAGGCTATATAAATAGGCTATCGTGAAAAGATTACTGAATGCCAAGCAAATTCAAAAATAATTGGTAAAATAGCCTATTCAAATGTAGCACAACCTATATCAAAAGGTTTGCAAAACAACTTTACCGGAAACGTTTAAATAATATCCGAAATATCCTAACATATAAGATCTATAATCAGAAATTTCAGTGAGAAAGAGGGTCATTATATTTTGCAAACTTAAGATAATGAAAAATCATAAACTAGAAATGGGGCTGATATTAATGAGGAAAATCATGACAGTTTGTTTGAATAAAGCATTTTTTTTCTCTTTGTGTGTGTGGTCTTTTTAAATCTTCCAATAAAAATATTTTTGTCTGGTCTCGTTTTTTTTATTTACGCTTCACCATAACTGAAGCTATTTCATTCTTAGCTATTGTGATTCTTTATTATTACAGTTTAGCCTTCATATAAAAGGCATGAATAAACACTAACTTTATAAGGGCTTTTCTTGCACGCGTCCAGCAGTAATCGTTGTAGCACGCGTCAGCCACCTGCTCCTTTACAGATGGGCGTCATCCGCACATTGTCCTTTCACAAATTTACAACGGTTTTAGGCTGGGGTCTGGGAAAAGATTTGGGTTGTTGGGAATAAACATGTAGCCTAGTGGTTGAAGCAAGTTTCAGAATAAAAGCTTGCTGACCGTAGTCTACACAATCATTGCGGCATCAAATATTAGTTTTTATTTTGAAACGTGAATCTCGTTTCGTGCAGCGTCAGTGATAAGTCGCTTGTCAGGCGTAGCGCACCAACTTGTGACTCTCCCTCATTTGAATGTTCCCGCGCAGCAGCTCCAGTGGCAGATGTGTGCGAACAAAAGACTGGCTCCACGCGGATTAATTGAGTCTCATTTGAATAACTGTCGCATGGATGGCGCGTGCAAGAAATCTCCCAGATTTTCCCAGGGTCCAGACAGCCGTTGACACTCAGCAGTGGGTCTATGGTCAACGAGATTTAGCCTGAGTACCCTTGAAGAAAATAAACGAACAGACTACACAGCCACTGCAGGTGCATCAAACTGTAGCTGGTGGTTAATGGGTGAACGGATGCTATATTGGCCTATATATTTGCACATTTAAAGCACCTTTTAGGCTAGAGAGTATCCTGATGTTATAGCACGTGGCTTTATGTGATTATTTTAACGAAATGAAAAATGAAGTGTATAATTAGCTAAACTTGATGTATTTATTTTTGGTCTGTTATATGAATATGAACATTAGTCTATAGGCACTTTTCTGCAGTGCTATACAGGCGACCACAAAAGTCCAGATTTGTGACAGTCCTGAAAGTGGCTCGTGCTGCCCTATCCCCCTGGGAGTGCTAGTACATTAGTGGCCGGTGGGAACAGCGGGTCTAAGTGTCCTGGCGCGCGGTGTCGATGACAGTTGGATTTGTGCAACAGATGGTCCGGAGAGGCACGCGCCATGCACGAGAACAAATTCCCCCTTCACCCCCCTCAGTGGCCTGGACAGACAAATCAATATGCTAATGTGACAGTTTTGACAGAAACATCCCATGTCTAAAATTCTAAAGTTATTTTTCATTAGTTTTTGTTTTTGAAAAGAAATAGCCTAAACCTGCAGGGGGGAAAAACAACCGCATGAAAACCTATTTTAAATAGTGCAAAACACTGAGATATGGCACATTTTGGACATAGCCCATATTAACCTGTTCTTATATTACAGTTAAATTTTAAATTGTATTGTATTGTGGTTCATAATTTGTAAAACAAAAAAGTCTTTGTTTACAGGCCCGACCATTTCTGTTTTTCAATTGATTTACGTTTTTATAAAAAGCTATAAGTGTAATTTACATTGGTTCAATTGGTAGTAGTCACCTGACGGCCTGCAGGTGTGGTTAACCTTGGTGAAGCTTTCCTGCCCTCCTCTGGCCATAACCTGAAGTACAAAATGAGATTCACCACACTTTTATTTGAGGAGCTAGTACGCTTTTGTTGAGATATGCGCAAGGGTCTTGTATTAGGTTTCCAATATAACATAAAGGTCCTCACCCGAAACTTCAGTTGTAAGTCACTTAACTCACATTGTTCATGTGAGACTAGATTGGCATCCGTGTAATAAATAAACAAATAATTAAGCAAGGTAAATAAATACACACATAATCTGAGACAGGTTTGCTGAGTCCTCCATAAAAACAGCAGTAAGCAGTCGAAAGAAAAAAATAAAATCCAAAAAACTGGATGTTTGCTGTAATGTGTATTTGGGACACAAGGTGTCACTGGATCACACCTGGATGACACAAATGAGAGACGGTCTCGTTTAAACTTAGATAAAGTTAACTGTATTGTTAGTTGCGTTTCGCAGTGGCAAAGGATAAGGGATCATATTTGATCATATATTATGGCACCCAAGTTTTCTGAGACTTTAGGTAAAAAGCAAACACAAAGTAGCCTAAGTGACGCATGTTTTGCATGAGCTGATCATGCCCAGCTCCAGCACATCATGTCAATCAGACTGGTCCAAAAAATCATTTAGCTTTCCTCAGTAAAGGCCACATAGCAGAGTGCACTACCAGTTTCACTATAACATAATTTATTAATGAGTACAGACGGCAAGTAAACAACACAGCAGTTCCCACAATCCACAGAAGAATTACAAGAACTCTAAGACTGCAGCAGGATAGTTACTGCTGTGAGAGAGAAAATAATCAAATCAAATAAACAACTAGCCCTAGTTTATGCCTGAGGAAAATAACACTATAACAAATATTTCATTGTTTTTGTATTAGCCCTGAACTATTTTAAAATGTGTTCTTCAAAAGTTCCCCATTAGTTTTCTTGTGCCCAGTGACAGGTAAAAGTTCAAGTTCGCTTCAACTGTAAATAGGCGGGGCCTATGCGCCACAGGAAGTCATCCTACTGCCACTTTAACATGTGAGCCGATTTTAAGAAAGCAACAACCTGCTGCGGCTCAGTGATCCTCCCCTCGATGGATTATTTAACAGGCTGACTCCCATGTTGCCATCTGCCAGAGGACTTTTTCTCAACCTCTAGAAACGCGTTTTTTTTTGTTTTTTTTTGTTTTTTTGTTTTCTTTACTAAGAATTTAAACTTTAAACCAAAAAGAACTGTCTAATTTGTTTTGTGTAGCGCTACCAGTATTGAGCATCTCGCTGTGTACGAGCGCAGGAGCTTCAACTGAGCCCCCGGGGAGTTCGCTCACACAAAGCAAGTTTAGTCTGTCATTCGGGACAAAAGTGGACATAATTCAACATGTAAGACTTCATTTGTGTCACAGACTGAAGCGGGTTGAGGTTATGTGGTGGGTTGTTTGAGCTCCTACACTGACGGGGTTACAGAAGCTTCAGCGGGACCATGGTAATCTCATCCCGGTGAGTGCCGGGTTAGATCAGCAAACCGAGGCGAGAGTCCAGGGTCCCGAGGCCATGGTGGCGGAGGGAGACCGGACACTGCTCGCCGCGCGCCAAGGGGACGTGCAGGCTCTGAAGACGCAGCTCGCGGCCAAAGAGCTCACAGCCGAAGTGAAGGACTCACTGGGGGCCACGCCGGTCCATCACGCAGCGCGCTCCGGGAAGCTGAGCTGCCTGCGCTTCCTGGTGGAAGAGGCAGGGCTGCCCGGGAACTCTTTGGCCAACAACGGAGCGAGCCCCGCGCACGATGCTGCGGCCACTGGACACTTGGCCTGTCTCCAGTGGCTGCTGACCCAGGGAGGATGCCGGCCAGAGGTGAGTAAGCGCAAAGTAATCCCCCTTCCCCTGACACGACTGTTTCCCAGAGCCGTGTCCCGAGTTTATGATCCCTGAAAACCAGCATCTCCGTAGGCTACAGCCCATATGTATAAATACTAGCCTAATCAAACATTATATAGCTCACACACAACACAGAGCAGTTTAAAACAATGTTTATGTGGATTATTTGAAGGTTTGAATATACCACGTGCCCAGCAGAGAGTGCATTCCTAACTTTATTAATGAGACATAAGCCTACTTTGACAAAGTAGTTCAGTTGGAGTGGGGAAATATACAGTGGGCATATTCAACAAGAAAAAAACAAACAAAAACTGCAAGTATTTCTGTGGAAAATATAACGCACGGGAGTCTCCAGCCTCTTGCCATTTTCCATGTCAATAAACAATGCAAATGATCAAGTCATTCTATACTGTTACATAATCCCAATGGGACACAGTGTATCTATAAGGGAAAAACATAGTTAGAATTCATTATGCACTAATCGTAATTACACCATCCTCACCTGGGACACGGTACTGCAGTGTTTACACGTCAGCTCAGTTTGACATCGGTCTACTGTAAATAACACCATATTGACATTTATTTATTCAATTGCAACTCTAAATTAACTCACTAGGTGCTGTTGCCTACAGCAGCTACATGACTGAGTAAAACAAAAGATGATGAGAAATAAGCATAGAGGTTATAGGCTATTTTGAAATGTTAACCCCAAATTCAAGTTTAGCCAAAACAAAGTCAATTGGCCACTCGATCTGACCTCTGGTAAATGGCAAGTCTAAATTTAAGACAACTCTGTAATAAGAGCTCTTTCATGTCCTTACTGTCTCCATTACTTTTGATGCCTATGTGAAGAGAGACAAGAAGATGATCTGATAAGACACTTAAAGCTCTAAAAGCTACTGTGAAATATGATTTGGAGACATTAAAAATGTGAATATTGAATATTTATATTGTTCGTCATAACAAACAACTTAAAAAAGTGCAGTCTAAACTATTAAAATGTATGAAGTGATAATTCTACACACAGTTTTGTTAGAGTGAACTTTGTCCAATTGAATTCACCCTTCTTTTCTTATGGACTCTACCCAGACAACTGAGGAATTACACAGATATGATGATAATAATAATAATATAATAATGTGATTGACAGAGCAAGGACAGTTCAGGGGCCACAGTCCTGCACCTGGCGTCCCGTTTCAGTCACTCTGAGATCACAGAGTGGTTGCTGAAAAGTGGGGAGGGGGATCCTGGGGCCACCACAGAAACTGGGGCCCTACCCCTCCATTACGCTGCTGCCAAGGGAGACCTGCCCTCTCTCCGCCTGCTCCTCGGACACAGCCCAAAGTAAGACCACACTGTGCATATATCAGAACACTTATGTTTGAGTTGAGATCTGCTCATGAGGTTGTCTAATATGTTGTGTTCATATGACATCATAATATTAATGGAGCTGGAGGACAAGTCAGAATTTTATGGTGGAATTGAAGTTTAACTGTCAGACTGCAGATTTGTGGAGTTTGTTTATGGTCAATAACTCTGTAATTATTGGGCATATAATAAGAATTCAAGAGGGAATTATATTGATTCAAATACAGATTATAAATCGTGCAGTACAATTGTTCAAACGTTCACTGCTACCATATTTGCATACACATTTGCCATTGCAGAATTATAGGTTTTTGTTGATGTTGTTTGTAAAAAATATTGGAAATATCTTGTTCTGAAGACTCCAGTGGTCTCCATTGCAATTGACAGAAAGAATTATGCATGCATTTTATTAGAGACTGCCGACAAGGATAGTCATTTCTCTCTGCTAGCTGTTAATCTATTACATAATGATATAATGATGCCATTGTTGTTTAAGTGAAGTGAAGTGAAGTTGAAGGCCATGTTTTTGTAACTGTTGTCATTATTTCTCATTAAGCAGCAGTTTGTAACACAAGCAGGTTTCACTGCAAGGATACTTTAGACGTCTGACTTTGTGGGGAGACCTACTGTTTGAAAAGCAATACCATAAGAAAAATCAGTGATGAAATTAAAGCTTATTTTAATATTCTTAATGGGTTGACAAACAAATTGTAATCATTGTTGTTTTGTTGTTTTATACTGTGATACTATCAAAGTACATGTTTCATTCCCGTACTGGACAATGTCTTTTGTGGTTCATGTCTCTTGAAAGGGTGTGTGCCTTCTCATGTTTCTTACGTAAATGATCCTGTGTGATTTTCATAAGGTTGACATAAGTGTGTACGAAGCATGCTTCGTATTTAAAACAGCATTTGTCTGAGCCAGTGTTGCCTTTTAAGGTAATCATTGATATCATTGTCTTATGGTGCTGCTAATCAGCGCAATGTTGATCCCAGACAGGCCCAGGCTCTAGAGATAAGTGCAACCACTGAACAAGTCGTTAAAAAGAGTGAGAGCTTCAGGTTTTTGTTGGAGGAATCAGCTCTGGCACAAAACCCTCAGGTCAAAAGGCTGTGACATGTGCAATCAGGGCTACTGCACCATTATTCATTGTTATGGATAAATCTGATAAACAATACAAACCAATACAAAATAAAATGTGATTGCGCTTATTTGAAAAGCAGAGCATTATTTTACAGTTTGTTCATTGTAATCCTCAAAGTTAATTTAAAACGGCTTGGTAATAGAAATTGGAGCACTGCTGTTAAAAATGCAGAAAAATGCCTCATAATTGCATTTCTCCTTAGCAAGTACTAAACAAAACATTTTTGAACACCCTGTAACCAGAATCATAGGACATTATGAAATATGACTCTATGTAAACAAATGATGAGGGAACATGGTAAGCTCATAAAAACTGACTTTGCATATGCCCCCTGAAAGAAAGTGAAGTTAAAGTTCCCTTCACCAGCTAGGACCACGGCAACAACAACATAGTGCGAAGACGTTTATTGATAATGTATGAAACGAGGCAAAGATGGCTGGGTTGAGACTATGGGAGGGGGCTCCATCTAAATCTGCAATTGGCCCAGCCGGAACAGGACCCCCCTTGTAGGGGTCTTATGACTGAAAGACAAAATAGGGGATGGGAGGGTGGGGTCGAGTTAGCCGAGACAAACTGGGATGATGGGAAAGGCTGCTACATATAGGCTTCTGGGAAATTAGAGGTGTGGTTGAGGTGAGTTGTGGTTTGCTGATGAGAGGAGAGGACGGCTGAGGCGTGGTCCTGCTCCTGAATCTTAGTTAATCATATTAACTACATTTTATGTAACTTCTGGTCGGGGTCCCTCACATGCTGGCTTTCATGGAGATGGTGTAGCTTTGCCCAAAATGTTCCATAATATGGTATTAAACCTAATCTATTCAGCATTGTCTGGAATGTGTGTGTTTTAATCACTCTTGAAAAACATTCATTCTTATTATTCTCCTAGTGGCATCATTTGCTTGTCTCAAAAGAGGTGCATACATTACAGAGAGAGAATATTTCAGACAATAATATCTCCATGGAGACAAGCAGGTTGCAGACCCTCCACCAGAGAATTTATATAGTGCCACTCAAATTCAAATACAATACATTTTAGTTAGACTATATATATATATATACATATATACATTTTTTAATTTTATTTTATATATATATATATATATATATATATATATATATATATATATAAAATAAAATTAAAAAATGTGTTTCTCACCTTCCACGGTGGTAGGTCTCTCTCACCCTCACTCAGCTCGGTTCCTCTACCAGAGGCCTGGGAGCTTGAGAGTTCTGTGCAGTATCTTTGCTGTTCCCAGTACTGCACTTTTCTGGACTGAGATGTCCATTGTTTTTCCTGGTATCTGTTGTAGCCACTCTTCCAGTCCGATCACCACAGGCACCACTGATGCCTTTACTTTCCAGGCTCTCTCCAGCTCTTCCTTGAGCCCCTGGTATTTCTCTAGCTTCTCGTGTTCCTTTTTCCTGATATTACCATCGCTTGGTATTGCGATGTCCACCACGGCTCTGCTCTGTTTCTTATCCACCACCACTATGTCTGGTTGGTTCGCCATCACCATTCTGTCAGTCTGTATCTGAAAGTCCCACAGGATCTTGGCTCGGTCATTCTCCACAACCTTTGGAGGTGTTTCCCACCTTGATCCTGGGGTTTCCAGCCCGTACTCTGCACAGATGTTTCTGTACACTATGCCCGCCACTTGGTTATGTCGCTCCATGTATGCTTTCCCTGCCAGCATCTTACACCCTGCAGTTATGTGCTGGACTGTCTCAGGAGCCTCTTTGCACAGTCTACACCGTGGGTCTTGTCTGGTGTGGTAGATCTGGGCCTCTATTGCTCGAGTGCCGATCCTGCTCCTGAGCAGCCAGGATCAGTGCCTCTGTGCTGTCCTTCAGACCAGCCCTCTCAAGCCATTGGTAGGATTTCTTGATATCAGCCACTTCAGTTATGTTCCGGTGGTACGCCCCATGTAGGGGTTTGTCCTGCCACTGTCTGAGACATTCTCTGAGCACCTCATCTGCTGGGGCCTTGTCCTTGATGTCCTTCCTTCGGTCCAGTTTTTCATACCTGAGACTCTTCCCTGGATGTTTGCCACTGTGATGGTGACTGGATTCTGTTCAGGGAGGTTCTCTCAGATCCACCAGCCACTGTGCATCGGTGTTATGTGATGCCTCCCTTTCCCATATGCCTTTCCAGTACCTCTCAGTCTCCAGCCTTGGTGGGTCTGCTCTGGTGTTATTACCCTGCCACTGAGCGTACACTTTCGCCGGTTGTGTTGCGAACAGCCGGTTTATTCGTGTACCTCTTTAGGTGGCTGGCCAAGGCTTGGAGCCTTTGTTTGGCAGTTTCGAGTGCTTCAGGTATGGGCAACTGGTTGTACCTCTTATAGCTGCTGAAGTGTATATCAGCTCATTGGTTTCAGTGATTGTTGTGGTAGGGATCGCTCTCAGTGCTGCATTCACATCGTCTAGGTACTTCACTTAGCCTTGTGTTCATGATCTTATCTTTCAGGTCAGTCGCTGCCTCGCTCAGCGTGATACTTATTGGGGCTTCGTACCCAATCTCTGGTTGGGGAGTGGGTGTCAACTCCCCTCTGACCTGGTACACTGGTTCCCCCTTGCCGTGGCATTTGTGTTGTACCTCATCAATCTCTAGTTGTGGATGTTGGAACACTGAGCTACTAGTTGTTTGGCCGTTAGCTTGGACTGTGGGTATCGTAATAACCATTTCTCCCACATCCTGTTCATGTAACCCCTCTGCCTAGGGTTACTGTAGTAGTAGCATTCCAACAGAGCCTTGTTCTCGCATCTCGCCCATTTCCGCCGTGTTCCAGTAGCCCATTTTTCATCAAGGTGCCCTGGTTCCCCAGCACCTGATGCAGACCTTGTTTGGCCGGGCGACGTCTGAGCCGGCATGTCATATGTTTCTTTCTCTCTCATCATTGTATGAGGTGGGCAGTAGCACGAAGGGTCTTTGCCCAAGGACCCACACTGGTTAGCTCATTGTCCCCCCGCCCTGTCAGAGGGGGGATTTGAACCCGGGTCTCCCATGTGAAAGTCCAGTGACTTCCCAATTGAGATAACCAGCTGATATATATATATATATATATATATATATATATATAGATATATATATATATAGATATATAGATATAGATATAGATATATATAGATATATATATATATTTTTTTTTTATATGAGGAAAATGTTTCTTTTACTCACTGCCTGAGTATACAGTATATATGTATGTACAATTATACATAGCCCTGAAAACACCCAAGATGTAAAAGTAAACCTGTTTTATTGTCACTTTAAATTTAAATATTTATATTGTGCCACATAGCAGTAATAGCATCAGACAATATTAATTTCATTCATTTGTCTTTAACAACACTGTACCTATGTTTAGCTGCTTGTCAGGTCTAATATTTTGCCTTTGCAGTCTGCAGCGTAGCCAGGTGCGTTTCTCCTGAAAGTTTAATGAGTTCGAGACATGGTAGCTTGCTGATAGTGTGGGGCCCATTCACTGTTCTGTGTTGCTCCTCCCACTGCTTCTGTTTACCTCCGTCTCCACAGCAACGCATGGTAGCGCCAACTGCAGATAAGATAATGAGGAAAACAAAGCTATTTGAATAGACGGCTGCCTGGCTATTGTTTTTAAGGGGACTTTGTAGCTGAAAGATAGCCCTATAGTCCTATTATTATTAATGCATAACTAACGCTTACTTTTACTATAATAAGGATATGGACTCATTCTTGATAACAGAGATAAATTGACCCTGTTTTGTCATGTGGGCAAACAAGCATTTGACTGTACTAAAGTTATATCCATCTCAACAGGCAGGAAATAGTGTTTTAGTTATTGTTAAATATACATAAACAGTCAATGTTAAATTTAATGACAGGTTTTGGAATGCTGTCTAGTCTACAAAGTACAATAAACAAAGTTCATTTCCCCTACGGATACATACACTGACTCTGTTCTTATGAGCACTGATATAATGCACTGACAGTAGACACCCAGGGAAGTCATCTCAGTGATATGAGTAGATAACCATAGAGTGGAGTAATTTTGAACTAAATGTTACAAATCAACAATAGTGGTACAGTGGTAATGATGGTACAATTTGTATCTACCGTAGCAATCCATTCAATAGATTTTGTGGATGTATTATTGTATTATAAAAAAACAAAATATTCTATATTTTGAATGGTGAAAATCCTCAAAATGTTTCCTCTAAACATGAAGCTGAAATCCATGAATATTTGTAGAGTTCTGCCTCAGTGGACTCTGGAAATTTTACATACTGGAGTTTGTCCAAAATGGAATAAAATAAACATAAAACATTAGATTGTAGAGGTATTCCTGGTTTTCAGCTTCCTATTTACAGGGGACTTTTCAGCATCCTTTAAAGGATATAATATTTTGTTTATTACTATGGCAATGGTGTCAGTTAATACTCATCATTCTGAAACCCACAGATAACTCATGTAACATCCCATTATATTGTGTTGTACAGTCTTTGTGTCTTGTTGTTTGTCATAGAAAACAAATAGTTGCATGAGCCCTACATCTAAAGCACTGATGCAATACTCTCTTTGACTGTCGATGTTTACAAATGGTCTAATAATAATAATTACAAGTATTCGGTTTAGCAAATGGAATAGCAAACACAGATCTTTGTTGTACAGCCATATTGTCTATTAGACAATGAGAGACAAGTGTAAATTTATGGTGAGTTGTGCAGCCCCATTAGCCTGGAGTCAGATCCATCAGAGTGGTGCGCTGCGTGTCCACTGATAACCGCAAAACACAAAGAGGTGAATGAAGGACTGACAGAGCCTCAGACTGCTTATGTAACCGATCAGATCAGATTAACATGTTGGCCTTTGGCATAATGCCCTGACATAGTGACAAGAGACCACTGACCTAAGAGTTTCTAGAATGTTGAGATGTCAGTTAGGGCTGCAAGATGAATCAAAATTGAATTGGAATCACAATTTCAATGGATGCATTTAGTGAATCGCAAAGGCTGCCATTTTTTGAAGTACCATAATTTTTCTGTCTGATTCTGCATTAAAAAAACTGCTAACAATGTAGATGGCATGTAATGAAATGTGATTTTTAGCTTGTCAGTTCATATCCATGCCTTTTTGTCAGTTCTTCTTGATGTGATTAAAATATAATATTTCAGTGCTTGTCAGTAAAATGTCAGTTTTTTTTTAGTTTTTTTAAATATTTATTAGAATTCCTGTAATAACAAAAAAAAAATCTATATATTAAAAAAATACAAAAAGTAAAACACTAAATATAAGTATAAACAATTATCCCACTCCATAACCACCTGAGATGCCAAGATTATTTAGTTAATCAATAATTGTGATAATAGAGGTCACCATATAATTGGAAGAACTAAAAGTAAAATTGTTATAGGTGAGAATTTTAGAAGTAGTAAATAGGCATTTAAATTAATTCTAAACTATAAAAATAAACCCAAATGTAAAGTGCCTTTTTATCTGGCTGTTTATGTCACATTTTTTCATTTGTAAAGTGTAAATCATAAGGCTAGTCACATATAGCTGGAGCAATGTTTATTGAAAAGTGTCAAAAAATGTTGTTTGGTCAGTAGTCATGGAATATTGTAATGCTATATTTTATATTACGAACATATTTGAAAGTTGTATCATAGTAACTCACTATACCTTGACCTACACTGACTTATCGTTCAATACATATTGAGAGATTGAACAATATTTTTTGTGGGTCAATATAATACAATAAAAATGATAATTAGTCATGGTGACAGACCTAACTATACCCACAATATACAAATATGTATACTGCAATGAGCAATATCAAGTACAGAAACATCACTTTGGTATTGTACTTTGCTTTCTTACTAACAGTTGTAATGCAGAAAAAAGTGTGTGTTTTCATGGAGCCAGTGGCCACGTTCTTTAGTAATCTTCTTAATAACTACATACTTGGTGCAGGTCTGGGACAAAAGCCTTTTTGTGGTACAAGAGGTTTATTGTTCAGATGTGTGTGTTTTGAAGTGGCCCTGTGCAGGTTACTGTGTTATACAGGCAGCACAAATGTTACTGTTATGTTATATTTATTCATGTATTTTTGGAATGGCTATGAAGTTTGAACTATAAATAGCGAGGTATCTATTTTGGTCTAATCTTGGCTGTTTAGCCTTCTTATTTCACAGGCAAAGGCCATTAGTGTGCTATTACATCATAACACTTTAATTATTTAGGCAAGAATGGTATTGGGACTTTTTGTCAGGCAAGATGTTTATTAAGATACAGTTAATTAGAGTTTGTGTAATCAGACCCTTCTTGTGTATGGTGTGTATGTGTTGTAATTACCTTTACTAAATTACAGCAAAAGTGGAAGTATAAATTATCTGATATCTTTTCTCTTTTGATGACAAGTGATTGTGATTGACAAGTAGTGAGCTGTTTGGTCACACTAGGCTAGGCTCTTTCTGTAGCTGATGTAATGTGCAACTGATCCGCTCATGTCTCTTCACTGTGAGAGGTCCAACAATGCCCCTCCATGGTTGTTTCTGTCTCATATTCAAAACATACAACTTAAACAGTTATATCCTCTAAGACCCCTGTGTGCAGGTGAACTTTGTCCCACTTTTGTTACTGCCTTTATTTATGTAGCTCCCTGCCCACTTCCTGATGAGACAGGTATAAACTGCTTCTCTTCTGTTTTGAAATATTTAGCACATCCTTTCATTCCTTAATTGAATTGTTTTAAGGATGACTCCACTTTTCACATGAGCTATTAAGTTACACATATCAAAGGTTGGCAAGGTTATGGCTTGTTTGTCTGAATTAAATTTTAATGAATGTGGTGTTTCTGTATTTAGATTCCAATTGGTGATTGACTGAACTTCAAAGTTTTCATTAAAACTAAATGCTTTGTGTAATTTGTGTAATTTTGAGATCACATTATGTACTGATAAAACATTGTATCATTTGATTTTGCAGTTTCCTTGAGCAAGTAAAGTGGTCAGTGGTGATCACCTGACTATGGTTTTCAAATTATGTCAGTCCATAGGCAATTTGTAAATCCTCTTTTTGGGAATTAAATTAAATTATTATCTAAGATTTGCATGGATGCTATAATTTTAGCATTTCCTCTCTGAAATAATAGACAGATTAAGGTAATGTTTGTGGAAAAGTCTTGAACATTTAAAGCCCATCCTAATTTGTCACCCCCCCTCTGTGCCTCCTTCATCACCGCCTGTAGAGGGCTAATCCTCTTTGCATACACACTGTAAAGTCTCACTGCTCGTTTGTCAGTGTCCAAATAAAGCTTGACCTTATGGGATTTATGTGCAAAGCGCTCGCTCACCCCTTGAACTCCCACTGTCATGGAGTAGACCTGGAACAAGGCACAACTTTCCATTGAAGCACAGGGTAACAAAGATCAGTGCAGATGTAGCGCTGGGTTACAGAAAAACAACAAAAATGTTTCATCATTTTGTTCCTCATATTTTCAATCCCAAATTTGGATTCAGTTTTATTACAGTTGCTTCCAGTATTAATTTCCTGAAATTTACAAGTCAGTTTTGTTTTGTCATTCATTGCCATTTAATACAAAACATAGTCAGATTTCTTCCTCCGAAGTCTGAACTCCAAATGCTTTTACTAACAGTGAATTGGCTGTAGACCGCTCAGTTAAAAAGACTCAAGCATATAACTGAAAATTAACCCTAACCTGATCTCTCTTAAAATTATATTCTAGAAAAATGTTAAGAAACTGACAAAACATATAATGCACATTTCCCATAGTGGCTCTATGCTGATAATGAAACAATGCAGTTAAAACAAATTGAAACAATATTGGATTGGCCGAAGATTCCCTACCACTGTACTGATGAGTATCCATTCTATTTATTTCCCCTTGAACCACATTTAAAAATTGCTGTGTTTGGTAATCGAAAATAGCAGGAAGAAAACAAGACTGCGTTTTGCATTGAATTTAAATATCCTCAAATAATTTGAAACCAAAGCTCCTGCAGGTTACTCTCTTACAAAAGCTGCCCTGGGACTTAAGACTATACTGAAAAATTGCTATGATTCTTAAAGCATAAAATAAGACCTTGTACAATTTTAGGGAGTAGGATTGTCAAGTTTATTTAGTCACAATATAATCATAAGGACTAAAAAATAATAATCATTACAGTCTGTCAGTACTGAGTAAAGTGCTCTTTTATCTTACTGTTTATGTCATATTAATGTAACGTAATCATACAGAAAGTTTGATTTAATAAAACTGCTCTTATACTATGGGCAGTGATCTATTGCACAATGAGAAAGAAAGAAAATTAAGGATTTTAAGGATGTTACTGTTGTTTGGTGTCACTAATTGAGAATAATTATACATTTGTAATATTTCTTCTCACAAGAATTGTGAAACTTAAAGTGGATATTGTGACTAACTTCACATTTTACATATTTCTAAAAATCTAAAATCTTTGTTCTAAACTTAGCACTCTTAATCAGTTTGACTTTCTCTTCCAGTGTTGTCAACGTGCAAACTAAAAATGGTGCCACACCGCTGTACCTGGCCTGTCAGGAGGGTCACCTGGAGGTGGTCCAGTACTTGGTGAAAGATTGTGGGGCAGATCCCAGCATCAGGGCCAACGATGGGATGACGCCTCTCCATGCTGCTGCTCAGATGGGGCACAACACTGTCATCGTCTGGCTGGTATGTTGTACTGACATCTCTGAGGAGTAGTGCGCATAATAGGTTTAAATGTTTTTTTTCTAACTATTACTTAGTTGGTGGTACAGTACCTGTTATAAATATTTAGTTTTAGTCAAAGGTCAGTTTGTGGAGTTCTATGAAATGAATCCCTCTGTGTTATCAATACCCAAAATTCAATCCAAAATTCAATGACAAGTTACACACAAGGAACATCATGGAACTCATGCTAACAAAACAAAGTTGCTGTCATTTATTGTTTGTCATGAAATCAGAAAAACTGTTGTGTAAATTAAAGCTTTAGCTTTGGCCTTTGTAAGAAAAAATGTTGAACTGGGCCATTTGCTGTAAAGACAATGTTAATTATTGGACTATATTCTTATAACCACACCACCAAATCTTCCTATTGATCTGTTATTTTTTTCACTTTTCTTTGGTCTTAGGTGAGTTTTACTGAGATCAGTCTATCGGACAAAGATGGAGACGGGGCCACAGCGATGCATTTTGCAGCGAGTCGTGGCCATTCTAAAGTGCTGAGCTGGTTGTTGCTACATGGAGGAGAGATCATCACGGATAACTGGGGAGGGACTCCGCTACACGATGCAGCGGAAAATGGTGAACTAGAGGTCTGTTCAAATGTTGAGTTACCTGGTTAAAAGTTTGAATTTATTATTTACTGTAGGGCTTTTGGGAATTTGGGAAGAATATCTAATTGCGATTTATGTGATTAGTGATTTGTCTTTAATAGTAGGATTCCAGGAGATTTGAAGAAAGACTGAAATATGAAAACTAATACATAATGTCTATTTACATAATACATAAATAATCTATTTGTCCTCTATGGATAGTGCTGTCAGATCCTTGTTGTGAATGGGGTGGACCTCGGAGTCAGAGACCAAGATGGCTTCACTGCAGCAGATCTGGCTGAGTACAATGGTCACCAACAGTGTGCCAAATATCTACGCACTGTGGAGAACATGGTAAATACTGCTGTGGACTTCACCCAGTGTGGGGCTAGTCTGAGGAGAAAAAACAAATACATTTTATTATCATAAAATTACTGCTAAAGAATACTAAATGATGTCCTCAGTCGTCCAAGTGGGATTCATGGCAAAAGAAGGTTGAACTCTGTCAACTGCACGTAACTAAGTACAAGATGGAATATTGTAATTGCTGTTTAATTGCCTGAATTAGCAATAGAATGAATTAGAAATTAGCAATGCTGGCCTAATAATTATGGGACTGTATAAGTTTGATTTGATTGTATTGGACAGAATGAGTACATTGCATTTTTACATTTAATTATGAAGCAGAAATTGTTTTAGTCAGCATTTCTATTTGAGCCTATTACAGGCATGGACTTACTCAGCAGAATTTATATCATTATGTTTCACCACTCCAAGTCAAAAAATGACACTCAGCTTTTGTCCAGTTGACAGAATTCAACCTTTTTTTGCATAAATATTAAAAGATGTAATAGTATAAGTAATAGGTATATGGTCACATCTGGAAAAGGGATCGATATATAATTTAATTTATGAAACAACACCTACTACAAAATCTTTAAAATAGTTTACTACTCTATCAACAGTTTAATGCACAAAACAAAACATTTTACCATATTTTGCATGTAAGTTGACACCAAGTTCTCAAGGGTAGTGGGCATGATTGATCACAATTAGCTCAAGTGCACATAGGACATCTTCTTCTCTCAGCTAATTAAAGAGCTGTTACACTGGCTGAACTGTCTCCCACGGCTTCTGTCCCCCAGTGGCCAAAAGAATAATAAGTGCTCCACATTTGGCCCTACTGTGCTCCTGCCCACAGGGACTCCTGCCAAGTGAGTGAGGCTGTGGGAAAAGCAGGAGTCCCTCAAGCCACCACTGTGAGAACTTTCATTAGTGTGTGCAGTAATTGTTTCTCTAATACTTTTAAGAAGGAAAGGGAAACATATTTTACTTAAGAAAAATGATTATTTCTTCATATTTAAACATGTATATTAGCCCTTACACCCTTGTAACCCTTACACTCACTCAAAAAAACACACTTCCCCATTGTACTATTAATTCAATTCATCATCTGCTCCCTGATGGAATGATAAAACATCTTCATACCTTGAGCAGTTTAGTTTTTTCTTCTGTTTGCTACATGATGGATGGTGTTTTTACTCAAGATACTGCAATTTCAAACTTTGATCTTTATTCGAAGCCATAAGCTCGATACTAAATACCAATGTCAGAAATGCTCAAAATCAGTCTAAAACTGTTCAGGAAAGATATAATTGTGTCCTGTTTATGTCTTTTTTTTTTTTGCCAGTATTAATACTCATTCAAGTATCCAGGTGTGAGTGAGCCTGCTGCAGAAGATAGATTACAGCATCTACCATGCCTAAATAGCACTGATAGGAAAATTGTAGAGTCTGTTCACTTCTGAAACTGTAATAATGATACTGTAGGACAAAATAGTAATCAACAGTATCTCCTTCAGAGTGTGGAGCACCGTGTGTTGTCACGGGACCCCTCCACAGAGCTGGAGTATAAGCAGCCGGACTCAGGGCTCTCGTCTCCAAACACCACAATGCCCCCTGCGCCCCCGCCTCCACCTCCGCCCCCACCAGCCCACATAGGCTCTCCCTCCAGCTCTCTGTCCAACTACGACTCAGCCAACTCCAGTCAGTCCAGCACCGGAGAGAAGAGGAGCAGCATCAACAATGCACAGGGACCACCCTCCCAGCATAACAATGCCACAAACACAGGTACTCAGTATTCAAGCTAAAAACATAACAAATCGTCACATCTGTCAATTTTTAAATGAATGAAATTACTGAAATAAGATTAGAAATCATTTTATTCATCTCACAGCAGAAAAATGTACTTGTGCTCCTAAGACAAAAGTACATGGGATCAAACACAATATAAGAATAAGGATATGCAATGAAGTTAACTACATATTGTGACGTATGATAAATATAATATAAATTATTTAAATGAGGCCAAAGTGGAGACCAGTATCAGTAACCATACATATGACATACTTGGGCTTTTCATGTTAAATAAATTCCTGTACAAGTTTATGTATGTTAGCTAAATTGCAGTCTATGGTAATACTGTATGTTCTTCCAAAGGTGTGAAATATTAGAATACTGGGTCCATTCACACTAGTGTCAAACCAGTGCTGCACCCTAGTGGTCAAAATATATCTGGTCTGGCTAAGATGCATTAGTAAGGAGGCTAACAATAATAATAGTTACACTTTTTTTTCAGAGGACATCAACTAATAAAAACATTTATAAATTGTGGAAAACATTCTAACAAGGTCTTTGACATTTCAGGTACAAATGAGACAGCCATCTCAGACATGCAGGCCTATATGGACATGCTCAACCCGGACATTGGTTCTGACTCCAACAAAAAGATGGAAAACCCACCTCCTCCACCAACCTACCCTCCACCCCCTCCTCCTCCAGGCCCCTCCATGCCACCGCCACCCCCCAGCTACCCCGCTCCACAGGCACCTGCGGAGGACCAAACTTCCGCAGAGTTCCTCAAAGTGAAAAGCAACCTGAGGCATGTCGAAAGTAATGCTGGAAGGAAACAGGTGAGAATTTAATGTTAATATGTTTCAAATATGTTATGAAAAAGAATAGCACAGGTGGTCAATATGGTGTTCAAAATTATAAATAATTTGTATTGTTTTGTGTTGTTTTGTACATTATGTAAAGTTGGAATATCAAATACATTGTTTATATATAAGAGATTTTGTAAGAAAAAACTTTCCACACAAGGAAATTAGGTGATATTGGGGCACTTTTGTATTTAATTTTTATTTTACTTTTGGTACAATACTTGGAACCAAAACTATTTACAAGTTTTTGTTTTACACATGTCTAATGAATTACCAAACTATGATCTGACTATTATTATTATTATCAGGAAAATCAAACAAACATAACATGACATTTTTCTCAGTATTGCACACCCCTAGAATAGAGATGTCTGAACATTCACCCCTCTCCTGGGTCTAATCAGCTGCCTGTTGCAATATGTTCTGTCCAAGCCGCCACAAAGATGTTATTGTTTAAACACTGCTAACGAGCTGCTCATTACCGGACAAGCCTCGGGTTGGTAAACACAAAGATGGAGAGACAGGTTTGATTGTAATTCCAATAATTAACCCAACGTTCAGATCCATCACGAAGGAAACAACACATCAGAGAAAGTGGAAAAACGCACACATTAAAACAGGCTTGCCATTCATATCCGCTGACAAAGCTCGTTTACTGAAGAGTTTAATTACGAAAAAGTTGATCAACCTTAGAGATCACTTTCACCTCATGAAGTATTTACCTATTTCTTTGCCTGTCTCGAAGAACAAGATACACACGACTAACCATTAGTAGGGCCATATCAGATCACAAGTTTAAATCATACATGTAAGCAACTCTGAGAGGACTTTTGTCAAGTCTTGACAAAAGTGCAGTAAAGAAATGTAAGGTAAAAAAAAAAAATAAGGGGTTGTATTCAAATGTTGCCAACATTTGCACACTAGAGTTGTCAGAATACAAAGGAAAAGACTCAATACTCTATAAACAGATTTCAGTACTACGACTATAATAAAAACAGTCCTGTTATCAGCAGGACTAAACCAACCTGTCAAAACTGGCATCACACGAAGATGTTTCCTTTAAATAATAGTACAAATAGAAAAGAAAATATGTTGCAACACACTTGAATGGTGGACTTAACAGATCATATATTGCTGTTTTTTGAAAAGACTACATAATCAGTTTGTTCAGGGGGCTGTGTTTTCATTCATTCTGTGTTCTATGCAAAGTCAGGTTTAGTTGTATGTTACTCAGCCCACACTGCTTGTATCTGGTTGCTAGGCAGTCTCTATGTTTGTGTTTACGAAGAGTGCGCATGCTCCATCAGTCACGTGAGGGGTACTTTTTAAATAGTACCACCCCTTTTCTCTTCCCTGCACCCAGGTGACTTACCCTCATTAACTATTAAACACACACACACAATTAAGAGATACTGTATGTACACCTTATGCATTCTCTCTTGGGTGTCATGGTAACTGGGAATGCTCAGTCGAAGCAGATTTTCATACAGAACTATGAATTAATTTCTACGTGTTTAGTCATGGGTTTCAGTGATGAATTTTCCTGTTACAAAAAGATAGAATATTTAGTTTTAAATTATTAATTCTTATGACACCTCCTCAATTTTTTACAAATTGTCCTCACTCTGAAATCCATGGATATTGTGATTAACCTGTAAGTTTTCCTTGGGTTTCAAAGAGAGATGAAAAATCAGGATCATCATAGCAACTGATGGAACTAGCAAAATATGGTTAAAAGTCTTCAAAACTGATATCCATGAATATGTTGTATAACTTTGAAGTGGGTTGTCAGGTATTTGCTCTTCGCTTCATTTGGGAACATTTGTCTAAATAGAAAAACAGTGGACTCAAAGTCATATGTAAAAAACGAAACAAAATGCAAACTATGATTCTTACTACTACTATTCTGAGAGAGAAAGAAAGAGTTGTCAGCCATGTTGAGGGCTGTGTTTTGATGCTTTGCATACAGCAGCAGAGGGCAGGGACAGTGGGGAGTGGCTGTGTGTGGGTGGCAGTGACATCATTGTACCTATGTGGCTGAGTGGAGGTAACTGATGAGGATCGGGGTAAAGTGAGAGGGCAGGTAGAGTGACAGGTGTAGAGCTGCTCAGATCGTGGATCTGATGACAGCTACTTTTTGTCAAACTCTGTGGGCTTTGTGGAGTAGCTGCTACTGAGAGTACATGAAAAGATCCCTGCTGCTGAGGTAAGGGGTTAATAATTATGATAAAATGCAGGCAAATTGGAAAATTGAGATCAGAAATGTTTGCGAGTCATGGTTGAGTGAAAATACGTTATTGAGATTTTGCATGCTAGAATGGTTGTTAGGTATTTGTGTTTTCAAATCAGGATTCAGGAGCTGTAACATTTGAAAGAGCATTGAAAAATTAGCTACTTAACTAAAATAAGAATGTTTTAGAATGCGTTTGTAGAGGTCTGCACTACAGGGTGAGCAAGTTTTCTACGTAGTAAGACCCCGTGGAGTCGGATTAATCTAATGGTTGTTATCTTTGTGATTTGCAAATTAGGACCATTCAAATAATGTGACAATGTTGTTTTGTTGAATCCCTATGGTTGGACATTTCTCTCTTATTGTGTCTAACTTTTAATGTATCCGAAAGCTAAAACCACATGCATTTATTATAACTCATGTCATAACTGCTCCTCCTGGCTTTGGTAGTGCATACATGATGTTCAGAGAGTAAAAAAAAAATACATGCAATGGCCATATGTTGACTGATGGCTCTATTTAGTGTACAGAAACCCACAGAGCGCTGGTATATTTGTACAAGGGATGAGTGGGGGGCAGCTGAAATGCCTTGTACATTTTGTGCATTGTTTTGTCACATCCCCAAAGGACGACAATCAAACCATCTGTAGCGGTTCTCATGTTACACTTCCACCTGGACGAGGGAGCATTTCTTTGAAGGCGGACAAGAGTCAACACAAAACTATACACGGCTTATCTAAACCCTCAACATGATACCTCTAAGCCAAGGTCAGAGGTCACTCAGAGCACGATTATTTCCTCCTTACTTTGGCATTTCGTGAGGAAGACATGTTCAAATGTAAATGAAGAAAAAAGGGATGTTCAGGGAATATTTGAAAGGCAAAGTGGCTGTCAATCCTGCTATTGTTGTTAACATGACATCCTTTTCACATGTATCACGGAACATATTTGGACAACTACTGATTTGAAAATGGCATTATCTTATGTTTCCTGTTATCCAATAATGAAACAGTTGAGTTTAGGGTTTACACATTAAATGCTAACTTTGGGTTAATAAGCATACTAGCTAGTAGGTGTTGGATTGGAAGATTTTTGTTTAAATGTAAATTGTATAGTATTAGGAAAATGTCCTGCAGATTGTAAAGAGGACATATGTAAAATCAATGTTTAACAATGTTATAACAGTGTTTCCTCATCATTATCTTATTCAAACATATTTTGATTAATTTATGCATAATCTTGCATTGTCCTGCATTTTAGTACTTGAAAAAAATAATCAAAACGTTAAGGCTCCTGGTCATACACAGAGGGTTTTAAAATTATACTTTGAATTATGATTATATTATAATCATAATTTGAATAATTTTTTTTTTCACCAATAAAAGCACATTCTTTATAATGTGCTGCCTGTTACAATGAAATGCTATATAAATTGGAACAAAATGTAAAATAATGACCTATGGGGGAAGCTCTTTATACTCACAATATAGTGCACATTGCATGCAATTGCAATCGCAATGAAAATGAAAGGTGAAGACCGGGATCAGGCTATTTACAAAAAAATGTGTAAAAAAGTTAACCTAAAGATGAGAGCATATAATAGTGAATGGTCACATTTTATAAAGTGTTTTTCTACCTTCAGGGCCCTCACATTTATACACCAGTGTATGCAGACACCCGGGGTGAAGTGGGTTATTAAGTATCTTGCCCAAGGACACAACAATAGCATTTATGTGTAGGAGCTGAAAATGCTTTTCTTTATAAGTCAGTGCAGTGCATCAATGTATTTTTAGTAAAAATGATTTTGAAAGTGTATGCTTTATTCTGTTTTTAGCTCACAGTCAGAGAAGGTCACGATAAACTGCGCCGTGTGGATTCAAACCGGAAATCAAGGAGCTTCAGTAAACAGCCCAGCACTGGGGACTATTACAAGAGTTTGGGCGACACGGCCGAGCCCCGTGGGAGCAGTGAGATGGCCCCCAACGAAGAGGTACAACTGTCATTTATGCACTGAATACATGTTGCCCGTTCATTTAACTTGGGACACCCTGGAAAACATTAGTTGCAATGCTGACTTAGACACACTACCAAATCACATTCATTGTGGTGGAGAGAAGAACGTCACGGGAGGCTCAAATAGAACCAAAAGCAACATTGGGTAGATATGGCATTATGTCCATACCTCATGAACCCTATAAGTGCTCTGTTTTATTAACTTTCACAAGATAGCAAAATTTGATTTGATTTGTATTTTTATTTCGAGTTTGTGCCAAAAGAGAAACAATAATCATACTTCATATACATTGTAAACAACAGAAAAGCACATTTCTCGAAAAGGAGTGGGAAGAAGACAAAACTTAAATGAACCCACCTCTGTTCATGACATAGTTTCAAAAATGATATGGTTTGTTATGTACACTGATCACGGATCTTAACAAATATTTACATATAGTCAAATAAATTTGGTTGTACAGACTAATAATAATGACAAAGAAGGCACAGAAGTCCATCGCCCATAATCGTATCAAAATAAGCAAAATGAGAATGAGAAAAATGTAAGGAGTACACAAATAATTGTGTACATATTTTTAAAATATTGTTATATAAGGCAGCAAAATTAAGAATTAGTTGCAAATAATTGTGTACATACAAAACATTTGTATGTGTGAATTTTTTTCTTTCAAATATTTCTTATAATTGATACAGTCTTGGCCAAAGTTCACTACATTTCTGTAATTCATTGTCATATATCGATATCTACGTAAAATTGGAAAAACTGGAGCATCAGCTCATGATTATATTTACAGTCAACTAAGCGATCAGTTAGTCTTTAACTAGACTAGTTTTACATTAGTTAATTAAATGTAAGTTTTTTTTTATATTGAAAGTCAAGATTATTTATTATTAAACATACAATTACACAATTAAACATACAATTACACAATTATTAATTAATTGTGTGTCCCTGCAGATGCTCTCCCAGTCACTCTATAAGTAGTAGATTAGCAGCTCTATATAAGGTCACTTTAAGGCTGCCATGGCTCAGTATTTGCCTGTGCATTCAGCCCCCAGGTTACATAAAATTGCATCCTGAACTAGCTTTTGTGTGCAGCCTAATGCAAAGTATTGTCTAATTTACATGTCTTCTTCAGTGTGCTTGCAACTTTAAACACAGCTGAAGGAGTTAGGGCGATAGTAAGGCAGAAGAGTAAAAGAACGAAGTTGTACTAATCAGTTTTGCAGTCAAGTTGAGTGTGTGGGTTAAACATGTTATTTCTTTGACTAGAATGTTCCATGGTATGGTATTAAACTTATATCTCCATGGAGAAACACAAGTATCTGTACTAGGCCAAGCTATACTGTAGGACAGAGAAGAGTGGAAAGCCCAATAAAGTGAAATGCCAGTATGCTACTGTATCAGTTCTGCGGTTTTAAATTGGAAGTCTATTTTGGTTGCTTCCAATGTTTTAAATGTAAAATTACCTACAGGGGAAGCGCTTTATTCCCCCGATATAGTGCCATAGCCAAAATGAAAGATCACTGTAAGAATACATGTTTTTCAATATATATTGAGCCATAAAAAAATTTTAAGTGCACAATACTCTGAAATATACAATAAGAGCAATATAATCTGGAAAGATGTAAGTGAAAGGTACATATTGCACTATACTGCTTTATATGGTCCACAGTCAACTGCATCTGAAAAAATACAAATCTTGTATGGTATAAGGCTAAGATACTGATCAACCACAAGAAGACAATAAAAGATCAAATATTTGTATATGCCATAATTATAATACTTCTGGCACACCTTAAAAATAGTTATCTGAGAGAAACATGCATTAGCATTTAATTTAGCTGGGTGAATTGTAGTTTGGTCAGTTATTTGTTTTGCAGCTATAATAAATGCACCTTGAATGGATAGTCTGTTTGTGCTACCATCCCCAGGGACTTGTTCTTATCAGTGGGAGCATGTCAGGAGCAGAGGGGGGGCGGGGGGTGAGCATGGCGACATGGGAATAATCCACATTGAGCCAATTACGGCCGCAGTGGGGCTAGCGCTATTCCCAACAGATGTACAGGCTAATCAAGGACTGCAGCGGCACGTGCACCGGGACCCATCTGGACATGCCCCCCTCCTCTTCCTTCCACCCCAACTCCCTGGGGGGCTAGAGGCGTAGGGGGGCCCGCGATGAAGAGCACGCGTCTCAGGATAATAGACTGGGCGTGGTGGGGGCTTAATTTCATGGCCTATTAACTCGCACCAAGCTGAGTTGTGGCACGCGTCGCGAGTGTGCCGGACGCATGCGTAAAGGGGAGGGGGAAGAGGGGGGCGAGGGGCTATCACTTACAATGGCAGATGGTGTCTTCCTCTTTTACCCCCTCAAAGTTTTTCCCCAGAGATTAGGACATATTAGCCATGTTATTAGCAACAAAGCATTGTGTCTTTATGAGTTGATTATACGTGGCGGGAGAAAGGAAGTGGATCACATCTGTCGTAGTGAATTGAATAATTTCACAGAGCCACAGGTGCTCAACTGCATGCCTTCACAGACTGCAAGAGAGATTTTTGTTAGTGTGGCCGATAGAGAAAAGCATGCAAACATTAGTGTGATTCTTTGAACATTGTTTTATTTACTTTATATAGTTTTAAAGTATTATTATTAAATAGTTATACACTGCAAATATGATATGATGATATTATAATAGTAACAATGATGTGAGAACATTTTATCATATTTGGATGTTTAAAGACCCACGGTGTAACATTTCTGGTGTTCATGGTGCCTGCTTGTTTCCATGGAGATAAGTTAAAGCCATCCTCTGGAGCAGAAGTTGTGTCCACAACCAAGTAATGTTATGAATATCCATATTTCTTGTCTATTTTCTTGTTTATATTTCTTGTCTATTTTTGTCTGTGAAAAGCATATTTTTGGAAAAAGCTAAATTTCATAAAACATCAAGACTAAAAATTAAATAAACTACTCACAACTACTAAAATCAAGCAATTTTAGATTTTAGTTTTTACAGATTGTGAGATTCATTTAAATGATAATGCATGTTTATATGACTGTAAAACCACAATTTATTCTTTGTCTCTGTGCAGGGCTCTGTGTTATTGGAGGAGCCCAGTGAAAGTCCAGCCTCCAGCACAGAGAATGGCCCGGCAGAGGAGACGGCGCCCGCTCCCCCCGCTCCTCCCGCTCCTCCCGCTCCTCCTCCTCCTCCCCCTCCTCCTCCTCCCCCTCCACCAAACAACGCTGCACCACCCCCTCCCCCTCCTCCACCCCTGCCCCAGGACACCCCAACACGGACCAACACCACGAGCAGCACCCCTACCAACCAGCGTCGCCCATCATCCTCAACAGGAAGTAAGTCTACTTGTTTTGTTTTTTTTTATTTGAGAGCTCTTTGGTCACTTTGACAGTTACTGAAGGTTTTGTTCATAAGTAAAATGATTGATTCACAGAAATCTTTTGAGAAATGTACAGAGTTAGTCATATGTTTATATGTTGTCCCTCGAAAGCACCATGTGTTGTGTATTGAGGCCATCAGAGCAAGCTCCACTGGTAAAGACGAGAAGCACTTTAGAAAATGAGGGTGGGTGGGGGACTGTATTTGACATACAATATTCAAACTATTTAAGTTTTTTTATGCTGCTGATAACATGGACCTGTGTACAGTGTTTTGTTTCTGAGGATTTTATATACTGAAATGACTAAATTCTGATTCTGATTCTGAGTTCAGCCTGACACTGGCTTCCTAAATAACTCATTACAATTGCATGAAGCAGATGCATTACTCCAAGCCCTGGTTTAGTGTTCAGCCATTTCCTTAAGTGCCCCAATACCTTGCTACAGTTCTGTGTTTCGTGAGTTCTTCATTGATATAAATGACATCACAATACATAATGGTCCCTGTGACGATAATCAGACTATATTACAGCACAGTATTGTACAGAAAAATGTCTTGGTTGAGATTCAAGTATTGCCCAAAATGTGAATGGATTGTAAAATTAACCACAAAATTTCAGAACACATTTGAATACACTGCAGTTTCATTTATGTATTTATTTATTTTTATCTAATCTTGCCTTTTTAACATTTTTATTTTACTTATTAAAATTTTTATATTAATATATTTTAATTTTCCCAATATTTAAATTTTGCATATACCCGGAACAACAACCGCAGTGATACTATTTTTTCCATATAGTCCTTCTCTAGTCTTAGTGCATGTTTACAATTTAATGTCCCACCTTCAACTGTCCCACCTGTCTGTCTGTCTATCTGTCTTCCTCTCCTTGTCACTTTTGTGCTGTGGAGATGTGGAAATTTCCCTCTCTCTGGAGGAGGACAAAAAGCCCAAAGAAAAGAAGAGTAAGTACAAGGTGTAATTTTACTTGTATACATATTTAAAGTATGTATACTAAAAGACTAGAGGTAGGAGCTAAAAGTGCTCATGTTTGCATTTATATATTATGCAATGTAGTTCTATGGTTAGAAAGAGAAAAGAAACAATTCAACAACATTTTTCCTCAATGCACGTTGTCTGAAATGTACAGTAAAAGGGTTAAGATTAAAGATTAAATTATATGAATGGTACCAGGCAAATTCGCAAAATCAGCAATGTACAGAATACAGTGCACTTTGATAACAAAATATCCAGTCTCAGTTGAGTCCATTTAAGTATTAGACCTGCTGTCCCTGTAGTTTACCCCTCTGCAAACATGTTGTGAGATGCATGTGTTTCTTGAATAGTTTAGCAGTTATACAGTAGATTTCAATCTTCTCTCAAATGTTTATGTCCTGGAGGGTTGTGGGTTTTTAAAATGCACAGTGTGAAATGAATTTAATTTCATAAATTGCAAGACTAATCCAGGATATTACTTTGAAAACTCAAAATCATAGAAAATTATTCAGCAATGATTTGGGGTCGCATTATGGCCAAAAAATAAAGTTTACTGGGCATTCGTACGCATTCTGCCTAAACTTATTGCTTCCTTCAGGGACCTTTTATAACAAGTACTCTAATTTACGCATGGCCCATTAATGATCAAATAGCAGGAAAGTAATAAACCAATTTAAAATGAAAAGAAGTAAATATCTGTCAAAGAGAAGAATTATCCTGCCCCAGTAAACAGCAGTTAGGTACAATAGAGAGACAATTTATGACTCCAAACCATAAACCAGGTGGCACCTCTAATGTTTAGTGTCCCGTGTTTCTTTATTGATTGACACTTATAAAATGGCTCGCTTTGGTTTGATTGTAGAGGACAAAAGATATATCCTTAACTGCTTTGTCCCATAATAAATATAATGACCTAACTAAGGTAAATTCCACAGTAAACATGCTTTAATGCCTTTGTAGGCTACACAATATTTATCAGCTGTTGTCTGCCTGTCACAGCTCCACCCACTCTCCTCTCACACACTCTCAGGCAAAACACTCATACAGCTCCATTGTGTTTTATATAAAGGTCTGTTTGCGATAAGGTCGAAATCAAGGGGCAATGGTGTTTTTGCAATGAGGCACTATGAATAAAAGATATGGCTTTGACAAGACTTAATCCTTTCTTTAATGGTGCACTATGTCATTTTTGTGGTTCATTACAGGTGCTTTTATTGCACTTAAGATATGTTTTCTTGCTGGCCTGATGAACTCACCTGCTGCTCCCATGGAAATACTTGAGTTTAATGCCTTACTATGAAACATTCCAGGCATAATATACAAGTATTAAAATTTTGCAAACAATCTTGAAAAGTACATTGAACCAATTTAGTCATCAATATAACACTACATACCACTGCTGGATATAAAATTACAATACAGATTCATGTATTAGATAAAAGTATAGTTATTAGGGATGCACTGATATGATACTAGTACTGGATAGTGGCACGATATCGGCACTGAACAGTTAGCTGGATCTGATATGGGCTTACTTGAAAGATAAAATAACAGCTCCATAACACATTTGGATTAGTTTTGTCTTATTTTATTTTTGCTTAAAGGAAACAAAGGCTGTTTTCAGTCTATGCACTGGTGTTGGTCAATTTCGGTTATCAGAAGATACTTAAAGCTATAGTAATGGAATTGGTATCCTAAGAGAAAAGAGCTGGATCGCTGCATCCACAATAGTTATAATGATGTATTACAGCTAGTTCAAGGACCATGTCTGTATAGAAATGATCAAGTCATCAACAGTAAAAAAAATGCTCACGATCTAGAGTCTCAGAGCCACAATAGTCCCTTGTTGTCCCAGTGTCTTTGTATAATCCAGTGTGTGTGTGAGGTGAGATGGTGAGGACAAAGGTGATGAATGAAAGCGGTTTGTCATATGCGTGTTACTATTGCGTGCTGTTCGGGGGATTGCTCACTAAGGACTAACAAGATGAGATTGAGAGGTGACTGTGCATATGTGCTTGTGTGTATGTGTGTGCGCGCGCGCGTGTGTGTTAATACCAGTGGCTTGCTGTCACTTTGCGTTACTGGTGATTCCTTTAGATTGTGATGCTGGAGTTTGAATAGAAAGTGGTGCACAGAAGAGAGAGAGTACAGGAGAGAGAGAGTGTAAGGAGGGGCCACACAGACTTCGTGTTGGGCTGCACCTCTGCTCCTTAATGCAATATTTAATGGAACGCTTCATTCATCTAGAAAATGAGAGATCGGTGAAGGATTAAAGGCAGATCACAGAGGTTAACCGCTGTCACATCAGGTGAGACATGGGCATTCTTGGAGTCTGGTGGATCGCGATTGGACTATATGTTTTGCTATATCTGATTTAAATGAAGTAATTGGTTTATTTAAATGGCACTGCGAGTTTGTAGAGCACTGATTAGCCACCTGTGTGATTTTGAATGGAAATTACTTTTGAAAAATGCGCTTATTCATTAAAAGAGTTTGATGGTTTCAATTTTGTTACATGTAGGTTTTCAACATTAGACTGAGCTGTATAACTGTATGCATTTCCAAATGGTAAAATTAGCCCTTTTCAAGATATAATTAGGATCAAGGATTGCTGCTTGTCAGTGTATAAAAATGTACTATATTTGATGAGTTTGAGAGTTTGATGATTTCAAATGTGACATTTGTAGGTTTTCAACATTAGTTTCAGATGAAACATATTGTATGAATTTCAACATTGTAAAATTAACCCGCTCCAATCAATAATTAGGATTATATTTCATACCTAAGCTATTTAACATATCAAAATGAGACTAAATATTATGTTTAAAGCTGAGTTTTGTGGCATGTTCATTATAAGCAGATTACGAATTAAGAACTGGATGTATACATTTTTACAAAGACCTACTTTCACGATGTCAGCTTCTGTGTCAGCAACAGCTTAACTGGACATAATTAGGTCGCTCTGGGCAACCATTCTTTTGTATTCATTGTATTAAAACATGCTGTACTGAGCCAAGACTAAATCATTGTAACCATTGTCATTTATCTTCTATAAATGTACATTGCCTGATGTTCAGTGGTAAAGGGCTGTAGACAAAAATATATAGCTCTGAATGTAAATGATTATAGATAGATTTTATTGATCACCTGTGGACCAACAACTCCTCAGCTTGTATTGTGAAGCCTGGCTGACGTGATTAAATATTTAATAGTGAAATGCCACCCAGCCCCGTGCTTGCTCCCTCTGCACTGTGCCGCTCTGCCATTTGTCATTGTGTCAGTTGTATTTATTTCAACTGCCGGTTTCACTTTTCCCTCTCATCCTTTTTATCTGCAGGCGCAAAGTCCTTCAACATGATGTCCCCAACCGGAGACAACTCGGAGCTGCTGGCAGAGATCAAAGCTGGGAAGAGCCTGAAGCCTACGCCCCACAGTAAAGGCTACACTACTGTCTATTCCAACAGTGGACCAGCGGGCAGCAATGTATGTTACTATGTCCAACAATATAACTAAGTAATACAGTATTTTCTTTTAAATGTCAGTCTTTTTTCAGTGGCATAAAATTCTGTATGGTAGTAAATTTTCCATTTTCTGGATATTGTTGTCTATCAGAAATTGTGCAACTAGTAAAACGAGGCGAAGAGGAGTGTTCCACAGTATGGCAGTAACATTTATCTAACTTATATTTAATTACAAGTGTTTTTATTAAAAACTCAAAAATGTACACTGAAAAACATACATTCTTATGTGCGCAAGATTGCTTCTCCACAGATCTGGAGATACACAGATAATGTGAACTTTTAATCTCCATGGATAAATAAGTTTAATGCCATACTGTCAGACATTCCAGGCAAAGCAATAACATCTCCATGGAGACAAGCTGATGGGGTACAGTACTTTTATAATAGACATTTATTAAGGAGAGAGAGAGAGAAGAAGTTTTTTTTGTCAGTACTGGACCCATCGACATAAACTGGTGGTAGTGTTAACCAATGAAGACTTATTATGCTCCATAAATGCTTCAAAAATGAGCTAAGGTGTCCTTGGTACAGCTCTGCAAAGGAAAATTCCCAAAAGCAAATATTATTCAGAGTATTCAAAAACACCACACCGTGATAGATGCACTATTATTACTAAAGAAATATCTATATTTTTGTTGTTTTAGGGGGGCACCACCTCACCTCCAGAGACACGTCCTTCAAGCCCACCTCCTGCCAAGTCGCCCTCTCCTCCGCCCCCCAACAACAATAACAGCAACACAACATCTGTCACCTCACCACAGTCCACCCCAAGTCCAAGCCCAAGCCCAACCAGCCCTAGATCCACCAAAACCATGTCAAACTCTACAAGCAACGGGCATGTATCCTCTAACCCTGTGGTCAATGGGAACAGTAGTAACAGCTCAACATCTGGAGAGACTGTTAGGAAGACGAGTATGTCCGATGTGGAGGCCCTGGTGCCCACTCATGATGAACAGGGAAAGGCCATACCTGAGTGGAAACGCCAGGTGATGGTCCGGAAACTGCAGGCCAAGATGCAGGAGGAGGAGGAAAGCAAGCGCAAGGTAAGGTTTGAAGTAAGTTAGCTATAATGTGTGACACTTAAAGCTATCCCATTTGTGTTTTTTGACATACTGGCATAAGTGTGGGTTTCAGCTTCCTGTTTATAGGTGACATTTTGAGGACTTTTAACTATTCAAAAGATATTTATTTAGAATATTTATCTTTGAATTGTTAATTGCCATGACAATGATGCTAATCACAATGCCTTCATCACTCTGAAACCTATGAATATGTAGTGTTTAGCTCAGCATAAATATTACACACACAATTGTAGTTGTAGTAATTACATGACTGTTTTTTTCTGGGGGAGGGCTCTGGTATAATAAAAAAGGTAGGTATCAAACTAATCAAAAAGGCTTTGAAACATGAATTGTACAGAAGTATAATATGTCAACACAGCACACTGGGGATAGCTGCTTCTTGTGTGATTTTATGTTTCTGTTTGGGGTGCCAACAAAATCTGATCATAATGCAAGGCATAAACGATTTTGTTCTAAAGTCATTTAGAGCAAACAATAGATTTTTTATTTTTTTTTTGACTCAGTTGTAAATATAAACTTGATATTTTTTTCCAATTGGGTATTTTTTTTGCTGACAAGTTACTTATCTCAGTCTTCTGCAAATACATCTGCAGCATGTGTGTGTCCTGTGCCGTGTTGGATTGCAGTGAAACACTTGGCTACAACATCCATCATGAACTACAAATGGACTAGAGTGAACTGATGGAGTTTTGTGTCTCCAAGTCGTTTACATGTCGATTCAGTGGTGTGATGTCGGGCCAGTTCACACTACATGTCAACCAGTGATAACCAAAACTCCTATATTTACATATGACATAATTAAATGTCAATAGCGGGTTCATGCTTTAACCAGCTGAAATATATCAAACGTCAGGGAGACCACATGACTCTAACCATTCTCACACAGTTCTCTACTCATGTGTAAACTGACATGTGGGGGCAAGTACTTAAGTAAATGTAACAAAAACATACTTTATAGGGACAAATGAGTGGTAGATCAACCAGTGTATAAAATACAAATGTAGAGCAAAACAAAATATTCTAAACTGTGAATTCAGTGACTAAACCAGAGAGAACAAAGCGACCTTTGTTGTGGAAAAGTAGTTTGACCCTTTGAGGCAGTGCCATTGCACCACTAAATCCATGTAATTCCTATGTGTGGAGGATTTGCACTGAAGAGTGTTCACACAGGAACACGACATGAAGGACATCCCTCTCCCCTTTCTCTCTGTCCATCTCTAAACTGATACAGTTTGCTGCTAATGGAAACTACCAATCTCAAGACTGGCACTACTCCCGTGTCCACAATGCCATTTTGGGACCATTCGGGGAGCTGATGACGGAGGCTGACTTGAACCGCATCGAGAAGCAGATAGAAAATCTGCAGCTGATGAACAAGGTGTCGGAGGTGGAGAAGGAGCTGGAGGCTCTCGAGCGAGAACTCCATCAACTGTTGCCAGTGTCTGCTGCCTTAAACCAGGGACACTTCTCAGTCAACCCCAAACAGGTGCATGGACAGGCAGAGGATTTGCCCGCCTGGTGCAACAAGATCTCCACCCTCCTCAAAAGTATGGCCCTGCTGCTGGCCACGCTCGGGGGGAAGCAAATAGACATTCTGGAGCTTGTTTATTCTCAGGAGGGAAAGACAGCTCCTGCCCAGGCGGCAGGGACTAACAGCGGATATATGGGCAGGTCCCTATCCTTTTCGACCAGAGAAGATGTGGAGAATGAAATAAGACAATGTGGGGTTTCAGTGAAGAATCTTAAGGCCAATTATGAAGTGCAGAATCAACCACAGACTGCTCATGACAAAAGGGTGTACAGACGAAAAAGGTCCCTCCCAGTGGTGAGTGAAGATGGCCACTCTGCCAATATGGCTCCGTCACAAACCAATGGACACTTGGCTCCAGTGGAGCCCCCCACCACAATAGTGGAGGAGCCAGTGATTGTGGCTTCACACGCCCCTAAGACATATGTCCCATCTGAGGCTATGGCTCCCAATAACTTAGAGCAGTTCAACCAGGTTCTGTCCACTGACCCCATTCTGAATAATGACCAATTCACCAGGAGCTTAGAGGTTCAAACAGACTTCAGTTATGTGCAGGAATGCATAGATATGAGGAAAGAGAGAATTGTTTTTCTTTTTCTTGAACATTGGCGTAAATACACAATGACTGAATCCTTTCGACCTAAATCAAGAAAAGGATCACATTTAGTTGTGGGCTGGGAAGATTATAACCAGTTTAGTGCAGAGCTCAGGGAGGGCGTCCAAAGTGAGGATGACAAACTACTTCTTTTCATGAAGTCAAAACACGTTGTGGGAAATCTAATTGGTCACTGGCGCTTAATTATGAGTCAAGTTCCCACAAGGCAAATCCGGAGACTCAGCCGTGCTCAGATGATCTACTGGCCCGAGCATTTCCTGCCCCATGTAAACGGCTCACCTGTCAATTATGAGAGCCTGACACTAGACCTTTTCATGCTGGGATACTTTCAACTGCTAGAAATGAACATGTCCCGAAATGAACGCAAGTTTCGTCACCTTTTGTGTTACGAAATGTTTGACCGCCTTGGTAGCCATAAATGGGAGGTGATTCGAGATTTTCACAAAGAAGTCATGTTGGAAATTGAAAAAGGCAAAAGAGACTGGGCAGATGGTTTTGAGGACGTAAAGCAGAAATATTTTGGCGACTCTGAAACTTTGGGTGGTGTTTTGACTGCTTCTTTTAACTCCATGGCTCCTGAACTTGCCCATGTGCCCGAAGCCTTGCCACCACCTCCTTCACACCCTCCTCCTCCTCCCCCTCCCTCTCACCCAGCACCTTCACCTCCCAATCTGGGGTCTGAACCACCTCAAAGTGCCCCACCAACTTCACCATCAGATCCTAGCCCATCAACACAACCTCCTTCCATAAACAGTGGCTTATCTGATAACATGAAGGGAAAGGAGACATTGGATGACACCATCCAGAAGGATCCAAAAGCGTCACCAGATAGGGGGGCAGTTGTCAACGGAAACAGCTCAGAGCCGGGCTCAGGACAGAGAACCGACACCATACAAAACAGTGACGTAACATGTAAAGCAGAGGCACAGGCAGAGGAAAAGCAATCTGGAGCAGAGAAACAGGTCCCCCCAGACACTGTAAAAATAGAGGAGCCTCCTGTTGATAAACCACCCCCGAGAAGTGGCTCAGACTCTATAAAGACTATTTACGATCTCAAAGAGTTCAGTAATGAGGAGATCATAAGATACATTGACCGTAGTTTTGCCTTTTGGAAAGAAAAAGAGGCAGAGCTATTTGATATTTAATGTTGTATGGGCTGTAAACCTAGTAAACACTGAACTGTTGATGAAACCACTGAAGGAACTGGCAGACTGAAAGGAAAACAAAGGATACTAATCTGGTGTTAGCTTTTAGGTCAAGACACTAGAGCCGCAAATAAGAATCTGCTTGGCTTTGTGAACACCCAGTGACCATTTGCATATCCCTCTGAAGTTTTTATGGAAGGCTAAAGGTTTTTTTAGATTATTTTTCAGAATCATAATCTTTATGCCATCTTATATGACTTTTTTAGATGTATATTTGAAAGGATGCCATATAATGTGAGCATTTTTGATAAATTATTTGATGTAATTTTGCCACATCTCATGGTCTTCACAAGAATAATATAGTAATGATGTCATGTCATTGTATATGTACTTACAGTCATAATAGCCCATCATCAAACAGTAATTCATGCCTTGCAAATGTGACATAAAGTATATTGTGTCTTAGTAAAGTACTGAATTGTAAATAAACAAAATATTCAGCAAATTAATCACACATATCAAAAGGCTTATCAGGCTTAGATTTGAACCAGTTGGTTTCTATCCTGTTATTATAAATGAAGTTTTGTGAGTCTATTAGAGCATCTGTTTTTATATCAGAACTGTGTAAGGATAAGTATTATGGATAATAATTGATTTTATAATGCTCAACGAAAAAGATTATATCAATAAAGTGAAATGAGCGGATGTTTGCAACGCCTCAGGGTTTAAGAAGTTTCCTTTGAATTTTCCTGTCAAGATTAGCGCTAAATAACCCTATTAGCACCCCCCGCTGTCATGCTATCTGTGGCGTACAGAGCCAGAAGGAGGTGATCACAGACTCTGCCCACTCAAAGAGGAAAGGTCAGACGATGATCCAAAGTTTGTGTGGATTTAGACTTGTTTCATTTTTTATTTCACCTTGAATTGAAAACTAATACATTATACTTTATTTGTGTGCCTTATGTCAGATATTAAAATGTTATTTGCATAAGTTCTGACCAGAACTGAGAGCTAAAACTGTCTGCAAAAGTGTATGATTTGGAGCAGAATTTATTATTATTATTTTTGCAATTTTTGTGTTAAAAGATACTGATTCAAAGTCTAGTTTTGTTTTTGAAAGTAAACAATGATGTGCAAAACAAAATAATCCCACAAAATATATCACTGCAAAATAGCTAGTCCTTTGTCTGCCATCTAGTAGGCATTTTTGGTACTGCAACTGAAATAACTGGGGGTTCTTAACATTTGTAAGAAAAAAAATATAATAGTAATAATAATAATAACATTAACATAAACAACATGGCCACTTTAAATTCTACTTAATATTGTAATTCCCATGGGATCCTTTCAGTATTTATTGTAAAGATGATCTTACCTGTATGTTTCTTGGAACAAGGAAAGAGGAATGCAAATGTGTAATTTATCTGGTCAGGTGAAGATGAGAAATCCAAGCTGACCGCCCTCTTCCCATCGTCCACCTCTAATTACAACCTGATAAAAGACACCAAATACACTTTAATGTTGGAGACAACAGGTCTAAATTGTTGTATTTGTTAACACAGAGGGCAAGCTTTCTGACTGTTAGTATTTTAATACTACAACCACTGGACTGTGCTAGTGCTCAAAATGATATACAAATTATTTAATGCATTAGGCTGTGCACGTAAGTTAGGCTGGTAGCACTTTCAGTTTAACTTGCCACTTTGGTTGTTGTAATTATCCACATATATTTTACTTACTCTGTAGTACTGCTTACTTCTCCTTTTTAAAATTTCAAGCTCAAATACAAACATCTTAGATGTTTGTGATGGCTTATAATGATATTATATTGTATCTTGGCCAAGAAGACATAGGCTAGTAATAAGTAATTGTTGAGTTCAACATGGTAGCAAGATTAGTAAGTAAAAAGTAAGTAAAAATTAAGGTGCACTGTATACCTTTTTTAGTGGAGGGTCAACCGCCTACTTGTCTCTGTGGAGATGCTTTCCCTGGTATGTTCCACAGTGTGACATTAAACTTTTTTATATAGAGAGAGATAAGCAGATGACTACACCTTTTTCAATAAAATACATGATCAATAAGTTTAATATCATATTGTGGAACATCCAAGGTGAAGCATTAATATCTTCATGGAGAGTAGATGTCGGCAGACACTCTATCTGGAAATTACATATTGCACCATTACATTTTTCTGTTTCACATTATTCATCAGCATCATCATTATGGATGAATTGATTGATTCAATGAGGCATTTTTTAATATAATTTACAAACATATAGTATATATTTGTTTACGTGAACCATTGCTAACTGTTGTGGACCCCTATCCCACCTTTCTCCCTCTCCCTTACCCTCTGACTGTCCACAGGCCGAGGAGGAGGCTGCACGTCTGGCTTCACTGCCAGCCTGGAGGAGAGACATTATGAAGAAGAAGATGGATGAAGAGAGGTGAGTGACCAAAACCTGTTTTAAAAATAAGTCTGTTTTTTGTTTTTTTGTTTTTTTTTTACGAAAGTGGTCTTCTTGCTGACTACTTTAATAAAAATATTTATCCCAACTATATTTTATCATCTTTCTGTTTATATAAAGCATCTGTGAGTTATTGTATGTTATTATGTTTTGTACAACCACTTGCGGATATTTACTCTTTATTTCTTTTCTCTTTTTCCTGATGTGACAGGGAACAGAGAAGGTAAGACCAAACACTGGGCCGATTCATGGATAATAAAATGCATCATTTGCATAGCATAGAATCTTAGTTCATTAAAAAAGTAAATTACACCATGTTTTTATTTATTTATTTATTTGGCTTGTTAGTTGGCCAGTGAGTCAAGCTTTATTTAAGATAGTGCAAATAGGTACATAAACTAAATAGCTACAGGAGTTTATTAACATTCCTTCCATTTATTTTTTTATTACACTGGATAAACGTGTGCATACATTGACATATTTAAGTATTTGCTCAGTATATGTGGTGTTAGGTCACATTAATTAGTTAATAGTTTTATCGACTCCAGCTTTATCTGTGTTTATTTACCATTGATTTGCTCTGTAGAAAGGCGGAGGAGCAGGCCAAACAGGCTAAAGAGATGGAGGAGAAATCAGAGTTGGAGCGCATACGCACACTGGGCTATGATGAGACCAAGCTGGCTCCATGGCAACGGCAGATCATTCTGAAGAAGGGGGACATAGCCAAATAGTGAACTGCCCCTGCACTGCTCTGCTGCTATTGCCCCAAGGCCTTGACTTCAACCGCTTATTCCACATACTGGACAAAAAGTACCATGTTACACTTTTTCAGTTGATGATGTGGATTTTGCTCTTCAGAAGTTTGGTCCAAAAGCAGCATTGAGAAAACCCTCACAAAGACTTTAGTGTTTACTGTAATATTAAAGATGCACTATGAATTTTTTTTCTGGTGGAAGGTGGGCCATCTCCTTACCTTCATGGAGATGTTATTGCTTTGCTTGGAATAATACACAAAAAAGCACTAAACATAACTATCTTCTTGGAAAAATGCATGTGACTCTATCAAAAGAAGTTACAGGTCAGATCTATGGAGAGGTGACCCACCTCATGGTATTTTTGAGCAATGGAATGAAAGGTGAAAAGGAAAGAAATGCTAAATGGATAAGTTTAATGCCATACTGTGCAATGTTCCTGGCAAAGGTACAACATCTCTTTGGAAACTAGCATGTGACAGACCCTCAACAGAAAAGTTACATAGTGCTACTTTAACAAATCCAATGACATGCACTGATCTTTCTGCTTGACTACGTAGGCTATCAGGCTATCTTCTTTTAAAACTGTAAAATTGCCCTATATTTACAATTAATTATCAGACTTTGACGTGAATGGAACTTTCAAGATTAGTAAATAACATGTAACATTTAAACAGCATAACAAAAACACAGCCAATTCTCTGGTATAGGATGTCATCTGTATCCATGAGTAATGGTCAATTGTTTTATTAGTGTCATAGTTGCACTTTCTTTTCTGGTTTAAAGTTTTTGCCAGAGTAAATAAAACCAAGTGTTTAAATGGAAAGATATAGGATGTTTAGGTCTATAGCAAAAACTTTATTATATTTCCTGAAAGTTGAAATATTCCCAATTAATTGTCTATTTATGGACTAAATATTAAGCTACAATGATCATGAATGTGAAGTGTTGTGTGCATGTGTCGAATATTTTGTTATGATGTTATATTTTAATAATGAATGTTTAACCAGAGGTGGGTAGACACAAGTTAGAATATTAATTCCAAACTTGCACATATAATTCATATAACAACATGAAAAATAAGATCCAGTTGAATAAGAATCAGATACATTTTAAGTCAGGTACTTATTTTAAAAATATTTTGGCTTTTAACTTACTCCAACATACTACCCACCTCTGTGTTAAACGGTGGGACAGAGAGAAGCATCTCATGTGTGAGACCTGTGTCCCATTGCAGCCTTTGCTCCAGTAACCTGCAGCATCAATATTGGATGAACAGATCTGATTACAATGTGCAGTGGCCATTGTCCGACAGAGAAAGACGTAACATCAAACATTTACTGCCCCCCAACACCGCCTGTGTTTTAATCATTGTCCCATAAGTCTATTACATTGGGTTGATTTTGTTACTTATAATCCTGGTTACAGAATGGCTATGTGCACATTAATGTTTTTTTTTTTTTTTTATCTTGGTATTTTCATATGAGATAATAAGACATAATAAATATAATTGATTTCTAATATTACTGGTGATCACATAGAAACCCAATATTGTCTGTATTCCTACAACAGATTTTAATTACATTTTCACAGCACTAAACTGTAATAGTTTTTTAGATTTTTAGTATTGTAAACCTGGTGTGCACATAGCTGTTATACTATATTGCTTCTTTTCCATATCTCTTTTAGTTTATGACAGTTCATATTTTTGCTCTTTTCCAAATATGTGATTTTACATAGGCTTTGAGTGATCACAAATTCTAATAATGCCATCATGAATACCATTCCTTAAATAAATTACTCTGTATGTTTACTACAATTATTTGGATTCAGTTGTACCAAATGTTTGTCACATCAAAACAAGATGTGCTGTGCTCCTCATTGGAACCATTTGATGATTATTGCATCGGATGCCATATGATGTTGAAATTGAATGCCATTTGATTTTCTATAAATATATTAACTGTGTACATAGTGACCCTAAGAGTTTTAATGATGTCCTTATTGTGTTATGTCTAAGCCTTTGCTAAATAGAAAATGACTAATATGTTATATTTTCAGATTGTTATATGAAGATGATAAATAAATAAATCTCTAACCGCTAAACTGTGGTTAGAGTCTTTATGTTGAAGTTTACATGTGATCATGCTCTATTATTAGGTGAAAGAATAAAGTATAAATAAAAATATTAAATTACAGTTTTGCTATATCTCCATGGGTCATAGTTGGTGTATATTAAAGCTGTATAAGACTGCATACTTTACAAGGTAAATGAATGAGACATTAATATTTAATGCTTGTAGATTTGAAGTCTAATGTATCTATAAAATATTAGCAGGCCAAATGTTAGAAACATTGACATAGAAAAAATAAAATAAAATCCATGTTGCCGCCAGAGGACGACACAGATCAGCCAATCACCTTAAGCGATAGACCCATGTTCAAGCAAGTTAATAAGGTATGCGACCTGAAATTGACGAAGAAATGCATGACATATAGCTTAATTAGTTTATTTAAAAATACGTAGTCATTGTGTATTTTTAGGCCTGTACAATATGCCACAAACCCTATAGTTTTTGTCCTCGTATAGATCATTTTTAGGCTAAACCTATTTAATCAATTACATTATCACATATCAATTTAAAATAGAGTTATTCGTATATTCACAGTCACAGTGTCAGATTTGCAGGTGATTGATAGGTTCACCTGTAGTGACGTGCGCAGCCCCGTGTTAATGGGCGCCCGCAAACAGAGGAGGAAGTGAGTGAAGACTGAGAAAAATGTGTCAGACCGAAGGGTAGCACCGAGGCGCGGCCAAAGACGCACTGGACAGCCGCCTACGTTAAGGAACAAGAACGTACCTCCTACCGACCGGATTCAACATTGTCGTGCGTAAAATTGGCACGCACAGGTAAGATTATTGTCATAGCTGTTGTTGTTGTGGACTATTTAATCTTCTTGAACTGCGTGTCACCTCCTTGTTTGGAACCATGGGAATGTAAGTAAGGCGGACATTTTTCCCACCCTAATCCCTCTCCTGCAAAGTTATAGGGAAAAGTCAGATTTACCCCCTTCTCAACAAAACTTGCATTGCTTTATTGTTCACATGAATTATTATTTTGTGATATGTTGGATTCCAGTCATCCAGGTAAGTGGCTAAGGCGGGAAAGGAGTAGTTTTCTGAGAGTGACAAGAGATAAGTAGCTAAATTTGAATACAAAATGCCCCCATATATTTCATGCGTTTTGCGTAATAACACTTTCATAAACCTGTTGCTCATTGTTCATTATGGATACATGGTTCCTGCATGTGTAGTCAATGGAAATAGGTTAGTTTCTCTATTGTTTTGATATACAGATTTGCAGTAGCAGCTCTTGGGTGTGTTGTGTAGGCTAGTGGGGTGTAGGAGTAAGCGGTTGAGTCAGAGGATTTGTTCTCTGGTACTGACACAGCTCTCCTGAGAATATAATTAAAGCACGGGATGTTATAGGATGATGTTATTCAACAGAAATAAGATAATCTCACTTATGGTCAATTCTGGTATGTGCAGGTCGTTGGAAGACGCTTTGAAATGTACTGTACTAATCTGCTCCATTTAAGGCACCTTTTCATGCACTGCTTGTCTTGCTTTTTATCCAAATTATCCAAAGATTTCCTTTTAAGATCATAGACAGTGGCACTGTAGATCCATCATAATTTATGTTAGACAAGTTGGGACTGTCTGAGTGATCCTATTAAACTGATGAGTAATTTTTAGTTTTAGTTTTGACCCTATACTTACCAAAACAAACAAACAAACAAACATGTATATAAACAAGTATACATACTGAATGTTAATCTGGATCTATATCAAACCTAGTATAAGACCATATGTTAACATCAACATTTTTGTCTTGAAAATTACATTCTATCATACAAAAAAGTGTCTGTGTTATCAAATTTCATTTGTGATACCACAGTTAGTATTGTGCCTTTTCCCAAGTATCACAATCGAGTTGTAAATTTGGTAAGCATGACAACACTATAGAACTTGACCATCTAAAGTTGCTGCATCAGTTTCATTTTAAACTCATGGAGTTTAAACTGAAACCCAGAACTAGCCACAACAAAGTCAGGTGGTGCTGAAACAATGAACACTTGAATACTAAGCATTAATGTGAAACTGGTGTTTCTATTGTCAAAGGTGCTCTTTATGTGAACTGTTTTTTTTGCAAGAGCATTATAATACATGTGTAATGCAAATTCTAAAACACACCCCATTATTATGAAATGCAATAATAACTTGGAAACTGTTTTACATTTATTCTTGATGTTTTTTCCCCCTGGCCCACTGATAAGATAAAATTGTAATGATGATTCTATCCATCCCCCAATTCCCCATAAATGTATGTTTTTTCCAGATTCACCGATGTGGTAGACTCTGGACCATTAACTGGACCAATCAGAGGTCTCCATTAAGAGGATACAGGAAGTAGGATATGTCCCAATCAGGAAGCCCAATGGGTGACCAGGCCCCTCACATCACAGAAACCTGCTTTTCAACTGTGCTCCATATATCTGAACCAGGAGATGAAGATTATGAACTACAACACTCAGCCATGCAAAACCAAAACCAAAGCAAAACCTCCACAGAAGAAGAAGTGAAGGAGGAAGTAGGTGATGTGGTTGACAGGTTGGTGGTTCCAAAGACTGTCATTTTAAGCACAGAGAGTCCAGTATATCAGAAAGCAGGCACCCAACAACTTATCCCAAAAAATTTAGCTGTCTCAAGTCGACCCAAAAACAGACACCACACAACAGTGGTTACTTTTCCTGTGGGACTTGAGTTATCCAAAAGTGGAAACGAATCCAAGAGCAGACATTCAGCAGCAGGTCCGGAGGTGCCCTGGGACGAGTATGATAGTGATGGAGAAGGATTTGGGTTTAGGAGGAATCGCAGGAACAAGTCGTACAAAGCAGCAGTGACCGAAGTGGGATTTACAGCAAAAGGCAGTTCAAACATGCTGGAGCCCGTGCAGGAGAGGAGAGCCATCAGCCCAAGTCCATCGAGGAGTCCTGGAAGAAAGGTGAGAGGAGGATCTCAGAGGAATCTAACTAATATATAAACTTAAATATAAAAACATCACACAGAGATTAGGGTTGTCAAAATAGTATCAAAACTTAAAGATAGGACAACCTTCTTAATACTTTTTTGAATAATCTTAATCTATATCATAACTATTGTGAGACCACATGGTAAGATTAAAGAAACAATTATTGTGTTAAAAATTACATCATCTATTGTCTATAAAGAGGAATGTTTGTGTCATGATTTGAAATGTGACAGAAATTATTTTTTATTGTATTTTTTTAAAACATAGATATTTGGCCTTTTGGAGAGTTTATTTTGTGGGTCTACAGTTCTATAGGTCATACTGCAAATAATATTTCCACATCCATGTGGCTTTAACTATTGTTTTTTCCAGTGGTAATGCAGCTTGTTAATTTTTTTTTTCTTAGACAGTTTAGCTTCTATTTTTACACTAACAAAAAATGCGTAATTTAAAAGAAAAGCAACAACTTTAAACCTGGAACAACTGAGACTTTTTCAACAAACAAAACAACTAACTAAACATCTTGATTTCAGTTCTACTTGCACAACCCCTGTGTACTTTTATTACCAGAATCTATTTAGGCATACAAATGTGCAAGTAAATCATTAACTATGTAAATGTATAGCAATATAAAAAAAAAAAATCTAATATTGAATGTGCAACAATTAAATTTAGATTAGCATGTTCATGTGATTTCAGTATTGTGGGTAATCTGGGTGCCTTCAGTTTATTGTGTCATTTACAAATGTTTCCTACATATTTCATATTTATAACACCTGCACATTTGAGGAATCTCTTATTAAATTAGCTTTAGTGTCTGTACTTGAGTTTATTTATAAAGTTGTGTAACATTTCTCAGAAATGTATAATGTAGCCTACTGGTTTAAAATACGGCGATCTTTCTCTGCAGAGGACGCTTGGAAGAAAGAGGAACCAAAAGCAGCGTGGATCATTCAAAGACGGTACGTCATAATGTCACTAAATTTAACTAGGAGCTACACACAACTGGAAAATCAGAATGACCTTTCCATATTGTGTAGGAGCTGATTTTCACAACAGTACAGCAGAGTTACCGTAATTAAATTGTGACTGGTGTGGGAGTCACTAGTGTAGCCAGAGGCAGTTTCACAGTTAAAACTCACCTTACTGGGACTATTGAACTCTAAGAAATATATGTGGCTATTATATCAGGAGATTTCACAATAAAGCAGTTATACTTGATGTCAGTAATACAAGTTCTAATTAATTAATTAATTTACCCAATCCTGTCACAAGATGTATGGCAGTCTAATCCATGTTGTGAATTAAGGATGGTCTGATAGGTTTTTATTGTAGTCCTGATAATACAGATATTGGCTCTGGCTGATATTTACTGATATTAATATCAATAATATTTAAGCCATGCAAGTATAGTAGCAGTTAATTAAACTCACATATTATATTATACTTATACTATGATAGTAGTTTAAACATGTAACCACTTCTTTAGTGTAATTGCTTTTCCTTTTTTATTAGACATAGTAAAAATCTGTAAACAATATACTGAGATATTTTATGGATCACAGTATTAGCTCAGAAATATTTCTCATTAGTGTGAATGAAAGTTAATAAAATATATACTTTTTTATTACCTTATAGTGTGAATAATGTTGTCATAATATTGTGTCTTGTGCACAATAATTGCAACAAAAATCAACCTTGTGACATTGTGCGTGGCTGTCTTTATGCTTCAGTGTTTTAGATTAGATTTGGCTGTGGATTACAAAGATGCATTCTGTTAACATAACAGTTAATTACTGAGTAGCCTGGAGCCTATACTTTTGCCAGCCTAATTTGAAAAGAGAATATGAAGATGAATATGAAGACCATTAGGTGATCTCGGCTTAGATAAAGAGAAAATTAGGGGTAAAATACCACATTTGCTGTGATTATATATTGCTTACCATGTAGCCTATCTGGTAAGTAACCTTTTTTGAAACCCCCCAGCATGATGTCACTGCAAAAGTATCAACTACTGAGATGTAAAATAACAAACAAAAAATATTCACATCTGACTGTATGTAAATTATTTGAAAAAGGCATATTTTAGAAAGTTTAAACTCACAATAAATACTATTCTATATACAATTCTCTGTATTCGTGGGAAACCTTTTGTAATTTTTCTGTACTATGATAAGATTTGAATGTAGTGGGTTGCATAAATAACTTAAATGACTCATTATAAACAAACTAACTACTATTAAGTGTTTCATTCTACTATTTATTTATTACAGCTCATGTTTTTAATCAAAGACATCAGATTTAGACTAGCGTAGTTAGCATAATCAGTTAGTTTCAATATTGTTGTTTCTCATCTATATTTTCTTCACTTCAAAATTAGCCAGGAGAGGCCTAGTTGAAACTGAGAGCACTTTTTGTTGTTGTAGCCACTCCAAGGCTGTACCAGGATGTGAGAGAGCGGGGGCTGCACTCCACAAACCAGGATGAGCTGTTGGATGATTTTGTGGTGGTGGAGCACCCAGTGGAGGAGGAGGACCAGGGCATCGTGGTGCGGAGCTATAGACCTGTTCAGCTCACCTGGAGTCAGCTGCCACAGGTACACCAACAGTCAGGAAAAAGACACAAAACAATATTTCAGATCATTCAACTGAACCAAATCATTCAAAAATCACTGCATGGGTCTGATAACATGGTTAGATTAAGGGTGTACTCACACTTGCTCTTGTTCTGTCCTGGTGTGAGCCTAGTTTAGTCTAGACCTGGATTGGTCTTTTTCCCATACAGCTAGTTCCTGGTTTAGTCACAGTCATTTTAGTTCCAATTTTGGTGTTGGTTGCAAGTGTGAACGCACCCTAGATCATCACAGGCTATTTTTTCTTTCCTTTATTTAATACTGCTATTGCTACTACTACTACTACTATTTCTACCAATAAATAATAAAAAATAATACATAACACATAATACATAGCACATAGTACTTTTCATGACATTCAAAGACACTTTGCTTTTTTTGAAGATGGTGAGTGTAGATGAACTTTTAATTTGGCCATTTAAAATTCTACAATTATAATGTATCTGCCTACTGACTATTAAGTTAGATTTTAATTAATATTGCATGCACTTCTTGAATTTGACCTTTTGCTCAGCCAAAGGTATTTCCTGTTTATCATTCACATCTATTATGTTGGTTTTTGAAGGTGAAAGAGACTGGAATCCTGTCTTTGATCACGCCCCAGGAGAGGAAGCGACAAGAGGTACTGTACATTAATTATATGAGTCTGACCATACTATAACTACCGGTAAACTATATTTTTCATAAAGATTTTTGGCTATAAAGTCTCAACAATCTTGTTTTCTTTTTGATTTGTATTTATATAGTAAACCTCTTTACAATTTATTATTAATTTAATTCTTAATCAGTGGTGGTAAGCTACTGTAGCCACAGCTGCCCTGAGTAGACTAACAGAACTTAAGGCTGCCTTTTCTGATTCACTCACCTGCCACATTCAGACATAGGCATGATGAGTGCAGAGTCTCGACTAAAGACACAATGAGAGTAAGCACGAGACCCCACTACCAAATTTAATAATCCCACATCAGTAACATCTTCCATACAATTCATAGTGATCAGCAATTTAAACTACTAACAGTAAACAACTATTTAAGTATAACAAAATATGATATCTTTTGAATGGGAAAAAGTCAAACTCAAAATGTGTCACGTTAGGAAGCTGAAACTCATGCAGTGCAGAGACTGTTGACATTTCATAAAGTTTAAAGTTTATCTTCTGAGGAGCTCAGAACACAGGGATTTCCATTATAGGTTAAATCTGACATTTTAATAGGATCAAAAGTTATACCAGGAAATATTGGGACATTGATCCATCCAGGGATAGTTTCATCCCTGGGAAACAGTGTAACTCTATCTAGGGCTGACGTTTTTCTTTGTAATGTTTATGAGCAGATGCTGTGTCAATAGCAGTGGTCCACCCCTGTGTGCACTCACTATAGGACCTGAAAACAGCCACACCCTGCCAATGTAATCACAAGCCTCACTCACACAACTATTTGCCTTGCTAGCTTTTGTTTCATAATGAGTTTCTAAGCTGATCTTAAGTTAGCATTTGTATGCAGGAAAGTTTCAACCAAGATAGCACTGTTTAAGAAGTACAATGTAAAAAAAGTACAGTCTTGAATAATTAAAATGACTTGAATTTGTCTCTCCTATATATATGTGTGTGTGTGTGGGGGGGGGATAAAACTGATCCCACTGACTGTCAAACCTATTTCAATCACAATGTAAAAACTTCAATCAATTCTTATATAGATATCAATTTTTTTAGGTTAGCATTAGTCTTTTTGCTTATCTTTCTTTGTGTTAGCCATGTTAGCATGATTAGGTCCAGTTGTAGTTTACTCTGTAGTGCACTTTGGTCTATCTCAAACCGCTAAGCACCCAGGAAGTGCAGGAGGACAGGTGTGTCAGCAGCCCTACCTGAACACACACCATTGTAATTAAAGTATTCAGAACTCAAATCATTGTCATTTGTAGTACTGTTATACTGTGTTCGCTGCTGCCGTAAACTATCCATTCATTTTTTGGCTGCAAGTCAAGACTCAACAAGTCACTCTCTCACAAATCTTCTGCTGTTACTGTTAACAGAAAAATATGAACTTTCCATGCACATAAAATCCAAACATCCAAACTGTAGTTTGTAATAGTTCTAAATGGTGAAGCCTCCTTAGATTATCTAAAAAGTGTTTTTATTTTGTATTTTAGAGGTATTTTAGAGGTATTTTCACTTAGTAATAGTATTATGTAATTACACAAACTGTGAAAAGGACAGCCTAACAGCCAGTGGTTTTCACACCTTTCACACAAAGAACAATCTTAGAATATTTGAATATATTCAGCAAAGGACTGTACCCTGGAAGACACTAGAAATGTGCAGTAAATGACAGATAATCCTAATATTCTAAAGCAGAACACAGCATGAGTTTGGATGTAAAATTGTATCCCAGAGCAATGTAGAACAGTGAACAACTGATCCGTTAACCATTGAAATAGACATTACAGTCAAGTTCTCATTGACAGATCGTATAGCTATGACTGCTACACTGTGGTTAAACTTTCACTGCAGTGAAATGCATGTGATCCTGGCTATTATCTTAACATGTAGGCTACTGAGTCTGCTCTCACGAGCTAATACTTCTGTGCTTGCTTAAAATGTGGTCTGTCTACAGAATTTAAAGTGCATTGACAGTCAAGAATACTGGAATTAAATATGATTCTAAACATGCATAAACTATTGAATAATTGTAATATTAATGTATCTTTTGTTATATTTATATATTGTCAGGCTATTTTTGAGATCATCACCTCCGAGCACTCATACCTCCACAGTTTGGGGATCCTGGTGCGACATTTTAAAAACAGCGAAGCCCTCAAAAAGACTATGACCAACACGGAGCATCACCATCTCTTCTCCAACATTTCGGTCATTGAAGAAGTCAGCAAACGGTGAGGACATTAACATTACACATTTTTAAACCAAGGTCAATTTGGGTGAATGAACAATTCCAGTCACTAAACCAAGGTGCAAAATAGGTCTACATGTGGGAGTTTTCAAACTAGGGTTAAGGTAAAAGCAAAGGGCTGCGATAAATGAGGGTAAAACCAAAGCTTGCAATAGTGTTAGGGGGAAAACTCCAAATAATTTTCATGTACAAAATAAAATCTATGTCAGTTTTCAATTTTAAGAAATATTTCATTTTAGTTGTCCCACATACAATCGATTGCCCCTCATGGTGCCTCTGACTCTTCAAAGCCACAAGGTTGGTGTCTGAAAAATACAAGGCATTACACTTTGTATTTAATTGTGGCCATGGTTGACAACGGCAAGCATGGTATTTACAGAAACTAGGTCTGAATCAGTGGTTTTAACTCTCATGACAAAATTCATATCCCATAATCTACCATTCTACTGTTACCAGGAGGCTTTGAAAAGAAGTAATGATAGTACTTCAGTAAATAAGGTTATACAAGAGCATTATGTTCTTAAAGATTAATCCGGAGTGTGAAGTGAATTCTGCTTATCCAGACCCTTATGTAGAGATTTCTAGTAAAGTAAAACTAGCATTTCCAGTAATCCATTGTGTGTAAAAGGGTCTTGTCTTGGTGATTTCCCACTTAGATTTGGTATCTGGTATAGAGTGTCTGCGGTGGTAGACTTTGCCCTGAGCATGTAGCTTCAGTATCCTGTAGGTCTCATGACATGTCCAAACTTGCTTGTCAAACAGGTTGAGCCACCTCACTGCCTGGATTCCCTCATTTGAAGATGCTAATACTCCCAAGAAAAGCATTTGTTGTCAGTGGGTTTTGCATAAAAATAAAACGTGTTTTGATCGACAATCATACAAATATGGGTGTGGTGCTAATAAGTATGCTGCCTTTTTAATTGAGTTTCTGTGTAACGTCTGGGTAGAGATTGGGGCTGGGTTAGCATTTGGTGTCATTTTACAGTTTTTTGTTTAAATGCCTGGAATATGCATAGGAGTGGTTCAGAACTTAACAAAAGAGTTTGGGCTTATTGAAAAGACTAGTTGGAAAAAGGCAGGTACACTCATTGACTGCCTGGTGAATTTAACCTGTTCTAGAGCCTTGTATAATGCCATTTTAACATTTTAACTGCACAATACAATAAGTGGATTTATCAAATTGCTTTTAATATTGTGATTGTAACCCTAAAAATAAAAATGTGAGCTTTAAATAGTTATTGTCATCTGATATCTGTTTAATTCAAAGTTCAAAGTAAATTTTATTTATGCTTTTTGTCACTTTGAAACTCTGAGATTAGATGATGTCACACTTTACAATCCAAGATACTGAAAACGTAGGAACAGAAAGTGTAATCAAGAATAAAATATTAAATATTAAAGTGAGTCACAAGTCCAAAGAGCAGCCTCCATGTTTCTGTTCCAGCAGTTTGCCTTTTGCCCTCTGGCTCTGATAAAATCTAGTTTCCAATGGTGGCATTACAGGTATGCTCTAACACCATGCCTTTTGAAATCAAGGAGCAAGGACAACTGTTATCAGATCATCTGAGTGTAAATATGCAAAATGTTAACTGCATTAGACTTATCTTAAAACAAGAGAACAAAAATATAGTTAAAATAGCTATGTAGTACTATCAATTTCCTCAATTAAACAATGTTAGGTTACTATGGAGATGGATAATTAGCTATTAAATCAGTACCAATTACAAATAATCCATTTTGCTAACTGGAACCACTTCAGCAAGTTTCCCTGGCAACTAATGGACAATTTCCTAACTCTGTCTTAATAGCTTTAAGTAATTTGTATCGCTATAGTGAAGAGACCAAATACAAGGGCTAAATGCTATATCCACTTGTAACACTTGGTTCATATGAGAAACACATTTATTCTACAGGTGTAAATTAACTATCCATTTACTCCGCTATTATTTCTCTTTTATTTGCAGTTTTTTTGAGGATTTAGAAAGGCGTCACTATGACAACGTAGTGATCCGGGACATCAGCGACATTGTTCAAAACCATGCTGCCCATCATTTTGAACCCTACATTGTGTACTGCTCCAACGAGACCTTCCAGCAGAGGACACTACAGAAACTACTGTGAGCTAACACACACTTTGCTTTTATATTTCAAATTATTTAAAGCATGTATTTAATTGTTTGTTTGTGCATTTCAGGAGTACTAACACAGCATTTAAAGATACACTGAAACAGATAGAATCAAGCAGTGAATGCGGAGGCCTTCCTATGATCTCCTTCCTCATTCTTCCCATGCAGCGGGTCACCAGACTGCCACTGCTACTAGATGTAAGTAAACAAGAGGTTTCACAATGGCTATCTATCTGACAAAATTATACTGCCATGAAGGTTTAGTGGCATATCAGCTATGCACAATTGTGCATATATTGGGCTGCACAATATATTGAAAAAGTATATTGCAATATGGATTAATGGAAAATTAATATAACAAACTCATAATTTTTAAAAATAAAACTCAGCATGCACATCTAAAAGCTTGTAGTGAGTTAAAGGTCCTATATTACTCAAAATTGATTCTTGTGAACTTTAAGCCACATTATAATGCTGTTACCTCATCAAAAACAGACCTGGAATTGTGTTTTGTTTCATTCACATATGCTTGAGTAACCCTTTATTATTAGTCTGTCTACAGATACAAAGCTTCAAATTAACAGCTACCATTTATCTTTTTGTTTGCCTTGTGAGATTGCCAATTTTTGTGAAGGTGGACAGTTTACACAGTGGCCTTCTTGTATTACCATATGACATCACAAGGTGTAACAGTGTTTTTTATTTGAGAGAAGAACACAGCCTAAATATGCAGGATTTGTGTGTTGAACATGTGTGAACAAACATTTTAACATAGATCAGAAAATAGTGTAACATGGGCCTGTTAATGCAAAATTTGTTGCCACTGCTGATTTGAATTCACAAGCCACTCAACCTTGTACTTGCAATAGACTCTATACTATACATTTATATATTTATTTATATATTGCTATCTATTTATTTATTTTATTAACTTCAGATCTTACCAATATTTTGTGAGCAGACTTTTTTTGTAGTGTGCTTGCTGTTACAAATCTTAAAATTGTATATTATGTCTTTACACCAAAAGCATTTTTCTCTCTCCACAGACAATTTGCCAGAAAACTCCAGACAAAACAGCTGAGTACTTTGCGGCAGTCTGGGCTTTTCACGCCATGAGCAAGGTATGAAGAGAAAACCAAAATGTATTACCTCAGAATTAATTATCACGTAATCATTTTCATCTTAAATGCCATGTCAACAGTTGGTCACAAGCTGCAATGAGCGGGCGAGGCAGATGGAGCGGACAGAGCAGATGTACACTATACAGAAACAAATGGACTTTGGAAAAATTAAGGTAACAGTCATAGTTCTTAAGAAATATATTTGAAAAAGTAAAATGATTCAAAATGTGAGTAAATCTAAATTATTGTCTGTTGTGGTAAGGGCTGGGAATTTAAATTGGTTGATGTCAAACTCTTAAATGGGGGGCAAGAGTCAGTGTTCCTATTATATTGCTTTAAAAAATTACACATTAATTATCCAAGGAATTATCCTAGAACATAAAAATAAACAAATATTTTACCTTACCACTTCTTTTTTTCTAACCCCCCAAAAAATCTGGGCATAATTAATAGACTGGTTGTCTATGACAGGTTGGCCTACTCCTTTTTCTGAAACACAGTTAAGATATTTAAGATTTTATCAAAACATTTAAATACATTTTTCCTAATTTGAAAAATTTAAAGGTTTCAAATTTACTTCCTGGTCATCATGACATGCCAAGGAAATCTATAAAAGTTAATTAGCAACCACATTGTACAAAGGGGCAAAATTTCTCTAATGTACATAGAAATTAAATTATTGAAATTATTTATAAATTATGAAGTTATAAAAATATTAGAAAACACCTTTATTTAGTTTAAATCATGTTTAAAATATCAGAATAAAATGTTTTTTTGCATGCAAGTTGCACCAAACATTTGGATAGAATTCTTCGTAGTGTGATGTTATTTATATGGAACTCTTTAAAATAGAAGTGTCTTCTTCCTGTAATTTTCAACATTTTTTTCAGCTTTTCTTCACAAATTGCTTCTTGATTGGTGTAAACCTTTAATTTATATTTATAACAGGTATTATCCCACGAAATTAAGCCGAAGTTATAAAATCATCAAAACCTGTTGTATGCTCACCATCAGAGGGCAATAAAACTTTCCAGTTTATGTCTTTTGGGAGCTGTGTATAAGTGCGCTGTTCAAACTCACTTTTAATGTCTTGTGTGCGCAGCCGTTCCCTCTTATTTCGTCCTCACGTTGGCTCAGGAAATGTGGAGAGCTGACCATGTCCCCTGAGGAGCTTAGCATCTGGAGAGCCTTCAGCCAGAGGAGCTACTACCTGTTTCTGTTCAATGATGTGCTCATAGTCACCAAGAAAAAGAGGTAAGGAGACTGTTTACATGTTTAGACATAACTACAAAATGCAACATGGCTATTTTTATTTTACATTACATCAAAAAGGGCTGTGCCGAAATATCAATATATATCGTATTACTCATTTTGATACAGTATTGATAGTGCAGGTTGCTCAGTATATTGCCTTGAGAATTTTTTGTACATATCACAAAACTAAAGCAGCACTTCAATTTTGTTTCATATTTAGTGAAAATAAACATGCTTATATAATGCTGGTGGCATATTGACCGTCTTGTTTAATTATTTAAGTGGATTTGATTGACAGAGTGAACATGTCATGTAGTGATTTAAGCAAATTGTGAGGTAATATGCAATTGTTCCTTATAAAATAGCGATATATTGCAGAATGTAATGTGCAACATGTTACTTACGACATATATGAGAATTTACATTTATCAGAATTATTGTATAGTTGAATTATGAGAGACTATCATTTCCAGTTCTAGTTTATTACTACACTAAAAACTAAAGTCCTTATAACATAGTTTAGTGTTAAGACTAATTTAAGAACAGTGGGTTCATTTTCTTAAGTACAAAACTACAATGTCTTCTGAACCTCTGACATTTTTTCCACTGTACCTTGGTTAAATATATATCCTCACCATCAGAGGACTTTGATCCTAATGTGGTTTAGATTAGGCACAGCCAAATTGTCATTTCACCTTCAAACTTGAAACACATGCATTACAAATTTCACTATGCACTAAACATGCTTGCACATGCTAATAAGATGTGTATGCAGACAGCACTTATTTCAAGTGGCTCATATTGGATGGCTTTTTTTGTTTGTTTATTTTTATTTTGCGAGAACGTCAACCAGGATGGCCAAATGTGGGAGGTGGTAACTTACACAACATAAATTTGTGGAACATCTCTCCCAACTTTTCAACACAATTTTACACATCTTACAATAATATAGTAAATAATATTACAATAATAAAACAATAACCTACACACGATGTATTGTTTTATACAGACAACTGTTTTCATTAATAATAATTATTATTATGTATTAACTAATAAATAAATAATAATAAAAACACAAAACCTTGGTGTTTGGTTGGTAAAGTTAGGACATTTTGAGAAAAGACATCCAAAGAGGGGACAGAGAGAGAGGATGGGTATTGTGCACACATGCTTGAGATTCTTTAAAATCTCCCATTCAGCATGTTGTCCACTTAGACTACTGCTTTCTGTTTTGAATTAGGGAGAAACTAAACAATGTGAGCTTACAGAGTGGAGCTCCACACAACAGTAGACCAGTCTGAGACCATTTAGTCAAACTGTCATTAGGTGTATTAGTCAGGAAATGCCATTAGTGGAGATGTCACATTGTCAATTATTTATGGTAATAATTTTTGTAAGATTTTAAGGTTGGTATTGACACAGTATTTCACATCACCATCTACCCTACTCACAGCCTTCAGAATCTTTTGCTGCTTTTAATGTACTACTCATGTACTACTACTAAAATCATTGTGTCCAGATGACCATACCATTTAAACCTTTACTGTTATATTATTTTGCATCTACAAATTAAATCTACATTTTATCAGCTGTGATTATGTTTAAATTACATGTTTATAGTAAGAAAACATCTGAAATTTCAATAAGTAACATGTTAAGAAATAAAATGAGTCGCCAATTACAACTGATTATATTGAAAATCTCAAGCACATTTCGATCTGTCTTCTTGACGTAACAAATACATTTTGGTTTATTTGCAGTGAGGAGAGTTTCGTGGTGACGGACTATGCTACTTTGGAGAATGTGGAGGTAGAGGTACCTGAAGATACAGATGGGAAGACTGGGTCTCCACCTCCAAAAAACAGCCACTTTCTCTCCTTCAAACTGCTCATGACCAAGAACAGTGACGGGAAGGCAGAACACATCCATCTAGTGGCTGACTCCAGGTACTGCAACTCTCATGTACCGGTATAAATATTAGTGTGAGGATTATTTAAAAAAGAAGAAATAATGTGAATTTCGATTATCGTCAATGTTGACAATGAAAAGAAATATTAGTTAAAACAATTTAACCTACACTATGATAAGTTAGATTTAGTTAGGTTATTCCATACTACGTGTCACTAATCTCCCAAATAATTAAAATTTTGGGAGTGTACATTACATCTACTTCAGATATGGTCACTTTTCAAATATGTTCCAATCCCTAATCAAATCTCAAATGTGAATTAAATGTAAAGAAAATAAACAGAACAATAATGGTAGATCAGAAATTCTATACATTCATTAAGGCTAAATTTTTTCATTACTGATTAGGAGTATAGCCTAATAGTTTTGCCCTCATATTTCTGAGCAGAAACTGTAGTGTTGGTGTGACTAAAACAATTGTTTGCATGTCAAGAGTTGAAAATAACTAGTGTTCCCAGTTATGGTTTTACTGGCTCCAATTTCTTCATAGGTGTTAATAGTTACTCACAAGCTATACTTTCATTAAAAAAAAACAACTATTGTATGTACACTGCCCTCTTCTCCCTTTACAGCACAGTGGACGCACAAATCCTTTACACTCATTCTGGCCCTGGTACCTCGTCCCACTTATTTAGAGAAGATATTTTTTTTGTTGATGCCATGAATTTTTAAAAAAAAGTGATTTTTTTTTTTCTTCTTCACACATGGGGTGTAATCGCCCTCTATGATTTTTAGTCTTTCATTGATCACAATGCACATGGTGTTTTGTGGTTATCATATATGAGCTTAGATACTGACCCTCCATGGCCCAAAACATTCAGTGTATCTGTCTTTTCTACAATTTGAGATGGTCACCCTAATAATGATTCAAATTTGGTACCTGAATTGTCTATAGTTAATTAGACCTATGCCATTTGTTTCATTATGTCTGTGGATTTCTAAAACAGGGTGAAAGATGCACAACTATCCTCACACAACCCCTCTCCGCTGTCCCTTTAAAATCTGCCGGTGTCAACTAAGGCCACCTCAGCTTTAACTGTGTCTCCCTCTACTGGCAGACATGTTGGTTGCACATAAAGTAATGGACTTCTGTTTGTTTCCATGTCTCTAGGGCGGATCGGGCTCGGTGGATTGTTGCTTTATCGGAACATAAACACGCCGGCGTCTTCACTTGTAAAGATGGTAAATATGGATTTTACTTGACGAAGTTTTAAGCCCCCAAAGATTTTACAGATGAAAAGTGGTTCATTGTATCAGGAACTACAGAACACAATGTACCACACTGAAAACAGATGGTGGTCATCTTTTCCAATTCAAATTAGTCTGTGACTGCTTAACATGCAAACTTGGAAATCCACAGTCCTCACTCCCCTTTCACAAATTCCTCATAGGGTGTAAAGCTAATTTTATGTGTTGATACCAAAATTATTATGACTAACCCGATTCAATAGTATTGTGTATACTGAAATTGGATCAACTGAATTCAAGAAGAAAAAAACTGTTGTACAGTGTGGTTGTGACATTGGTTCAAACAATAAATACAATAAGAAGCAATAAATTTAACTAGAAATATTTACCACAACCAGAGAAAATCTTCCTCACATTAATTTAATTGCTAATTCATGCATCAATCTATTTTCAGGCCTTCCCCAATATGAAGCTACTAAAGCCTATATGCCAAAGCAACCTGATGAACTGGGATTGCAGCAGGCTGAACTTGTAATTCTTCTACAAAAAGATGATGGTAAAGATACTGATAAAAGCATTTTCTTACAATTGTGATTTAAATTGCCTGAAATGCTGTTTGTAGGTTGGTGCTTTGGAGAGAGGATGAGAGATGGAGAGAGAGGGTGGTTTCCTGCCAGCTGTGCGACTGAAATCACTGATCCCACTGCCATAGAGAACAATGTGCAGCGTATGAAGAGGCTGCGAAAGGAGACCAATGTTTAATATGAACTGCTAAATTGGATGTCCATTTTAAACTGAACTTTTCAATTTACTCCCATCTCAATGGGAGGATTCATAATGTGATGTTATATTTGTGTATGACCATTTTAAGCTGAAACGCCAAGTTTTATTGCTTTTGTAAAATAGTATTTCACTTTATCATCGTGCTCTACAGAACAGAGTCCTCATTGTGCAGTTGCTATGGTTTATAACAGACCTCACTGAATACCTGCTGTGTGTGAATACTTATTTGTACTGAGTTGTATTAAAGAAATATTAATCATAAGAGATATAAGCATTCAAACTGATTCAAAAGTGTATCTAGCCCCTACATTTTGTCACTGCATTTGTAAAAATCTCATTGCATCTTGAGATTATTACCATTAGTATAATTGTTTCTTCTCTGAATAAAAAGACAAGAGTTTTCTGGTTTCTGGACTTTTATTTGAGCTTGCATTTTGTTAAAATGTTTGAATACATAAAAAGTTATTTAAAAATGTCAAACTGACCAGATATCAAATCCCATTTTTTTCTTTAAAAACCATTTGGTGTAAAAACTTAGAACAGATTTAGAAAAACATCAGCGGTTTCCCCAAAACATTTTGTAACTGCCACATAAAAATAATGGAGAAAAAAAGCAGGTCTGCATAGATTCTGCAGGCAATCAGTGTAATCTGGTCGAATGCATGGTGCAAGCTTGTGACGTTGTCAAGTCAATTCTTTTATTGCTCAGATCTTGTTTGATGTTTCTTGTTGACAAAAAACTGTAAAGGAGGCACAGGTCATGGACAGGTCCTCTAAATGCAGTTTTAGACCTGTGAAGGTGTAACTTACCCGGACGATGGTAAAAGATGGTAGGTGCCGGTGGGCAGGATGTTCCTACTCAGCCCCACCCTGGGCCTCGGGAGCGGACGTCTTCTCTGCCGATGGGTCACCTCCTGTCTTGGCCTCTTTGTTTTCCTGGCCGGGTTTGCCTCCAGTCTGTGGGCGCCTGCGGCGGTAGTTGACATTACGGCGGTAGCGCCTTTGGCGTTGCTGGTTGTCACCACCTTCACCCTGGTTCTCCTTGTCCTCCTCACCGTCCCGCACCGGTCTGGGACGGGGTGGACCCCTGAACAGAAGAGCAGAGGGCTATGAAGGCCTCAGCCAAGGAGCTATGCAGAGCAAACACCACAAACCATGCACATGCAAAATTCAATCTGAGAGGAAGGGATAATACAAACAAGACAATTTGGGTGCAAGCGTGACAGCCAGAATCAAGCTAAAAAATGTAATTTTCTGAAATTCCTTTTGCAGCTTAAGATAGTCTTTGTTTAGCCCTTGCGTCATTGAAGCAAACATGCAAACCTTGGTCTGAACCTTGGTCGGAAGCCTCTGTAGTAGTTGTTCCTCACTGGTTTGTTGCCCTGGTCTGCACCTCCCTGGTTCTCGTCACCTTCACCTCCCTGAAACCAGATACACCACACTTGTCTCAGTGGGGCTCTCCAGAGCTCAACAAGAAAGTGCATAAGGTTGGGAGTCTTATTTAGAAAAGTGGCTAGACCCCCGATACACCAAGAGTGATTTGTGAACCACGGTAAGAGTCGAGTGGAGAGGAAAGACAGAGTTTGTCCAGGAGAGCAGCCTCTGGTGGCGTACCTCAGACATCTCTCCGCGTGGTGGGTTGGTGTATGGGGGCCGACGGCCGTATCGTCTACGTACAAAGTATGGCGGGTAGCGCCGTCTGCCAGGGTATGCAGGCCTTCGCTGCTGTGGCTGTCCGTCTCCATCCTGGGGGTCTCCAGCCTCTCTGTTTTTGTCACGGCCTCCGCTGCCAGGCTCTCCCTCCCCGTCACTCTGGTAGTTCTCGGGGTAATCCCCGCCGCGTGGTGGGCCCCTCCTCCTAGGGTAGCGCCGGTAGCGGTTCCTGTCAGCAGCATACTTGCTTCCCTGGACTGCAACACCTCCAGGGCCAGTGACATTTGCTGCCTCAGCTCCCTGTGACAATGAGAAGACATTTACATGAAAATTCACATCATCTTCTACATTAAATTTATTTATATATAACATAAATAAATATACAACAAATATATGCTATATATTTATTTATTTCATGTTATAACATACCTTCTCCCCCTCAACAACATCAAATTCCACAGTCTCTCCATCTCCTACACTGCGGAGGTATTTCCTTGGGTTGTTCTTTTTAATGGCGGTCTGAAAGGGATAGTGCATGTGAGAATATGTCTTCTGCAAATGAAGTGCAGTTGCCATTGTGTAGAACGCTTACTTGGTGTACAAATACGTCCTCTTTTGTGTCATTCCTGTTAAAAAAAAAAAAAAGGAAAAAAAAAAGACATTTTTTAGATTTTGTTCTAAACTAAACTTAGAAAGAGATTGGATTCATTAGTGCTACAGAGAACAGCAGCATGGGCAAATTGTATGGCCCGCTCTGTAAGCAAATGAGAGTCATAATAGGATTTCAGTTGTCTTTGAACACAGTAGTCATCAGGTCTTCAGTAAACTGTGGTGGGCTGGAGATCCACTCACCTATTGATGAAACCATAGCCATTCCTGACGTTGAACCATTTGACTGTACCCAAGACTTTTGTTGCTGTGAAAACAAAGTTAACATCCAATTAGTATCACAGTGAAAACATGTTCTAAGAAAAGTAATTTAATCTAAGGGCAACAGATGATGAAAATGTAACCATGTCACTGTTCAAGCTTGAGGTAAATTTAACTTCCAACTGTTGCTCTTTTTATAGTCAGATGCTTGCTAGGCAAGTGCCAGCTGTACTCGAGGGGCTTGAATGAGCATTTCAGGAGTCACATAATACTGTAAGCATTGTCATTGTCTTCAGTATAACGCCACTTCACATCTCATGTTGCTGTGATACATATTGCTAAAAACGCAACATGTGTGTGTCGAGTGTAAACACACGGGTTTACTTCAGACCCACTGCCCCACTTCAGCTGCTCGCGTTAACCACACGTGGTCGAGTCGAGCCCGGATACGCTAAAGCTGTAAAGCCAGCTGGAGGTAGCATGGCTAGGCTTTTAGCTTTGAGGGCCATGTGGTTGGATTTACGCCAGGAGTGAACGAATAGTGGATTTGGCATCGTTCTTATAGGCAATATTCACACGGAAGCGTGGTAAGAAACAAACACATCCAACTAAGTTTAACTAAATTGCGATACAAATCGCTGTGAAAACCACGCGGCAGACATTTTGGGTGGCCTTGCCTGCCTCACAGCCATGTAAATAGCCCATATTAGCCGGCTAGGCTAACATAGCATCGTTAGGCAACGACCTGGCATGGTTTAGAGACATCTAGGCCATCTCGACTGGCTAATTCTTGATTTCTGTCCAAATTTTTCAGTTGTGGACCAACCTATTTTATTTAACACGATACGTTATTTTGATCCGTAAACATTAACGTGTAACCATGATGCGAACAAAATAAAACCCAAATATTGAGTCAGACTCGGTTATGAACAAAGACGGATCAGCTGCTAATGCTAACACGCAGCACTGGTAGTGGTGCTCAGCCGGCGTGTTGACCAATACTGTGGAAAGTCCTAATAAAACTAACTGGAGGGTAAATAGTTAGTAATCATCCAACTCATGACTAATAGGTGATTAGGCCAGGAATCATGATTATTCTACGAGTTAGTAAAACCATCAGCCACTCGGAGGCCGATACATACCTGCAAATGACTAACAGTAATATTACTCGTTTCAACACGAACATTATCTCATCTGATTTATTTGAGTTACATTAGGACATCTGTCATTTTCTGTGCAAACGTGACATTTTCATAAGATATGTAATTTGGCAATACAAATTTTATTTGGTCAGAATTGCCACACTACTGACCATAATCACAATAAACGTTGTTATATAAAGACTTATTTTCAAAACAACGTGTGACTAGAGTTCACTCTGTATTAACGGTTAATCAAAATTAAACCCCATGTAAAATCGTTACAATTTCTTTTTAATGATCTTTGGATGTTAATTTTGATCTGGAAATAATGATTAGGCATTGCCTACACGTCCCAAGCCCACACTACGTTAGCGTTAGCTCAACTGGCTAACTAGCTCGTCTTCAGCAGCCTTACCGATGACCTTCTTATCCCCCGCGGAAGCTGCGGCTGCCGGGCTGGATGGGCTCTCCGCATCGGCAGCAGGCGGCGGTGGTGCCTGCTGTGTCTCGGCCTCACTGCTCATTGTTACTACTTGGTTGGAAATGGCTTCTCTGCCGGCGGCGGCGGCTCTCTGCTGTGTTTCCCGGTGCTAGATGGTAACCTGGGCCGGCGGTGGTGGGGGCTACTGCCTTCGGGCTCTCTGCTTTCCTCTTTCCGCTCCCGTTGCCGATCGAACTGGGCAGAATACAAAACTGTGCCGGGGAATGTTCCCGGCCGAGGGCCCGCCTCACTCAGCCTCTGATTGGTGTGATGCTGTAACGGAAACAAAAACGTGTTTGGATTGGCTTAGACAGCTGTCATTCAATCTCCGTCTACAGCTCCTTAGTGCTAATTGGCTGATGGTAACTGTACCTGCTCTTTGTATCCGCCCAATGGTGATGTCAAAGCCAGACAAGCCAGACAGATAACCAAGTCTGTTTTAAAACAGTTTTCATGTTTCTAGTGCTCTTTTGACCCCCTTTTCGATATTGCCTTGGCAGAAGTCTGAACTTATTATCCAATAATAGTTACTACTAATGGTTACTATCATATTATTGGTTTAATTTTCCATTTTGGTACTTAAAAATGTATGGTTCCTTCTTTCCAAGGCAAACAGTGGAGTGACATTGAACTTGTTTTTATGTAGCCTACAAGTAACCTAAGCTATAATAAACCTATATTAAAAACATGTCTTACTTGCAAACCTTTTTAGTGCACACATAGTCTATAAATAGTCTAGTTATTGTTTTTTATCACATCCACTGCATAAATTAGCTACTAAAGGTCTGTGTTCACAAACTTGATATGACATAACAATTAGCAAAAACAGGAACATGCTTTTAAGTTGAAAAATTGCAGAGTAGTTAAGTGGTTAAAAGAATCCACCATTGTGTGAAGTGAGAAACTCCAGTCGTAGTAGCCGAGAGAACAGACAGACCCAGACCGAGACGAACCCCCCACAGCCCCCTCCTATTGTCATGGTAATGTCCCACAGGCTGATGTGTGAACACTCGCTGTAAATGGCCAAACCTGCTTTCTCACACAAAGATGGGCTTTAAGCATTGACCCTAGAAAGCCTCCCTGCAAAGTAACCCCCTCCTTATTTCCAGAGTGAAGAAAAAATCACAAGTAAAAACCCTCTTCCTGCTTCCATAAGAACAGTCTACATTTGAAAGGAGCCTTTTGTGGCCGTGGAACGGGGATGAGGAGTGCGTGGTGGGGGAGGGGGTCTGGCTGGCCAGGATAAGAGGAGGCAGCCATAAGTTCAGCAGAGGATTGCCTGGCACCGAATGTGAGCTGTGAGGACTCCCATGGCATTCGGGAGTGTTTCCCCTTACCACAGTGCACTGATGGGGAAGAAGACCAATAATTATCTGCCATGACATCCACTGTACATCTGCAGCAACCTTGGAAGCTTTATCCAATCTCTTCAGACTCATTTCTAAGCTGTAATCATCTGCCAAGGCCTTAACATTGCTCTGGGAACACTGTGTTCTTTTATTGTGAGACTGTAAAGAAAGTGTATAGAGCTTCCATTAGAAGGAACAGATTGAAAAGAGTAATTTCGCTCTAGGAACACGGTGCTTCAACATACAGATACATACTTTTATCCATTTGATTTCATTTAATTAAAAATAGACAATGATATTCTGAAACCTTCCATAACGCAGCAGACTTATTTTATATTTAATAAGAAGTTTGTACAAAAATGCCTCAGACAAATTATAAAAATGCAAAACAATTTATTAACATAACAAATTTGCTGAATTTGTTTTCATATCACAATCTTGCAGAGTGAAATTGCTTTGTACAGCACATTTATCTACATTGGAAAAGAAGTCAAGGTTCAGTCCACTGAAATTATAATATGAGAGTTGATATAAATGTTTAACTTCATAATGGGTGAGGTGAGGGAGCCATAAAACCATAAGAATCCTTTGGCAATGAAAGCCGTTTACAGTGGTTTGGACTGTTCTCACATCTCTCCACACTGAGCAATGACTATCGGGAGCTTGGGCTTGTTGTTTGGTCCAGTAGGAACATTCTGCAACAACAAGCACAGGTTAAATACATTTCATAACAATACTGCCAAACTACACTTATGCTACTGAAAAATATGAATATACCTCAATTTTCCTCATAATTAGAAGGCCGTCAACCACTTTTCCTGCAACAAGTACAAACAATAGTTAATTTACTTCACTTACTTTAGAGAAAGTTATTTAAACATAACTTTTAAAAGTGAATCTTACCAAATACAACATGTTTCCCATCTAACCAGTCACATTTGGTACAGGTGATGAAAAATTGGCAGCCATTTGTTCCAGGACCACTGTTAGCCTAAGGCACACAACAAACTTTAGCCAATCAGTTATAACAGGATCACACAGTAAATGTCATCACTTCCATTGGTCAATAGAGGAGTGGTTCTTTTCATATTAATGTGTGTTTGGTGATAGCAACAGAGATCAAGCAACCAATGTTAATGATTGATTGATAGAGATATAGATATATAGATCTATCTATATCTATATCTATATCTATACATATCTAAATGATATTAATATGTATTAGAATATTTATTTTAGTTTGTACAGTATAGCCTACTTAATTTATCTGTTTATTTGAAAATACAAACCATGGAGAGTAGACCCGGTGCAGAGTGCTTCAGTCTGAAGTTTTCATCAGCAAAAGGACCTCTATAGATACTGCATATGCCTGTCCCGTCTCCCTTTAGAGAGAAAAAAAGGAAATGTATGGTGTAATCCCTGTGATGACCACCAGAGGGGATGAGTAACGCAAGTTGAAGCCATCAACCAAACGCAGGTACAGAACAAAGATAAAGTAGATGCATACTAATCTACAATGTCTTGTGCTTTCGATCTGCATTCACGTGACAAATCAGATATTTTTCATGGAAATAAAGATAAAAGATCTGAGAATCTTATCTGAACCACATCATTACACTTAAAATGCTAAGTATCTTTCTTTAACATACTTACTTTTCCATCCATTTCTCTTCCACTTTGGGGCTGCATCTATACTGTACCATTTTAATGTATTTTACAGGGCGAACACCCACTACCATAAAATCACTTGAACATAAAGCTTTAACTTACATTTACAAAATCCCCTCCTTGTATCATAAAATCTTTGATGACTCTGCAAAGACAAGAGCAAACACTATTTAATTAAGCTTGAACAAATAACAGGATAGAGGTATTGATCCCTACAATATTTGAAGTTCAAATTCATCATGCAATAAATATAAATGTAAATGTTGCCAATAGGGACAGTTGAGTTTACCAGAGTTATGTATATTTTCTGTTGCATTCCATGTTTTTAGAGGTGTTTAACATTCTTTGTCACAGTAATAGGGTTGTGACAGAAACTGACAAGAAGATGATTAAAAATATAAAAAAAAGGTACTTTTTATTATTATTGTGATATCAAAATCTCACATGAGAAGCAGTCAGTACACAGTAGTCACTATTATAATAAAGGTGGTAACCATTTCCCATGAAAAAAAACCCTCTTAATCATTCCCTTCATATGTGTTCAGTATTAAATTGCTGTGTAAAGCACGCATACAAGTATTTACCTGTGAAATGTGCATCCTTTAAATCCAATTGGTACGCCGTCTTTCCTGCATCAGAATGCACAGAAGATGAAATTAAATAAATGAGCATTTTCAACAAATCTTAAACATTGTTCAGAATAAATCCTGATTTGGGCTTGCCTCTATTCTCCATCTGAAATCCACAGTTTTGTGTTTGTGTAATTTTTTTTAATCCTTCATGGAAAGGAATGCCGTTTTAAACGAGAATACACGTGTGAATTATTTATTATTAGTACCGCACCATTAAGATACAATAATTAACTAATGCAGAACCCAGTTTTGTGCTCTGTGTCACGACGCAATTGGGAGACAATCAAAAAACATTGACAGTAACAGTATGAATTCCTCACTACTTTTTGATTTTGAGATTTTGTTATGTATCTTAATTTAATAATAAATCATTAATGGCATTTTAGTTAAAGCTTACAATGTAGTGAGGTTTTGATTTCAAATGAAAAAGAAATTCAAATTTTACAGATAATGTTTCTCAAATAATCTTACCTAAATTCGCCGGTGCAGAACTGCCTGTAAAAAAGATAACATTGTATTATTATCAAAATTATTATTATCTATATTGTACATATTATCTCCATGTAATGGTTTATCAGTTTATTCTTCCCTTGACCTCCTTGTCATATTTTATATACTTCTTTTTACTTAGTGTCAGAATTTCCATTATAATAAAATGTGATGTCATTGAAGGTGAACTGTGTAACTTTTTGGTTTGGGGACCGTCACCTGCTTGTTTCTATGGATATGTCATTGCTCTTCCTGGAAGGTTCCACAGTATGACATTAAACACCTCTACCTTTCATTTATTCAATTCCAGGTGATTTTATAGCTCACAACTAGAAAAACAGGCATTCTGACTGTGAGATGGGTTGCCTCTCCACAGAACTGAACTGTAATTTGGTCTGGTTTGACCTCCATGAAGATAGAAAATGTTTAATACCATACTGTGAAACAGACAAAGCAATAACATCTCCATGAAAAAAAGCATTTGATATACCCTCCACCAGAAAAGTGATACAATGCATACATTTTTATCCTTTGCTTTATGAATTATTTCCACAAAAAATGCCCAGTAAATGAAAGTCTAATGTAAATCAAGTGTGTATGTTGGTTTATTATGAAAATAATATGTCAGGACACATTGACCGATATCTTGTAGGCTACACGAGGAGTCACAGCGATGATAAGCAAATTATTACTGTGAAAAATTTGCACATCATTCTGAAAATCCATACATTTGCATATTTAGCACATTTAAATTCATTATACAACAATGACTGTTTATTTGAATCCAAACTCTCAGTAGTGACTTGATGTAAAAGCTTCTGACTCAAGTTATCTTTGCAAAATTGGGCCCAAATATTTCTAATCAAAGGTTGAATCATTCAAGATTAGTTATTAAGGTGCATATGGCAGAGTACAGGCTGGAGACCCCAGGATCAAGGTGGGAAACACCTCCAAAGGTTGTTGAGAACGACTGAGCCAAGATCCTGTGGGACTTCCAGATACAGACTGACAGGATGGTGAACCAACCAGACATAGTGGTGGTGAATAAGCAACAGAGCCATGGTGGTGGACATCGCAATACCAAGCGATGGTAATATCAGGAAAAAGGAGCTCGAGAAACTCGGAAAAAAATCCCAGGGGCTCAAGGAGGAGCTGGAGAGAGCCTGGAAAGTGAAGGCATCAGTGGTGCCCGTGGTGATCGAGACCGTAACCCCCAAACTGGAAGAGTGGCTACAGCAGATACCGGGAAAAACAACAGGCATCTCAGTCCAAAAAAGTGCAGTACAGTAACAGTAAAAGTACTGCGCAGAACTCTCAGGCTCCCAGGCCTCTGGTAGAGGACCCGAGCTGGATCAGGGTGAGAGAGACCAACCACCGTGGGAGGTGAGAAACGTGTGTGCGTGAGCGTGAGCTAGTGTGTGTTAGTGTGTGTTCATCTGTCAAATGCACATGAAGTATTTAAAATCGATTTGTAATAAAAAGAAGTACTTAGAGATAATTTGTGTCAATTAATTTCATAGAAAGTCAAAGAGCCAACAAAAACAGTCTGGCAAAGGTTTAGGTATTCTATTAGGTCTATGCTGTTTCCATGTATCAGTCAATGAGTCAGTGCTTCAGGGAGAGGCTGGATTTGGCGAGGGTGTTCTTTCTATGCCTTAACCAGGAAGACAGCTTTTTAAGAATGCTAAATGCTTTTGTTGCCAGGGCAAGTACTTTCTAAGAAATGTGATTGTTGAGCTCTTCACCTGAAATTTTCTGCCGTCTTTGGAACCACATCTGCAAACAGCTCAATCTTCATCCGCCCGACATCCTGGTGAAGTAACAGATACATTTAGATAGAGTTTTTTTATTTTGAATATTAAAAATTATAAACGGACACACATTTAACAACACATACAGATAATATTGACTACGCCTGGATATTGTTAAGAAATTGCCCATACAATACGTATCTCGATTCAGTGCATTTTCGGTTCAATACAATATATTTCAAATCAATTTGATATAGTTCAATAAAAATAATGGCTAAATCATGGCTGATACTTAAAGTCTTCGATAATCCACTTCTTGTGCAAAGTGAATATGAAACACTCAATCACACAATCATCAAAACAGTGAAAATGTCAAATAATGTCACATACATAAGTGTTCAAAATTGCTGGTACCCCTCTGGTAATGAAAGAAAAATCAACAATGGCCACTGAAATAACATGAAACTAAGAAAAGCAATAATAAATAAAAAATATATATATACTGAAAAATAACCAATGAAAATCAGACACTGTTTTTGAATTGTTGATCAAAAACTAATGAAACTAGCCTGGACAAGAATGACAGTACCCCTAAAATAATAAATAATTAACAATAATTGTCCCTATTGTTCAAATAATTGAACAAGAGGGACATGTTAAACTTAGGTGTGTCTTCAAACTTGTCCTCAGTCAGTCTGCCTGTTTAAAAAGGGACATGTATCGTTGTGCTGTTTGGCGGCAGCTTGATGTTCCTATGATTACAGTTACACATGTTTTTCAGAAGTTTAAGGTCCACAGGACTGTAGCCAACATCCTTGGATGTGGCTACAAGAAGAAAATTTATGACAAATTGAAGAGATGGATCATATGACCAAAGAGCCCAGAACAACCTCCAAAGAAATTAAATGTGAACTTGAAGGGCAAGGTACATCACTGTCAGATTGCACCATCTGTCACTGTTTATGCCAAAGTGGACTTCATGTGGGGAGACCACTGTTGAAAGTAAATCATAAATAAGTGAGACTTGAATTTGCCACAGTGCATATTTGACATGCCACAAAGCTTCTGGGAGTCCTTTGTACAGACGAGACAAAACTGGAGCGCTTTGGCAAGGGCATATCAGCTCTATGTTCACAGACGTAAAAACTAAGCACACCAAGAAAAGAACACTCTTCCTACTGTGAAGCATGGAGGAGGCTTGGTTATGTTCTGGCGCTGTTTTGCTGCATCTGGCACAGGGTATCTTGAATCTGTACAAGTACAACGAAATCTCAAAACTGTCAAGGTATTTTGGAACAAGAAGTGTTGCCTAGAGTCAGAAAGCTTGGTCTCAGTTGTAGGTCATGGGTCTTCCAGAAGAATAATGACCCAAAATACACAGCTAAAAACACCCAATACTGGCTAAGAACAAAACATTGCACTGTTCTGGAGTGTTCTTCTGTGAGCCCAGATCTCAATTCTATTTAACATCTGTGAAATAAGCTGAAACATGATGTCTGGAGAAGGCATCCTTCAAACCTGAGACAACTAGAGCAGTTTGCTCATGAGAAGTGGGTCAAAATACCTGTTGACCAGTGCAGAAGTCTCACTGACAGTTACAGAAATCATTTGTTTGCAGTTTGCCTCAAAAGGTTGTGCAACAAAATATTAAGTTAATGGTACCATAATTTTGGCCCAGGCCAATTTCATTATTATTATTATTATTTTATTTATTTTTTATTATTCTGTTAAAACACAGGAGAAAAGCAATCGTTGATTTACGTAGGACAATTTTCAGTAAATTTTTATTTATTATTGCTTTTCTTAGTGTTATTTCAGTGACCATTGTTAATTTTTCTTGCATTACCATAGGGGTACCAACAATTTTGAACACGTCTGTAAATGAGTTTCCTTCCTCTGAACAAGCAACAAAACTGTAGCTCTGTAACAAAATAACTTAGTAAATACCAAAAAATACTATGATATATTTATGCAGCAGCCCACAATATCGGTATTGTATCATCACATTAAAGGATACGATATATCAATATTTCTGCACACCCCTATATTGACCCATTTATTTTAGTAGAAAATGGACATCCAGTGTTCAAACAGAATGATACTGTTCAATATACAATTGATAATGAGTGAATCAATTTAAAATTCATATTGGAAAGGCTACTACTAAAAGACTTTTGTATAGTTCCATTTGCCACAGATTACCTCTTGACTACTTCAGGGTTGTCATTTGGAGCCAGTAATGTAACAACTTATTTCTTTGACGAGGTTATGAGTTTTATTGGTTTGTTTATGTTTGCTCTTGTTAACTTACATGTCTGTAATGGCATATTATATTTATATTTGGTTATGCAAAACTTACAAATGACAAATTTTTACCTCCCTGTACCTGCACTACAGAAACCAAACTTGACCAGTAGTGACACACTAAAGACATTATCCTGAACCATAAAGTCACCTCCACATTGAAGGTGGGCTTAAAGATGGATCCCAGGAAGAATAGTTTTGCTGTGGTAATAATAACTAATGGGGTTTAGAATACAGAATAAATACATACAGCTGATGATTAAATATAAATTCAGAGCTTGCTCCAACACTCCTCTACAGTGGCATTATATTATTACATGACAAACATTAACAGTGTAGTCAGTTTAAAATATTCGCAGAACAAAACGTCATGTCCACTTGGGTTGTGTGACAGTTGTCTCCGGGTACAATATGAGCCTTTTTCCTCCACATCTCAGTTGACACAGTTTTCATTATTACTGGATACGGGCTCTTTTGTCTAGCTGCAGATAGCCAGCGGTCAAAGTATACATTGTTTAACGGCTTGTAAAAGGGCCGATAGCAGCAGCAGCACATTATGTTGAGTTGTAAAACCATATCGCACTGCTGAAGGCTTTTTAAATATGCGTGGATATCCAAAGACCTTCCACTTTTTACAGTCTGGCATCTATACTCACAAACTACAATGTTTATTTGTGTGTAGCTCTGAATGATCTGTTCCTCTGGCATCATAGCTCTAAAAGAAATTAACATCTTCAGCCAGTTCTTTTTGAGACAACAGGTAAGACAACATTTCTCTGCTTTGACACTTAATACTTGCATACAAGAAAGCTCCTCTTGAAAGGCTTGCTCAACACCACAGCCCAACCATAGAAGCAGAGTTGTGATTGTAATGGAGAAAAGTTACGTATTGTATCCAAGGTAGATTCACCATTCTTTTAAAGGCAGCTTGAATTTAAATTATGTTTGTGTGTGTTTTGAATTACCAAAAAGGCATATTTCTTCACACTGTTTTTAAGAAAATCTATAGGGTAAAAGATTACTCTAGACTAGCCTACAGACTAAACAGGTATTACATTTTCCCCAGAGGTCTGTCCTGTTAAGTTAGGCAACAATGTAACCAAAGACTGCACAGCACTATATTAGAGATGATTAGAAAAAAATATGCAAAAACAATTCATATCTATGACATTGCAAAAACTTTGTGAACTTCTAAATAAAAGTCTGAATGGTCTTAGCATCTAGAAATCTCTATAGGTAGAGACAGCAATAATGAGCAATACGTAGAGACAGATAGGAACAGCACATCCTATATATAGCATTTCATTTGAAGGCTCCATGTTGCAAGTCAAGGCTTAAAAGCTTTGTGACAGATACACATTCGCTCATTTGGAGAGAGATGAAAGACCGGTTTGAGTTTGGTCAAAATTACAAATGCCACAATTAGGACACAGGATATTTGGATACATTCTCCTCCTATAAATGTAAAAAAATAAATAAAAATTGCTTTTGTCCACTTCTTTTTAAGAATCAGAAACATCTCAAAACAACACTATCACTTCATATCAGACTTGTGTCAACACTGAACGCCCACAAAACCAACAACTACCTTGACTGAGAACAAGTGTTTCCAGTATTTAAGTAGGTTTCCTTTGGGTCTTTGGTTTAACAAATTGAGGAAAACAAAACCAGTAGGAGGAGAGCGTGGTGTCTTGGGAATACACAAATACATTTTTTTTCAGACACAATACCGATTTCGATACTACAACTTTAAGTATCTGCCAATACCTGTCAACAAATACCAGTGCAGAGACTGAAAAGAGTAAAACAAAAATAAATAAGATGTAAGACAAATGTGTTCTCACTAAGTGCATCAGTCCCTAGTTTTCTTGAAAATACAGGTGTGGCCATTCAATTATTTGCATTGGTTCTAGGAAAGAGGAGGAGCAACAGAGACTGACAGCTTCTTGCTCTACCTGACACAGACAAAAACAGAAGCAACAGAGCATGCACCACTTCTGAGGGAAGACACCAGACAAACTGCATTACAAGGGATTGGGTGACCACGCAAAACACAGGTACAGGCTTTTAAACCTATCATTTACTTCCTCCATTTACAATTGTCTGATATGAAGAAGGTTGCAGCTTTTATATGTATAAAACAAAACAAGGAGAAAATTAAATCATTCTTGTCATTCTGGCAATAATCAAACATTCTTAGTTGCCTGTCATAAAAATTACTATACTGACCTAATGTTTAATAAATAAAACAAAACTTACAGCACTAATAGCAAAAAAAACCCCAAAAAAACATTTCCTTTATTTTTGTAATAAGTAGAATAATGATATATGTATGACTCTTCAAACTCCTACTAGTGTGTTTCATTTTATCAATTTATTATAGAAGGACAGTTTTTATTTGCAATATGGTTCAAAGGGATTTACTCTCCTGCTACAGTGGTCATCAATTTTGCATAATTTATCAAAATATTTTCTGAAGAACTGTTTTGTTTGTATTGTAACAAGCCTATAACATGCATAAGTTGGAACCAAATTTGCACATTCTAACATGCAATGTTCATCTTCACTATATCTATCAAAGACATTGTGTAAACAATTGTGAAATCGGACTCATACCCTGAATGTAATCTAGCCAAGACATCCATGAAAATGAAATCTATCTTTGTTGAGGCACTGCCAATGAAGAGACACATTTAAATATTTAGGTATTAACTTCCTTAATTAGAACGATTAGGTCTCCATAGTAAACAGAAAGCCTACAAAGCAAATACATGAATTAAAACTACTTTTTTTCAGTAAATATACAAGTTTGACATAAACCATTGGACTTTTATTACAAAAATCATGTGTATAAAAGTATGTAATAAATGTACAAACAAGTTTGTTGGAACGGATATCTGCTTCCAAATACTGTATAACTACATGCTACATAATACATCTGGATCAGTCCCATTTTTATTTATGTTTGAAGAAAATAAATGCCATTTTCAGTCTCTGTACTGAAATTGGTTAATATTGCACTATAGTATCAGAATCTGCATCAGAACTGAAAAAGCTGGATCACTATGAGCAAGATCTTCACCTTACTTTTATGGTTTGGCTATTTATTCAGTCACTCCTTTTTGAGACAAAAGGAGTGACTGAATTAATAATCACTCCTTTTGTCAAAAAACAGTAGCATATCTTAAGCAATATAGCAGATCCTTGAAAATATGCAAAACTACTGAAACAACACTGGTGGTCCCTAGGATGAATCAATACAACTCAGCAATAGGGATGTCAAAAAATATTAATTGGCGGCGGCGAATGTTTGATCCAATATGGCCGACTTCCTGTTCGTCATAGGGGTGCACAATGATTGACTTTTTTGCTTGTAATCATGCGTAGAATTTAATCCCCAAATTTGGTGCTAATCAGATAATGTTGACATTTCATGTCAATAGTAGGGGGCGCTATAGTGTTATCTTTTAATATGTTTTATACTGTTTTATATTCAGGCTGAGATCACACATTAGTGATTCAAATTTCAGCACGATCCGATTAAACATGGGCATGTAATCATTTTTTAACTATTTTTGGGGGGAGTCTTTGCGCCCCTGCTGGCCAATAGTGGAAAATGCATCATGTCCGTAATAGACTTTTTTGCTTGTAATCATACATAGAATTTAATCCTCGAATTTGGTACTAATCCGATAATGTTGATGTTTGTCAATGCTAGGGGGCGCTATAGAGTTCATTTTTCATCTGTTTTATAGTGTATTATATTCAGGCCATGATCAGGCATTAGTGATTCAAATTTCAGCACGATCGGACTAAGCCTGTGTGTGTAATAATTTTTTAACTATTTTTTGGGGGAGTCTTTGCGCCCCTGCTGGCCAATAGTGGAAAATGCACCATGTCCGTAATAGACTTTTTTGATAGACAGAGGAGACTTTACAGAGTAGATCTCACAGAGTAGGTCGCACTTTTTATCTGCGTAACAGTAAGTACAGCAACACTTACAAAACAACTCAATTATAAAACAAAAATGGCCAGAAATAACAGAGGAAATATACCCTTGACCTTAAACCATGACCTTAAACTAAAGAACTGTGGTCTTCGAAAGCAAATTGCCAAAAAAGATGAGCACAATGAGCGGCGATGGTGGCCCTCGCCCCGGCGCGCACCGCTCCCCCACGCGACCTCCGGGGACTCGCGACCGCCCCGGCACGCCACCCTCTCTTCCCGACATTCGCCCAGGTCGACAATGACGCATTAGTGATTCAAATTTCAGCACAATCGGACTAAGCCTGTGGGTGGAATCATTTTTTAACTATTTTTTGGGGGAGTCTTTGCGCCCCTGCTGGCCAGTGGTGGAAAATACATCATGTCCGTAATAGACTTTTTTGCTTGTCATCATGCATAGAATTTAATTTCTGAATTTGGTCCAAATCCGATAATGTTGACGTTTCATGTCTATGCTAGGGGGCGCTATAGAGTTCATTTTTCATATGTTTTATAGTGTATTATGTTTAGGCCGTGATCAGGCATTAGTGATTCAAATTTCAGCACGATCAGACTAAGCCTGTGGGTGTAATAATTTTTTAACTATTTTTTGGGGGTCTTTGCGCCCCTGCTGGCCAGTGGTGGAAAATGCATCATATCCGTAATAAACTTTTTTGCTTGTAATCATGCATAGAATTTAATCCCCGACTTTGGTACAAATCCAATAATGTTGACGTTTCATGTCTATGCTAGGGGGCGCTATAGAGTTCACTTTTATTAAATTTCATTTTTCATTACATTCGGGCCTGGATCACGCAATTGTGATTTGAATTTGGGCTCTCTAGGACAATGCCTGTGGCCGTGACAGGTCACCGAAAAAACAGGAAATGAAGGCGTTATTCGCCGGCGTGCTACGGGCGAACCATAGGGAGTATCCCAAAAACATGGAAGATTTGAGTGAAGCTATGTCTGTAGATGTGACATGTCAAATCTGAGCTCATTTGGACCAAACCCCGGGGACTTGAATCTTTTTGTAGACCCCAAAGTCAAAACGGCACCGAATGTTTGATCCAATATGGCTGACTTCCTGTTCGTCATAGGGTCATGCTCCAATTCATCTTTTGGCTTGTCTCATTGTTCTCTATCACTGTTCCAAACTTTGTTTGTCCCTAGTCCCATAGGGGTCCAATTCTAGGTGGCGCTGTTGAGTCAGGTCACTTCAACATTGTCCCGATGCCCATTTTATCAAATTTTTCGCCGGGCCGATCGATCTGGACCCCGGTTTGGGGACTTTTCGTCCATGTTCAGGGGGTCAAAATCGCGATCGTTTGCAAGGAAAAATAATAATAAACAAACGTAAGAAACCGGCGAAGAACAATACCCCTCGCCCCTAACTTTGTTAGTGGCGAGGGCCAATAATAGAGCGTAAGAAACCGAGCAAAAACAATACCCCAGGGCCAATGAATATGCAAAAGATTAAACCTAAACGTAAAGTGTGCTTTTTTCATGTTTCTGTTTATGTCACTAACTTTGTCATCAACAATAATATTGGATGTTGTCAAAATAGCCAAATAATAGACATTCTTTTTTTGTTTCTTTTTGACAGACATCTAACAACATATGGAGGCCTTACGCTCAAACATGCTGGCCATCATCGAGCAGACAGACTATGAGCACAACTGTTACATGGACAACACCAGACAGTTCATCCTTTTGATGCTTCTCAAAGTATTCATGGATGGAAGTGCGATGTACCTCTGCTGCTTCAGGCCACTGTTGTCTTTTTTCAACATGTGCAGTGTCTCTATTGTTTTGGTTGACCTTGTATTGACAGTTTCCATGATTGCAACACTTTGGTTGGATGTCCAAATGACTCACATGGCCATGTGCTCCATAATGGCAAACTTCTCTGCCGCCTATTCTGCTCTGCCTGTACCACTGGTCTGCCTGGCTATTTTGGACTATTACCTCGAAGACATTTGTGCTGGTAGGAAATACATAAAGTTAGTCAGAAACCCAGTCTTGATAATCTTGATGTGGTCAATAGCTGGACTTTACGCTCATGTTACAGTGGATGCCACATTGCTTGAACAATCAAGAAATATAAAATATATAGTATGTGAAATCAAGGAATCAAAAGCTGTTACATATTCCATAGTTGGGCTAACCACTGTCATGTTTATCACTCTATTGCCATTTTTATCACTGATACCACATTGGGTGAAGGAGGCAGACCGAATTTCTGAAGCAAGAGAAGAGATAGCTGAGAGAAGGACAAGTGATCTAATGATAGATATAAACGGAGAAGATACAAAATGCACAAAAAAAGAATTTGCTATGCCTCGTCCACCAATGTGCATTAGCTTACTAATTTGTTTTGGAGTATTTTGGATACCGTACCTCACCGTGACCACACTTTGTGTTATGTTCGAGTTTGGGATCCCTGCTTACATTGGTGTGAATCTCCTTTGGGTGCAGTGTGTCAACAGTCTGCTGGCAGGAGTGGTGTTTTGGGTGCGGAGTGACATAATGATGCCCTACAGCAGTCAACCTGAAAATGTTTGTTTATGGCAGGCCTACTGGCACCTGAGCACTGGCACAGAGGACCACCACCAACTGTTTGCGACCATATTTAATCCTTCAAAAGGAGAGAGAAGCACGCCATTTTCTGTTTGATGAAAAGCAAATTTAACAGACTGTCACGGCCTTAACCAAAAGGATATTGAAACTTTGATGCTTCTATGCAAACTGAAACAAATTTTACATCACTTTGTAAAATATGCAAAGACGACACCTGCATTCCAGGAATCAGAAAGGACAGGGTGTTTTAAAGCTTCCTGAAAACTGAAATACGAGGATGTGTGAGTTGTAAATTTTAGCAAGCTTCTGTTCCAGGTGATTGATATCTCCATTTTAATAATTAAACTGGGAAGTTCTGTGTCGAATGGACAGTATCAGATTCAGCGCTAGTTTCTATAAAATGCACAGGTCTGTTTGTGTTTGAATTGTGTGAAAGTCAATACAGAAAGCATAAGTGCAACTGAACCTACTGTGACTTGAAGTAATTCTATCCCACACTTTTGTAAGTGTTCCTGAAGGTTCTAAACAACTAAAATAGCGATTTTCCACAAATCATCATTTGTGATGTTACATGTGACGAATAAATATGATTTAATATATTTAACCTGCTTCTTTTATTTGTGTCATTTAATAAAATATAACCATTAACAATGAAACTGGTTTGCCTGCTACACAACTGTAAGGTGCAACTAAAGAAGAAGAAAGACAACATTTTCCATATACGGGACATGATGACTGATGAGATGGAATGTAAAGCATTGGCTGTAAGGCTGTTATTGAATGGTATACTGTGAAAAAGTTTAAATCACTCATATAAGGGCAGGGCAAGATGGTGATTAAAAAAAAAAATCTAATTGTGATCTCATTTGTGATGATATGCTATTTTGGCCATATCGCAAGATTGTTATTCAGTGCTTCTGTTTTATGCAGCTCTATACTCAAATACACATTTAATCATAAGAAGTACACATCACCGGTGCTATAGGCTATTACAGAGAACATAGAAAACAAGACAACGCCTGTAAACTTACTCCAAAACTGCTTTCAGTAACGTGACATTAACAAAGTAACATTTTGATCAGTGTATCAGTAAAGTCAAGTACACTTTTGCCCATTCACTCCTCCTATTGGTCAACTTCCCTAAGGCTCTGAGTGAGTCCTTCCATTTGCTTCTGCTTTATCCAGGGCCAGGTTGCAAATTCAGCAGTCTGAGCAGGGAGGCTCAGACTTCCTCCAGCTCTTCCAGGGGGATCCCGAGGTGTTCCCAAGCCAGCCCAGAGACATAGTCCCTTCAGCATGTCCTGGGTCTTCCCCTGGCCTCCTCCCACTGGGACATGCCCAGAACAACTCCCCAGGGAGGTGACCAGGATTCATTCAGAACAGATGCCCGAGGACCTCAACTGGCTCCTCTCGCTGTGGAGGAGCAGTGGCTCTATTCTGACTCCTGACTCTACTCAGCTCCTCTCGTGTGACTGAACTCCTCACCCCATCTCTAATGCTCAATTTATGGTTGTGCGTCAACCAACGTGCACCTCCGAAATTTCCTAACTACCTGCAAAAAGCTGCAGAGCAGCAGGGGGAAGTGACACAGACAGTAAGGGCTGTGATTGGTCTTCTCTACATACATTTCTGGTACTCTGCTTTCCCGCTTCATTTTGTAAACCCAAATATTACTTTTAAATCTTTGCCTCCTAGCGCTGTGGAGGTGAATTACTTTGCGGAACATAGACCTTGACACAGATCCATAAATCAAAAACAACGGCAACAAGGTAACGGCGACAGTGTACGTTTGACGCAGAACTATAATTCGCCATTTAAGGGCAAGAACAAGCAGTTATGACTTTACTTACCAATTGAAGATACTAAGCCTGAAATAGGATTTTGGTCGTAATGATTTCAAATAACCCCAGGAGTGTAAACATTTCAGATAAAACTGAAATATGTACTGAATAATACATGTCTGGGGGCAAAACATTTATAATAGGCCAACTTTCAGCTTAACATTTATAGACGATATTCGAAGGCGCTTCAAAGGTGAATTGTCAATTACTAGACAACGAGGATAGATTTGCATCACTCTGAAACCCATGGATAATTAGGAAATCAGTTTAGCAGAACAGCACCTCCTACTGCTTACTGAAGTGCATATAACCTGTTTTAAAATTATTCGTACGATTCGATTTGCTATTTAAGAATAACTAATTGAGAAATTAATCAATTCAATATTGTGTTGAACCATATGTTTATAACATTTAAAGTTTATACAGGTCCCGATACTGACAACAGTATTGAGAAGTTTATCAATACCAACAATTTTAGCTTTTAGACTTTTGTGGCAACTGGTTTCAAATGACGATATTTTTCAAACGGGGTAATTAAAGTCAGTATTATTGAAAAGTATATAAACACGTTTTGTTCATCCGTTGTTTATAAAGTCACAGAAATGTAATTTGCTTAAATGCTTGCGCTGTATCGTGTAGTGTGCGTAGCTTTGGTAGCTTTAGCTAGTGTTAGCTCCGCGCTTTCACTCACCTGCCCTCCGATTGTGATGTCGAAGAAAACGATTGGGTTGCTGGGGTTTGAAGGATGGACAGACATTTTAACTACAGAACTGTAGACAAAAGAATATTTTTATACCAAAAAAACTACTAAATTTCACACGCTTTTTTTTTTAATGGTATACGTTCATTCAAACTCGTACGGTGGCTGGCACGCCATTCGACGGATACCAAACAGGCACAAACAAGATGATCGCGAACTACAAACTTGATTTTCTATACGCGTCTGTACGTCACACACGGATGTAATAAATAACATTCACAAACCGTACAGAACCAATACTTACTATAACTACAAATTCCTGATAGCGTCAACAAAAAACAATGCCATACGCAATATAATGCAATGCAGTAATACAATATTTTCTGGTACTTTTTAAGAACATCTTTAAATAAAGAAGGCACGCGCATATTTTATAGAATTTATATTCACAATAAAACATAGATGTTTTACAGTCACATAATGAAGAAATGTTTGAAAGCACCAAAATTCAAAATAAAACTTTTAGCGAGTTTAATATACAGTCTTGTGTATTGTGCATGAGGAACTAAACTACCAAAAGCAACATACAAAAAAATTATAGGTGGCCTTATGTAAAATAATATGGTTTCTTGACATTCACTCCATATTCAGAAAGAGCTGGCTGTAAGTCTTCCATTGTAAGAGTATACTTCTTGTCCTAAAACAGAAAACATGAACTATCTGTTTAGATTTCATTTCTTTGTATTATTATAGTTTGTTTCATTTTAAGATTTTTAATATAATAACTTTATAAGGAAATATGTATGTAAGCACTAACCTTTGTCTTGCTTCTTGAGCTTCCTGAAGCTGTGCCTTTCATTTTACAATACTGTAGTGCATCATTGGCAATATCGGAGATGAACTTTTGAGAGGCCAGTGAGATGAGGCGGATTCTGGAGGAAACAGATTTTAGCAAAAGAAGTTGATGCCACAATGTTTCCTGGTATTTTTTTTTTTCTTTTGTTGTAAGACACAAGCTTGTGGAAGACAATGGTGTGTGGTGCCAATCCTTCAGCGCTGTCTGGGATGCCAAGATGATTCAATTTTACATTTAAACAGAAGTCACTAATATAGCAGGTCACATTGGGAAAAAATAGCAAGGATTTTAGCTGTTGTATCCATAAGATCATTAATAAATGCAACACCATTTTACTTTTATGTGTGTGCCCACAAAATTAAGCAAAAAAAGTAATCACAGAATCACAAAAAAAAAATCCAAAAGAGCGTGGTCAACAGAGCATTAAAGCATTATGATCAACAACACTCATTACTCACATCCGTGGATCTGAAGCTTCAAAACCAGCGCGGTTGAGGTAGTAGCCTGTTACTGCATCAGGAATCTGAAATAATCATAGATAAATTGAGTGACTAGCTGCTTTTGTGGCTACCTGCCTCACACACTGAGCAGTTTTTCAAACTTTTTGTTTTTTGAGCTCAGTTTTTCACATCATATCATGGAATTTTAACCAACTAATAAGAGCAGCATGTGCAATTCAAAGGACACGTTTTCATATACACATATATTTCCCTTGTGGATCAATAAAGTCTGTCTAAGTCTAAGTAAGGGACTGCTGGTTTTTGTGAAATTAGCAGTTTGTTTTTCCTTTATTCATGGAGACTGTACACTAGGCTCGTTGAGAAGCTAGCTATGGACATTTGAGATTCTACAGCCTTTTTAGACCACATTTGGCAGTAAATGTGACAGAAAATCTTCCAGAGGAAACTGCACTCAGACCTTTCATTGAGGCACAAAGGCGACTGAGACGAGCAGTGGAAATGTTGCATCAACATCAAATGTAACAGTTTGCTGCAGCAAAACTTGAATTTCCCTTGGGGTCAATACAGTATCTATCTCTGTCTCTGTAAACATTTGATTTTTGTGCATATTCCATGTCTACCATGTCTACCAAGAGTACATCTTAAATGATAAGGATCAATTCCATGTCATAACTCAGAATCACATTTGGACAGTCTGAAATAAGTAATTACGTGAACAAGTTGACATACTGTGGGGGTGTAATCCTCCAGTTGCATGAGGAAATCTGCCAGAGGGGTGGTGGAAATAGCAGGTTTCACATCTCCATTTGTGATGCCCCCGGGAACATAAACTCCATTGGAGACTGACGTGTCCACTGATGGAGTTGCCATTGCTGCTGAGGCTGAAGCTGAGAGACAAAAAGCAGTTATTACATACAGATGCTTCTTATCTTATCATAATCAAGAAAGTGAATGGAAACTGATTATCTGGGAAACATGTGTTTAGTCATTATGGAGGGAAAAAATTGTAAATAAACAATTTTAACGACTTAAGATAGCATTTAACATCATTTATCATCCAATAACAAGGAATGGCCAAATAAAATACTGCCGTATGAACAATAATGTTTTGGAATAACATAACATAACGTTACCATTACTCGTGACTGGCGGGATGCTGTTATCATTAGCTGGTGCATTATCATTTGCAATGCAATTACTTGAGGTTGAAGAGGTCGTAGATGCCACTCCCGTAGTCACAGATTGATTTTCCATCTTTTTGCAAAGTTGTTATTTCTTTGCAGCCAAGCAGTCCAATGGAGTATGGAGTTAGCCGATGAGCTAACTTCAGCTAACAACCAAACAAAAAAAACGTCCTAGTAAGATAATTCCGGGGTGTTTAGCTCGTGTAGCAACAGATGACAGAAAGCAAAACAGCAAATGAAATCAATATTTGTACATCAGATATATACATATATCATCCAAACAGATGTTTACCACCATTTGAGACGAGATTTTTGGAGTGCAACAAACGAAAGCTCGACACTCACGTCTGGACGAGCTACGGGCGTCACGTGACTCGTGTAGTCACACGAACACAAAAGCTCCGTCCTGAAAAAATCTATCACGTAATCAAAACCAAAACCAAATATGCAGACCTCACACATTCAAACATTCAAAAGCTAAAAGACAAGTGACACCAAGATAAAAATTGACTAGTTACTAGTTGGTACATTTATTATTACTATATCCATGCACATCCATGCACGTTCTCTGCCACAAGAAGGCGGTGTTGCATCTTCAGGATTCATACAGTCCTACAGGAAGTGAGTGAGTTGGTTGTGTTATGAAAGGAGGAGATAAATGTTTTGCTCTATGTATCACTTGGCCACTCGAGAGCAGAGGGACTATCTCAGGACACTAAAGCGAGGATTATCCTGATATATGGGACAAAACAGGTATTTACACACCAGGATTAAATTCTATTGTTACATTGTATTGTCAACCTATGAACTTCAACTTTGGGCTAGTTGGCAAGACGTAAACTATACCAACGCAACACATTTTAAAAATGGCTACATGATATCAAGTGTTGATTGAATTGCCAGTTACTTCTTGCCTACCTTGGGCATTTCTTACAGATATGCTAACTATGCTAACTAACATTACTATTCTGTATGAATTAATGACACACAGAACATGTTTATTTGTACTCATTATCCCAATTATCATAGTACATATACCTTGTATTTTATTAGTAGTTGATGCAACTTTATATAAGACTTGCTCCTATTTTGGGACTAGCAGCCTTAATTAATCAACAAGAAGAAAACTTTCATCAAACAATGATCACATTTTTGACTCTTTGATGATTTTTCCAAGTTTACAGTGCTCCAAAATGACCCAGGTCAGTGTTATTGTTGTGGGGTCTGGTAGCAGAGGTGACAACTACTCCAACTATGCCACCATCCACCCTGATCGCACAAAGGTTTGTATGTATGATAATACACTACTTGAATCAATTTGTAATAGGTTCATATTAGATTAGTATTCACACTTAATTACATACTGATGTTTTCTTTCCTTTTGACTTAGGTTGTGGGGGTAGCTGACCCAAGAAAGTTTGCCCGCACAAAACTTCAACAAAAACACAATATTGAAAAAGAAAATGTATTTGAAGGTGTGTTTCATAAAAAAGAAGGTCTCCACAATGTCAAATACATTTGATAAACACTGTTTTTATCTTTAGAACAATAATAATAACAACAACAATAATAGTTGTAAATATTCCAAATTGTCTCTTTTAACCAGATTGGGAAAGTATGGCTGTAAGAGAGAAATTTGCAGATGCTGCTTTAATTTGCACTCCAGACCGTCTTCACAAGGTATTGTCATTAAAACATATAGTCACCACAGATTTTATGAACCTTGTGTATTACTTGTCCTGCGCTTCTTATAGGATCCTGCTATAGCCTTTGCAAAGAAGGGTTATCATATCCTTCTGGAGAAACCAATGGCTGTGAGGTTCATTAGTGTTTATAACAGAAACATTCAATGTGATGCTGTGTTTTAAACTAAATGAAACCTTTAGACCACTCCTGAAGACTGCAGAGCGATCGTAGATGCTTGCGTTGAGAGTGGGGTGATACTTTCTGTGGGCCACGTTCTGCGCTATGATCCCACCATCCACAAGATCAAGGTCTCTGTTTCACTGTTTGTTTAAAGGTGCATGGTGTAACTTTGCTGGGAGGAATGCACCACCTTTGTCCATTTTTCTCCATATCTACCCTGCATTATTCAATTACAGGTGTTTATTGTTAAAAAATGCCTTGAAAACAAAACAAAGATTCTTACTAGGAGTAGGGTCACCTTTCCACAGATCTGAACAGTTTTTTGGCCTGAAGGTGTCACCTGCTTTTCTCCGTGGTAATAAACAAACAAGTTACAGACCCTTTATCAGAAAAAGTTGAATGTATACCTTTTAAATATGGAGACAAATTTTTAGTAGTAAGTAAATAATTACATTGTTATATCTCATGCAGGAGCTCATCGAGGAAGGAGCCATTGGAGATGTGATCCATATTCAGCACTTAGAACCAGTAAATACATTTCCTATTGAATAATATATAAATATCAATTGGTCTGTCCTGATTTTCAACCACAAGTGGGTTCGGTCAAGCGGTAACGGAGGGAAACGGGCAGATTTTTTACATTCAAATAGCTCTTATTCAGAAACTAGGGGGACTATTGAAATAAGTAAGGTATTAGAATGTAGGAAAGAGTTAGCACTCCAACAACAATATTCTTTCAAGTTGTTGACAAAAAATTTTAAAACTCATGTTGGTAACGGAGGGAATGAAATATGCAGCACTTTTTGGGCAATAAATACAAACAGCGATAACTACCGGTTCTCACTTACATATCCTTAACAAACTGGTTTGAATATTTGATTAATATAGTTTTCTACCATATGGTACAAGATTAGGTTGAAAAACTTCTTACTTTTTGAGTAATGAGATTTTTTATTAAGAAAGGTCATGGTAACGGAGGGAAAAGTAACAGAGGGAAAATTGTGCAAGCAAGCAGAAGGTGCATGATTTTGCATAATTTGTCAGCTTTTTTCTTCCGAATACTTTAATATTACTTCAAAATGAAAGGAAACTATTTCTATAAAATATGTCAGTCCTTCCAAGCAAATTTTTATCATTTTAAATACATTATTTTTTTTTGAAAAATCATGTACCTTCATCAACAGTTCAAAGATCGAATAACACAAGATATGATGAAATACATCAATTTATTTACATGATTTGCAGGTCTTTGAAATTTGGGAATTATTTTTGTTCCATGTTGCATACATGGTCTGTTTAAAACGTATGTAACTTTAGAACCAACATGGTACAGAAAAAAGGTAAACAGTTTCATAAACTAGAGTACATATGCTATCTGTTGAATACATTTTTATATCAGATGCATTAACTTGAATTTTTGGCCTTGCTGTATTCTTCTGCTTGACTGGGCCCATGTACAAATGTTTACCTATGTTTGTGTCCTTGGATGATGCCAGGGCATTGTGCAACTTTAATACATTAGAGTAGAGAATGTATTTATTTATTTTTTTACATTATTTAATTGTTAAACATGAAATTAGTGAAGAATAGTAAACAAATCAAACATACTGTCAATGGCATAGCAAGATAATTACAACATAAAATAGTGAAATAATCTACAGGGTTTTTTTGTTTGTTTGTTTTTTCATCTATTTTTTATACTGTATATTGACCCTGATTAAGTAGACCATGGTTATGAAAACATATTTTACCAAAATATTTTGTTGTAGGTTGGCTTTTATCACTTTGCACATTCTTTCGTTCGAGGAAACTGGAGAAATGAGGCAGAGAGCTCATTTGCACTTTTGGCCAAATCATGTCATGACATCGACCTCATACATCACTGGGTAGGGGCACGGAGGTACAGTGCTCAAAATGCTACATGTAAACAAGAAGCTGAAATCCAATAAAATGATGAATTATTAACTCTGATGCTTGCTATCCCAGGTGTGTCAAGGTGTCATCATTTGGATCTCTTAGTCATTTCAAAAAGGCACACAAGGTAAGCCATTGCACTGTATTAGTTGTGCATGGTTACAAAATATAAGAAGTGGGTTACAATTATTATTATTATATATTTTTTTAAATACATGCACTCCAATTTAAAGTATGTCAAATGTGTTATTTAGAACACCATATAAGCAATCTACCAGTACAATCAATACAATTCCAAGATCAACAGTAAATACATTTTTGTTTGTTTGTTTTATTCCTGATGAAACTAAACAATTAAATGTGATATGCTTTTTTCAGCCAACAGGTGCAGGAGAGCGCTGCCTTGATTGTCCCATAGAGCAAGACTGTTCATATTCTGCATCTAAAATATATCTGGACAGAGTAAAACAGGTTCAGCACATTTTATATTATCTATTTTATATTATCCTTTTCCACAAGCCCAATACAATCAAACCAGGGATGAAAAAAATTGTCAGGAAAAATTTATGTTTAACCGTCTAGCCAGTAGATACAAAAAATTTATTGGATTGTTTTTTTATTGCAGGAAGAAAGAGGAGATAGAGAGCACTTTTATAAATTACTTGAGATATGAGTGGTTTAGTGGCAACAATAGCACACTGTGCATGGTGGATAGCAGCATACAAGTGATCTTCCTTACTGAATATAAAGCCTTCCTAATTACAGAAATAATGTATTTTGTATGTAGGGTCACACTGGCTGGCCTGTGTCGGTCATCTGCCAAAACTCTTACCCCGACATCGAGTCTGTGACTGAAGCTCTGAGGAGCGGACCATATGGGCGCTGTGTTTACGAATGTGACAATGATGTGTGCACAAATCAGGTATTATAACACTCATGAAATAGTATTATTCACACAAGATCAATAAACCAACCTTGCACAACAACATGGATTCTTGCAATATTTGTGAATTTACAAACTTATGAGAATCCATCCCAGCAGTGGGTGGATCAATGACAGAGCAGCATTGAGCTTTATGCTAAAGCACCCAAGTGAACCAAAACAAACATGGTAATGCCAACTGACGTACTTCAGCCTATTTGGTGAAAAATAGAGACTATGTTTGTGAAAATATGCAGAAGGTCGGTGCTTTATGGACAGAAAAGATGTCTGTGCTTTTCTCTCAACTCTATGTAACAAAAGTTGGATTTTTCAGCAATTCTGCTGTTGTGATGGTTGGATCAGTCAGATTCAAATGTTAATTGTGATGTTCTTCCTTTTCCCCAAACACTTTCAGTGAAAGCCTATTGATGCATGTGTAGAATTCAATTCAGATTCTACACATATTAATCTTCCCTTAGCCAGGTTATCAATAAGCACCAAATATCATTGTAGCTAACAAAGTTTCTTTTACTACATCAGAGGTCAAGTTGCAGTTGCTGTGAAGGTCTGGTGTGCTGGGGTTCTTTTTATACACACCCACTAATTGATTGATCAGTAACTAATCACAGGTGAGGCTGTAATCTAGGATTGGGTGCATCATATGACAAGGCGACAAGACTTTTGTCTTGCCAAAATCTGACCTTTCTGTGTTCATTAAATTATCAATCTTTCTTCAGTGAATCAAATTTATTTTAGTATATTGAGCATAATTTGGGAGGGTTTTAGCTTTTATATGAGACATTTCTAAAACCAATCGATTAATTTAAAGTCAGGTTATAAGATTTTGTTTCTACAAAATGGATAAGCGACAAGACTTTTGTCAGGGACTATATATGAAAAAAACTGGCATTTTTATCATCTTCTCTTGTCACCATAAATTAAACAAAAGGAAAATACTGTTTCCCAGTAGCTTCAGAAAGTGTCAAATGCTAAAATAGTTTAAAAACATAATCTGTATGAATGATGATGCATTGTTTTGTTTTTATTCTCAGGTTGTGAACATGGAGTTTGAAGGTGGAGTGACAGCAGCATTTTCCATGGTGGCTTTTACAGAAAAGATTTGCCAAAGGCAGACAACTGTCTATGGCAGCAAGGTTCAACTACTATTAACAATTTTCATTATGTCTAATTTCATTATCAAATCACTTAGTCTAACATTTGTAATGTGACTGCCTCAAAGGGAGAGCTCTCTTATGATGCCAATGGGGTGCGAGTGTTTGACTTCCTGACTCAGAGATCAACTAAACATAACCCAAGCAGCGATGCCCCAAAGCACTTTGGGATGAACGGACACGGAGGAGCAGACTACCACCTCATGGATGCATTTATTTCTGCTGTGGCTGTGAGTAATGTTGCTTATCTAATATTAATTCACTGCCTTGTTCTTGTATTGTATTGATTTGTAATACAGTATCTCATCAGCTAGTATTTCAGATCAGATGAAGCCAAGATTTAATTTATAATACAAGAATTTCATATATATATCATTTATATATATATGTATGTATGTATGTGTGTGTGTGTGTATATATATATATATATGTGTGTGTATATATACACACACACACACATATGTGTGTGTCAGTGTTGTGCATGAACGAGTTCAAAAGAACGCGTTCATTGAACACGTTCATTTTTCAGTGAACTTTGAACTGAACGCAACACTTTTGTAAATCAAGAACTTGAACGTGAATTTGTTCAAATTATGTGAGATGAACGACGTACGTCACTGTTGGGGTTCAGTTAAACGTCGGAATTTGTTTTCACCTGACGAGTGACGATCTGCTCGCACTTCACCTCGCGAAACCACAGCCGCGTGTCAGCGCGAAGGCGACTCCACCGGCAGCTTTAACGGAACGTACGGGCTCTTGTGTCTCTCAATGGGAAAGTCAATCAAACTTGACTGGGCGCGTTTAGCTGCTTGTATTTACCTTCTGTACAGGCTGACCACGGCAAACGCATGGATTTCAAAAGTACATTTCAAAGCACTAATGAACAGTGTATGTGGATCTGGGCTCTTTCACATGATACACAACTGCCCAGGGAGCACAATGTGCTGATGGTAAATGCACAGATACAACAATAGATACATGCTCTCTGTGTATTTTGACGGAGATACGCGCCTACGCTCGTGTAGAGCATCAAAAAATAGGATGGATCCTATTTCTGAAATCTACACGCACAGGACGTGCTGCTCCGCGCGCGTATTATTTTACTTGGTACAAATGTCAGTAACGCGCGTCACAATGCTTTTTTAACCTGGATTGAAATGGTGGGTTTTTCGTTTTTCTTCATACAAATTTGCTAAAATCACCGCGATATCAGCAGCGGTGAAACGCCGGAGGTGCGCCCGCGTAGACCGTGATCCTGAGCGAAAGGACCGACGCAGAAGTCCGCGCTCCACCGAGATAAACGCAGCTGACGCCCGATCGCACTCGGGGTTCACTCAGGGGCGGTCCTAGATTCCAAGTTCTAGTCCAGGATTAGTCCTGGTTTGGTCCTGGTTTAGTCTTGGTTTAGTCCTGGTTTAGTCCTGGTTCAGTTCTGGTTCAATCCTGGTTTAGACCTGGTTCAATTCTGGTTCAGTCCTGGTTTAGTCTTGGTTTATTCCTGGTTTAGACCTGGTTCAGTCCTGGTTTAGTCCTGGTTCAGTTCTGGTTTAGACCTGGTTTAGTCCTGGTTCAGTTCTGGTTCAATCCTGGTTTAGACCTGGTTCAATTCTGGTTCAGTCCTGGTTTAGACCTGGTTCAATTCTGGTTCAGTCCTGGTTTAGTCTTGGTTTATTCCTGGTTTAGACCTGGTTCAGTCCTGGTTCAGTTCTGGTTTAGTCCTGGTTTAGTCCTGGTTTAGACCTGGTTCAGTTCTGGTTTAGTCCTGGTTTAGTCCTGGTTTGGACCTGGTTCAGGTCTGGTTTAGTCCTGGTTCAGTCCATATACGGCGCAAAAGTTCAGCATCTTAACAGTTCTTTTGGTGAGAATAAATTAAAAGTGCTGCAATAGTCGTGTAATGTTTTACATGTTAAACACAGTAATATTGTAATGTAACAAATGACTTTGAAATGACAGTAACAAGTCATAAATAACACATTACAGTTTTAAAATCACTTGTTCAACAGTGTATCTTGTAAAGTTGTTGTAAACTAGAAGTCAGTTTGAAAAATAAATGCAGCCTTTCATTTACAGATCTCATCTAAATATAAAATGAACTGAACTTTGAACTAGTTCAAAATTAAAATTGTGAACTATGAACGTGAACTATTCACTTTGAACAAGTGTGAACTGAACTTTGAACTAGTTCATGAAAAGTGTGAACTTGCACAACACTGGTGTGTGTATATGTATATATATATATTATATATACATATATAATATGTATGTGTGTGTGTGTGTGTATATATATATATATATATATATATATATAAATATAAAATATGTATTTTTTTATTTTTTTTGAGAGAGAGAAAGAGCTGTCAAGCTTGCATGCTAGCAAGTGAACAATCATGTATTTTTGTTACTTTTGAGTCTCTGTACTTTGCAGTTGTTAAAATAATGACGCTAAAGCGCATTACTCATAATGCCATTTGTGTGTTTGAAGAACAATGATCCATCCTTAATTCGCTCTGGACCAAAGGAGACGCTGCACAGCCATCTGCTGGTGTTTGAAGCGGAGCGCTCCCGGGTCCAAGGCAGAGTGGTCTACTGTGATGATAATGACAGGAAAGGAAATTAATATTCACATTTTAAAGGAGCACTATGTAATATTGTATGGTTTGTAACATTCTGGTCTCTATGGAGTTATGTTATTGCTATTAATTTTTATTTCTATGTTTATTCAATTACAATTATTCAGTTACTTAATGCAATGCAACTAAGAAAAATCTTAGGTGGCATCTGAGCAGGTGGCAGACTCCTCACTAGAAGCGTTACATGCATGAAGTCCATGAACTGGGCAGAACAGCATTTTCCTATGCTGCTCCGTAGGGTTGAAACAATATTCAAAACTCTTTGCATCTACAGGAACTGATTTTTTTAAAAATACTGTATCTAAGGAGAGTTTAACTAAAATGTGCAGATGTGTGTTATTCTTGAACTGGACATTTTATATTTTTAACATATTTTAGACATTTTACTTTTGAAATTGTAATTAATATTTTTTACCCTCTCTACCGGGGTGCCTCTTGGTCAAGTCTGCCTTGAAAAAAAATATTATTTCAAGGGACTGTAAAGGTTAAATACATACAAAATAAACATAGTGCCCTTTTAAGAACTTCTGACACTAATAGTCAATGTAATCAATGACCAAAATAATAAAGAAAAGAAAGGGGACTTTATCTGGGACTTGAATACACTGCAATAATTTCTCAGGGATTTACAATGTGCACTGAAACTATGATGCTCTTATAATACAATGTAATTAAAAATGTATATATATTTTTGATGAAATTCAGAGTATATTCTTTTTTTTTTTCATCCTTCTGTATTGTAAAGCTTAACTGCAACTCATGTCTGTGAAAAGTGCACTGGAACAGTTCTCTATCAGCTGGACAAGGGAACCATCACATGAACTGGACACTGTTAGGAAAATAAATCTATGAAAATATATAGGCTTGTATTATTGAGCTGTGGATTTGTAGTCCTCTAAAATACAAAGGAATACAGCAAACTGCACTGTCTAATCAAAACTCTCTTGAGGAAGGTCAAATCCAGGCCCCAAAGATACACAAATTAGGTCTACCACATATTAACAGTAATCAGTATCAATTCAAACACAGACAGAAACCTGTATAAAAGTGCAAACAATGCAATTTTTCTCTCACAAACCAGATGTCTCTACTATTCAGCCAGCCTGGACAAATGGAGAGGGTTGCTTGGCATAAATTGTGCTTCTTCTAGTCTGATCTTAAAGTGTATATGTCAGGCTTTTCTAATTATTACATAATCTGCTGGGATGGTACTTGTGGTGAATATTTATCATTGTTTTACATCAGTCAAGTGGCAGTTTGTAGACAAAAGCTGAAAAGAAAAGCACAAAAATATAGGACATAGTGGTGAGTTCTAAAATCGAATACCTTTACCTAATCAACACAGAAAAACACTGCATATATAATGATTACTACTGTATAATTCAGACAGGTCTTGACCCTTTTTACAGTATGGTTGCTAGGTAAGGACTACATATGTCACATCCGTCAATCATTGCCAAAACGTCGCTAAAAATGCCTTGCAAACCGTACTAAAGCGGACACTGGAATATAGCCTATTGTACATGTAAAATGTGTTGTAATGTGTTGAATTATTAAAATGAATAAGTAGAAAAAAAAAATGAAATGTGGGAAATATGAGAGCTGGAGATTCATTTGAATCTCACCTCTGACATATATCCTCTGACGGTGTAATTAGCCTACATGTGCATGAAGTTCTACACAGACTGTAGGGTTGCACGGTGGGAAACTATGTCACCCAGACCAGTGGCGCAGCGCTATACACTGGAGAAGGCAGAGGTGCAATATCGTAAAGTTAACGTTCCCATTCTACTGGCTGCGGATGTCGCCCCATAGATCCATGTGTCACCCATGGCTCTATGTAGCCGTGTCCCAATTATGGACTGTACAGTCCCAGTCATGGGGCCTATTAAAATAAATGGATAAATGGATGAATTGCTAGCTTATTAGAGCTGTCCTGAGATGGCTTAGAGGCCAGTCCTGAAACTTCAGCGGAAAAAAACCCCAAAACGCCTGCCCAGAAAGTATTTTTCCTACAGAGCGCAATATAATGACAAACTGAGTGTGTTCAGCTGACAGGGCATGACAGTTTTCAAAAATGTCGGATTTTTAGCTATTTTTTGATTATAAACTTTTTCTCAGCTCAAAGCACTTCAGTTTTCTTGGCCCATCTCATGCAAAATCAACATTTCAGAGAGTTATACCTTCTAAGAGTGATGTGTGGGCCTTGTATATGTCGCCGAAGTGGTTTTTAGATTGATTCGGCGGTTTTTTAACAAATTGCATCGTATTTCTGCCACCCTCCCACGTGACAACGAACTAAAGCCAGCTACGTGGCCAGCTACACCTATGACGCGTTTGACGTAACAGAAACCGCTTCGCACCCGCCCCCCTCCACCCCCTCCACCCACTCACACACCGTCCTGCGTCTGCACCGTGCAGGTCTGTTGTTCTGTGTTATTTATCTAATTTTTCGCTTCAAACACGCTTTTTGTAACCATGTCCTCTTGGAGAAAGTGCGTATTTGGCTGCGATGGCAAGTCGAAATTATTTGGCATGCCGACAGAAGAAGCAAGGCGTGCTAAGTGGCTGGAGTTTATTTCTGGGAACACAGACCGAAAGGTCCCCAAGAATATTTTTGTTTGCGAGCGACACTTCACCGAAGACTGCTTCGAGAACTACGGGTATTTTAAAACTGGACTTACAACGAAGCAGAAGCTAACTTTGGAAAAGGATGCTGTTCCCACGATACCAGGATCCAGTGATGGCTATCCTAGATCTGTAAGTTTACCGCTAGTATACCGCTGAAGAGAATTAAAAGCAAGATGCATCTTTTATTTTTTAAGATTATCCGACATACAATTTCAATATGCATGTCTCTGACACTTCTCACACTAAACACTAAACAAAATCGACAGCATAAGCTGATTGTTATACACTGCAGTGTACACGATATAATAAGATAATCTACTAGCGTTTATTAATACTGCGAGCTCGCGTGCATTTGCTGTGCCCGCGTGAGGAAAGAGCACTACCGCGCATGTGCATTAACTAGGAGCCACCGGAAGTATCTAGCCGGGCTAGGCTAATCTGGGAGACAGTCAGACAATGGACATGCGCCATTGAGCTCGGTGGCCATTTTTACATCCCGGGGCTTGCTTGGTCCCAATTCTAGAGCTGCAGCCTTTGTAAACATGTCTTGTTGTGTTATTGGTTGCACAAACCGTTTTGATAAAAACAACAAAGCACGCAAATTTTACAGAATTCCATCAACTCGCACCCCTTTCAAGGCAAACAAGAGACGTCTTTGGTTACAGGCAATCAGAAGAAGCGATTGGAACGAGCAGATTATTAAAAATGCTAATATCTGCAGCGATCACTTCATATCAGGTAAGCTTGTTTTATAAGCACATTTATTGAGTCCTACATGTATGAAAATGGGAATAAATAAACGCACAGATTGGAGTATAACTATCTTATGTACCATGGTACAATTTTTGCTGTGTTGCTTGCCAAACTTTAGCAACTGTTGTTCAATCGTGAAGTTTTATCATAACATAGTGTTAAGTCACAGGAATACACTTCATTTGTACAGGAGCGGCATCTGACGACATTAACAGTCCTGACTTTGTCCCATCTATCTTCCCCTCGGTTGAAGGCGATGCAAAATTGGGAAGGTAAACGTGACCATAGAATTATAATTTAAAAATCCATCTTTGAGACATGGTATGCCAATATCTTAGATGACAGAGTTGGGATGTCTGCATATGTCATTTGTACTCACTTGAATTGAGAATGTAAGAAACCTATGGTCAACCAAGTAAAGTAACAGTTATTTTTGTACTAAATGATTGTTCTCTTTTGGTTTTCAGATATAAGAGAAAAAGACGAAGGGATGAAACCCCCAGCAGATGTTCAGACAATAGATGTCAGTCCACATCCACTTCCCTCTCTCCAAATGATTGTGGAATGGAGCCTAGTGCTGATCTTAGTACTGGTAAAAACTCTTAACCCTAACCTGACCAAAACTGAACCGATTTGGATTTTTAAAATGTTTATATCGAATCTGCAAGCCTGTCAGCCCATGACTTTTACCAAGTATGCATTTATGAATGTCAGTTATTGTAGACAATTACAGATCCTAATAAGATTATCATGGTTATTTTTTTTTTAGAATAATTGTCAGCCAGGTTTCTGGGCTGTTGCTAAGAAACACGGAGTTTGAGCTCCCTCCAGAGATTTTCTATTGGGTTTAGGTCTGGAGACTGGATAGGCCACACCAGAACCTTGATGTGCTTCTTACAGAGCCTCTCCTTGGCTATCCTGGCTGTGTGCTTCGGGTCATTATCATGTTGGAAGACCCAGCCTCGACCCATCTTCAATGCTTTAACTGAGGGAAGGAGGTTGTTCCCCAAAATCTCGCAATACATGGCCCCGGCCATCCTCTCCTTAATACAGTGCAGTCACCCTGTCCCATGTACAGAAAAACACCCCCAAAGCATGATGCTACCACCCCCATGCTTCACAGTAGGGATGGTGTTCTTGGGATGGTACTCATCATTCTTCTTCCTCCAAACACAGTTAGTGGAATTATGACCAAAAAGTTCTATTTTGGTCTCATCTGACCACATGACTTTCTCCCATGACTCCTCTGGGTCATCCAAATGGTCATTGGCAAACTTAAGAAAGGCCTTGACATGTGCTGGTTTAAGCAGGGGAACCTTCCATGCCATGCATGATTTCAAACCATGACGTCTTAGTGTATTACCAACAGTAACCTTGGAAACGGTGGTCCCAGCTCTTTTCAGGTCACTGACCAGCTCCTCCCGTGTAGCTCTGGGCTGATTCCTCACCTTTCTTAGGATCACTGACACCCCACGAGGTGAGATCTTGCAAGGAGCCCCAGTCCGAGGGAGACTGACATGTTTAGCTTCTTCCATTTTCTAATGATTGCTCCAACAGTGGACCTTTTATCACCAAGCTGCTTGGCAATTTCCCCTTAGCCCTTTCCAGCCTTGTGGAGGTGTACAATTTTGTCTCTGTCTTTGGACAGCTCTTTGGTCTTGACTGTGTTAGTAGTTGGAGTCTTACTGATTGTATGGGGTGGACAAGTGTCTTTTATGCAGCTAATGACCTCAAACAGGAGCATCTGATTTCGGAGAATAAATGGAGTGGAGGTGGACTTTTTAACGGCGAGTAACAGGTCTTTGAGGGTCAGAATTCTAGCTGATAGACAGGTGTTCAAATACTTATTTGCAGCTGTATCATACAAATAAATAGTTTAAAAAAAATCATACATTGTGATTTCTGGATTTTTCTTTTTAGATTATGTCTCTCACAGTGGACATACACCTACGATGAAAATTTCAGACCCCTCCATGATTTCTAAGTGGGAGAACTTGTGTTCAAATACTTATTTTCCTCACTGTAACAGTTTGCTACATATAAAAATGAGATGGTAACATTTTGTTTTGTCCAATTTATTTTTCAGAAGCTATGGTCCCCAAGGTTGTCCATGATGATCTCAAACGGAAGCACAGCCAACTTCAAACTGAATGTGACAATCTGCGTGCGGACATCAACAAACTGAAAGCAGAGAATGAACAATTAAAAGAAATGATCAGGGGTACACAGTTCTCCTTCGCCACTCTCAAGTCTAAAGCAGCACATGTCCTGTTCTTCACAGGTCTGACCAGTGCCCTGTTTGATTGGGTCCTGGAGGTAGTTAAAGACAGTGTAGAAGTTGTGTGTGGCTCTCTGGCTCTGGAGGACCACCTATTGGTCATCCTCATGAAACTCCGGTTAGGCCTCACCAATAAGGATATTGCTTTCAGGTTCAACATTACCGAATGTGACATCTCAAACATTTTCAGAAGCTGGTTACCTGTTATGTCTCAGACTTTAAAACCTCTAATCAAGTGGCCAAGTAAACATGCCATATTAAGGAATATGCCAAAATGTTTCAAACCAAAATACCAGCGTTGCAGGTGCATTATTAACTGCACAGAAATTTGTATTGACAGGCCCACAAATTTAACAGCCAGAGCTGAAAAATATTTAAATTATAAGAGTCATAACACAGTCAAGTATCTGGTTGGCATGTCACCTGCAGGAGCTATTACATTTTTGTCTAAAGGTTGGAGTGGGCATGTTTCTGATAAAAAACTTGCAGCTGATTCAGGATTTTATGACCTTCTACAAGTAAATGATGAAATACTAGCCAATCGTGGTTTTACCATCAGAGATGAACTTGCCTTGTGTGGTGCTACCCTGAGGATCCCTCACTTCACCAAAGGAAAAAAGCAACTGTTGTCTGAAGAAGTCGAAACGTCAAGGCGTTTGTCCAAAGTTAGAATACACATTGATAGAGTAATAGGGAGATGGAAAACTTTCAAAATACTTACTACTGTTATTCCACTATCACAGGCGGACCTGTTGGATGACATGGTAATTGTGTGTGCAGCTTTAACAAACATTTGCAAAAGTATAGAGCTCCTGCACCCACATGACTGACAGGGACGCCATGTTGGCAGTGGTGAATTTGCTGTAATGAATGGCTCCAAGTCTGCATTTTGGAGTTTTTTTCTTTTCTTTTTTTTTTTTTTTTAAATCATTAAATGAAATTAGTTCCTAGAAAAAAATTCAATACTTCGAAAGTTAAGGAAATTTTAAAATGTTTTTATTGGTCTTGTGGGAATGTAACCTGTATAGCATGTTGATAATATACAATATGCAGTAATCTTTTTCCTTTTGCATGTTTTGTCATGCATGTTGTGATTTGAAGAACTTTAGTGCAAACTTTGAATGTTAAAAACTGTTACAGTCAGTGTGTTTCAATGTGTGTGTTTTACATTCTTTAACCTTTCATTTTACTTTAGAACATTCATGATGGAAATGCTTATTACATTTGCACAGCTGGTGATCTTTCCAAACTCTGGCCTTTCTGGCCTGTACCTACCGTTTTTGGGTTTTTTTTGGATGACGAGTGAACTAGTACTGTGCGTTTGTAGCCTACTCTGTTACATCCCCAATACATGTCTTTTCTTTGCATCTCAATTCGAAACAATGGCATCAATGATAACCCCATATAGTCCTAATCTTTCAACTCGGTAACCTTAAGTACAATGATCGTGAGAGTGCCTGTATAATATATCCTATAATATATTTTGTTTACCGTGATGTGGTCTTTATTTTTGCTTTAATTAAGATGTGGTATTAACACAAAAAAGCTTTTAATCTAGCCTGTCTTGTTGGTTCATACACCACGTTATTGGATGCACTTTTGCCACCACGGTTGAATCATTGTTTTCGGTCTTAATATGTTGTCAATATCGACAGTAGCAGTAATTTGCCTTTGACATTAAACTATTTTTAGTCTACTGTCTGTTGCATCCAGTAGGTGGCGCAGTGGATAGCTGGGGGTCGTGAAGATGAAGAGAGGCGGGGTTTGCGCTCTGTCGTAGGTTAGTGGAGGCTGCAGGAGCACCACCGATGTTCATCATATCCTCCTCTGTATTTTCGTGTTAGGACCGTTCTCTCCCTCCATCTATCCGGCTCTGGTAAGGACTCGCTCCCGGACCAAGAATAAATCTTACCAAGAGGAGAATAACATCAGAAAAGTGTTTCAAAATGCTGGCATGCACTGAAATGATCACCATGTGTCTCCAATCTGCCAAACAAGAACATTTACGAAAGCAGCAACTGGACCACAACCATAATCAAGGCATCGCTATTTTTCAGGATGTAAGTGGACTACAATTTTAACATTTTATATTTGAAATACCAAGTAGTCTGTATTCATTTTATCACTTCTCATTGCTTTTCTTCATCTAAAATGCTACTAAGTTGTGACTTATGAAGCGCATCTTACAAAATTATCTGAATGTTGTGAATGGTCCCTCTGGCTCATAAAGATGCTAAGGTTTCATTCATTCATAATCGCTGGTCAGATTATGTAATAAAGGTGAGTGGGCATCGCTACGTGAATGACAAAAGAGAAAGGTACCAGCTGACAGCCCTCTCAGTGACAGAGATGAAAATATATGGAATGTATAAAGGTTAGGTGACACAGAGGACAATGGCATCACCCCATTGATCATTTGGGTACATTCATCCATCTATTGCTCTGAAAACGGATGCTTCATGCCATTGAATTGTAACAGAAGATGTTACAACAAAATGGTTTACCCCCTACTAGACTCAAGTACATTAACATAAAAAGTACATTGTCATTGTCCCTAATGTCAGTGTAAAATACGCTATAGTAAAGAACATTATAGGCTAGAAAATTGAAACATTCTTATATGAAAATTTGTGTAAATTAAAGTGCTATGATATTTTAAATGTACGACACATTTAGGGTTAGGCTTGTTAGGTTGTAATTTATGTTTTTGAGAAAAAAGCTTTTCATTTTTGTTGATGACCTCTTTACATGTAGCCTATGGAGAAGTTGTTTGTGCACTGGAAATCAGTCACGTTTCATTGTAAGAAGCATAGAGCATATCATGAAATTGTAGATTATGTAGCCTCTGCTTCTACAGAAGTGATGGCCATTTTCTGTTGGTGTTTCTGTCTAATCGATGTAATGCAAAGGAAAATCCCATCAGGCAAATTGACTGAGCTGTCTTTAAGAGCAGAACTGTGTGCATCACACAGGGTTGTTTATTCATTAACATCTATAACCATTGACAGTACACGTATGCTTCATATTTGTGTCTATTTTCTGAAAGTGTGGTTAGCTTTTCACCTAACATCTTTCTGTTTAATGCATTTCTAATAGAAAGTTGTGCATCTTATTGCCATGGTTTCTTGCTCAACCTTAAAATTAAACTCTGTCTTTACGAAACATCAACAGCTGTAACATCTAAATGATTCAAAAATCATTTTAGTTAGGCTTGTATGTCCATGTAAGCCTGCCCTGGTCTTCTCACATCACAAGAGCTGGCTGTAAATAAAATCCCTCATTTTCCTCAAGGCATATTATGGACCAGTGAAGTGCACGTTACTGCAGACTGAGCAGTTTAAAGTAGTTAGCCTCCATTTTCCCATGATGCTCTGGGCTTTCCCTGTTGGAGCCTATTACAATTGTTAATGGAGAGGCAATCATTGGTTTACTGCAGTGCAAATTAAGAGTTTGATTGCAGCAGGGTGCCATTTATTAACCTAAGCTTTGATTTAGATTTCATATCATAACTTGTTTGATGCTTTGCAGTTCAGTGATACACTGACTGTATCACAGTGGGACCATGCAGTAGAGTGATTTGAGATAGTTAAAAAGATTGAATTCAGTGGTGGATGATTAGAGTGGGTTCATTATCAGACCCAAGGTTAAGTGAATAGGACTTGATGTGAAAAAGGTCACAATGTATTCAACAGTTAGTGCTATACAAACTAGCATTGTAGTGCCATAGTGGTTATTGCCTGGGATCCAAACTGGTTCTTTCTGTATAGTCACCAGAAGATCTCAGTCGGCCTCCTCTTCTCTGTCTCTGATCAAACTCAGACTGAGCTGTGCAATCATTTGTTGGTTTTAATGAACATGGAACACAGACACGCTCATTGGTCATTTTTAGAACAATGTCAAAGTTCTCTTACTTAGCATTTAGTGCTTTGCTAATTGATTCAGCCCTGTAATTTTTATTTATTTATTTTTCATTGTAGCCTATGTAGTCATATTTGTTGTGACACGGATGGGCAATGTGTGTCCCTAATCGGCAGATCCACCTGTCAATCATGCCTGTCCTAACTCAAGGAGATAAAACTGGTGTCCAGACGATTACACATCTTTGTAATGTACTGGAGAAGGGTATTCTTGGCTGCATGGAAATACAGTATAATATACAAGGTTGAATTAATCAGTTGTAGTGAAATTCTTTTCCATACACATTTAATTATGTCTCAAGACACCATTGAAATGTGAAAAGTGTATAGCACAAGTGAGGCCATTTTTAACCCTTTCCCTTGTTCTTCTTCCTTTTACTCGAATGGATCTCATGCTGTGCCTCCTCTCATTACAGTACAGCAACACTTTAGACTGACTCAAGGTGCTTTTGTGCATTTGTCTGCTTCCTCTGTTAAAAGCACTATTTATAGTCCGCTGAGAACTGCATTGTTTGATTTAATAGACGTTGGTCTCTCAGCTGCTGCTACCTTGACAGCTTTTGCCTGCGCTTTTTGAGTTGATAAATAGTTTCAGTAACTAACAGAGAATACAGTTTGTGCAGAGATTTTTTTCCTTCTTTGTGACATTTTAAAAATAACTGATACAACTAGTGCTGTCCTGTATTTTTGTAAGTACTGTTAAAAGTGATGCAAACAGTTGAAATACCCTTCTACCCTACCTTTTGCACATGACCCGGAGCCCTGGCAGCATTAAAGAATGGGCCTAATGCAGAGGATGAATTTTGAGGGCAATTAAGTACAATTTAACCTTAATCTAGTGATAACTGATGATTGTCCTATAGCCATAACATCAGATTTTTATCACTAGCAAATGTCTTTACAGCCAACACAAAGAAAGGAAGATGTTTTTAGAATGAATGATTTGACATTGACATTGATTTGATGATTTGATACATTATTGTGTTAAAGGACTATCAGGGCAGTAAGGTCAGTACAATTTTTGTATATCTTTGGTGTGGTACACATAAGACATGAAGTTCCTCTATTATAGTAAATTGTTTCTTGTGAGATTTTATCCATGTTATAATGCTGTTACCTCATCAAAAACATACCTGGAATGTTTTCTGTTTGAGAGAAGAACACAGCCTAAATATGCAGGGTTTGTGTGTTAAACATGTGTGAATGAAACAAAACACAATTCCAGGTATGTTTGTGATGAAGAAAGAGTATAATTACCGACTGGTAGATAACACACCTCCATCTCCCTCAATACCTCACAACTGCATAGAGTCCATTCAGTGACATTCTGTGTGTGACAGTTTGTATTACACATCAGGAGCTGCCTTCTCTGAGCTTACATTCACATTTCAAAGCTTTGGGGACATTGATTATTCTGTAGATTTGAGCTTTTGTAACCAGTAGTCCATGTACCGTCCATCTTTAAATAAGGCAGTATCTTCTACAAGAAATGCAATTACTACAATGTATGGATTATTGTGGACTAATAGTAACATTTAGGATAGTGGGACCATTACCATTAAATATAACTGCACGGCCATCCAAAACTAGGAACATCATTTTGTATTCTATGGCTTTATTGTTTATTATGTCATACTTATTACTTTAATCTTATGGAAGTAGTAGTCAAACAAAGGAAAATAGACAAAAATTTGCTATCTAATACCTGTAAACCTCCTTTTTATGGAGGCTTCCTTAAATTGTAGTTCCTCTGCATCTGACTTGTTATTAAAGAACAGCACCATTTCATTTTGTTGATCTTTCTCTGTTCATCAAAATTGGTTATTAATTTCCATCACTTCAGGTAATGGTTTTCTGACAGCTTCGGAACATATTTTTGTGTATGATAAGACTTGTGTGTTTGATGATTATAACAGCATAGATACCACTTAGTGTCTGTCAATCAGTACCTCCAGTCTTGTTTTTTTCTTCAACTGGAAATATACTCCAGTACATTACTCATTTGAATACTGCTGAATTTTATGTCCGGTGTTTGGAGAACACTGGAAAATAGCCTCCTGAACCAATAGTGCAATGAGCCCATAATTGTTTGTTACTGGCTCTTCAGCAGCTTTATGAGTGCCCGTTTCACACTGGCTGTGATATGTGTGATCTGATCTGCTTTTACATCTTTAGAATCTCTTATACTCTTTTTTTGACCATAAAAATAAAGTCCTATGCCTCAATTGAAATTTACATACTAATCTGGCTCTAGTTCATATACATGTAAAATGTCACAGCCCCTATTCAACAGTAAACAACATTTCACTATGAAGAATCAGCTGTTTTAAATCAATATTGTGTTTATTTGACTTTTTTTTTAATGTAATCTAATAGTTTAATTTTAAATCTCATCTTTAAATACATTTCTTGTCATGGCTTTGTATCAAAGTCTGTACCATCACAATGTTGTTGAATTCATATGACTTCAGAAATACATTTTGTAGCAGCTTGAGTGCACTTTAACAAAGCCCCTTCCCAGCACTTGTTTAAACCCTTGTGTGTTAACAATTGAGTGCTACTGGAGCGTTACAGCCTTGAGTCTGCTGAAAAGTAGCAGCTGTCTGTAGATGTGGCTTCAACTCCATTTTGTCCATTCTGATAAAAGACTTGATTGAACAGCTCTTTTCTCTCCTCCACTGCTCCTGAACCCAAGGATCCCACTCCAGAGGACTGCCCCCTGACACTCCACTCACACTTCATTTGATACAGCCATGATTTTATTACCACATTTAGAGCTTGAAACTTCCCACTCCCCTATACCTCTATCTCTATAGCTGGAACTGGTACATATAGAACTGCACAATATGAGCAAAGAAACACCCAAATATTGTTGAATATATGTGTGGTGTTATGGGGGTGGGAAATATAGTGAAATATCAAACAATTATCTAATCATGTGATGACCTAGAGAGATTCTAAATTATCCATGTTATAATGCTGTTACCTCATCAAATATAGACGGACACCCATTCAGAAAAAAGTTCAAAATTGTGACCTATATTGGCTGTAGTCAAGATATAATTTTAAACTGTGTGAATAACCCAGAAATAACGTCTAAATAAGTTATTATTTGTTGCTAAACTATATTTTTAAAAAATCATAACCTATCTGAAACTCTTTTTTTTTGTGTATAAGAAAAAGAAAAATCTCTTCTTAAAGCTCCATCTTTACATTTCCATTCATTTTCTTTTATTAAAATGTAGATCAAGCTCCTCTCTTGTGTCTTCAGCTCTCCTACTGATAGATGACTTTGTTCTCGATAGCACATCACATCCCAGAATCCATCATCGTCGTTCACATATGAGCGCACCTCTACATGTCTATAAATCGTCCACTCTTATAACATAGGAGCAAACCTAAACGTTATATTTTCTCTTGTCTTTTGCAGATATTCCGACGGGCAGACAAGAATGGTGAGTTTACACAAAAATGTCATTGATTAAATATTATACTTAAAAGAGCACCGTGAAGAGCCAGAATAGCTGGTTGTGGAGGGTCAACAGAAAGCTACGCACTTTTATTAAAACTCAAATAAAGATGCTCTGAAACAAATTTTGATTTGAAAATTGACTTTTTGAAAGGGCATTGAGGCAATGTCATCTCCACTTTCTGTCTGAGTGATTTTGCGGTGCGCTTATCTCTGTCTATGTCTCTGGTAGTGATATAAATATCCAAGGTCAATAACACAATAGCACACTCACAGCACATTTGAGTGGTTTGTAATGGCATATTCCTACTAAATGAATAACATGTTTTCACATCACACAAGATATATGAACTGCGAATAACTTGGCATTATATGGACAGTAGTAAATGAGCCATGGATCCTACTATTATGAGAATGAACTCTGAATAAAAACATTTCAGCAACTAATCTGATCCTTTACCAACATTTTGTGACATTAATATATTTGTGGTACTGGCTCACCCAAGCTTGATATGAAAAAAAAGACAGACCTGTTCCACCAAAAGTATGAATATTTTTTTCTATTTCCATTTATATCTCAATAGCAAAGACTCAATAGCAATAACTAAATGCAAAAAAAACCCCAAAAAAACAAAACAAAACAAAAACAAATTCAGACCAAATATCATTTTATTCTCTCATTCACCTGCAAATCATGTTATTTGTTGCTGAAAATAAAATTGTGGTTTTGCCTTAATGTGTGGCAACACATGGAAGTATATAAATCTTCCTTCCTGTCACATTATTAACAAATATGAATTTCAGATCTCTTGTAGTTAATGCAGTGTTACAGATCCATATAAATTCATCAGAGACCTTCCACCTAATGTGAATACAATGTCTATAGCCCGTGAACTTGTCAGCTCTGTTTGATTAATGCATTTCCATGTTACGGCTAAACTCTCCACTCACTTCAAAGAAATGCTTATGTCTTCTGGGGAAACATCACTGTGTAAGAAAAACTGTCTTTACAAATATTTCTTATTCTTATTCTGTGCGTTTACATAAATCTAAAATGTGTTGGCTCATTTTTGCAGTAACTAAAACTCATCTTGGTGTCCTCTGAGAATGGCTGTTGGGAGTTGTTATGTAACGTGTTCATTAATGATGCAAGCCACGAGGCGAGGTTGTCTGCAGTGGTCTACTGAGTAGTTTGAAAGAAAAATCAGTTTGAGATTGTGTGAACAAAATCAATTTAGCCTTTGAGTAAAGGCAGCTTTTGATTACATCAGAACAATATGGCTAACATAATTTTTTATTACCCCTAACCTGGCTACATAGACATATCTCTTGGCAACAGGTAGTGGCTCCCTGTTATTTCAAAAGTATTTACAGTATTCACTGATTACCTAATATTTTTATTTGAGGTCCAACCGTTTTAAATTGTCAATGAGAAGGTCAAATTTTTGGCCACAAACCACATGTTTTTACTAATATGTGTTATGTGTTATGAATAAGAAAAATGAATGACCAATCAATACAAGGAAATAATAATAATAACATAAATCTGACCTAAAATACATCAGGTAGGTAGTCAGAATACAGTGGTAGAACAGCACATATGGCAGGGCATTATTTGAAATATCCCTAGGCTGTAAGTTGGCCCTCCTGTCAGTCTCACAGCATCTGCTTCTGAGAAACAACTCATGAGGACCAACAAACTCACCTGCTCTGATAACATCCTATAGCTCTTATCAAGAAAAGAACACCTCTTCATTAATTATGTTGGCTTGGTTGGCATTTTAAATCATAATCTATGTATCCAGTCTTTCTAGTCAAAATTCACATGTGCATAGATGTGATTCATGCTGTATGTTTTCATTGGCCATTAAGAGCCATCTTCTGATTTTGAGAGTTCACACTTCCCTGTGATTGGTTACATCCACTGGTCAGTCACTCAGAATATGGCAGATGCTGACCAATAGCTGCATTAAACAGAAAAACAGAATCACAGTATAGATGATATCAAACGCATTTCATCTCACAGATCACAATTTTGATATGACCATATTGCCCAGCTCTACGTGTAGCTGCAAATAATTAGCACAGTAAATGCAAACAATGACAATATGGATGATTTTCTGTTTCCTTTTTATTTCTTTATACAGTGTGTAAGCAATCTGGCCAGTCGTAACATAAGTTTGCACAACCATATGGTGAATGGTGCTTTTCTTACTGCCACATTAAACAGATTGTTTTTTTTATATTATTCTAAACTATTTTGTCATCTGTTTCCAGTTTGGCAAAAATATCACATTACAGAAGGCAATTATCCTTTGTTGATAATCCCATTGAATATTATTTTTCATAATATGGCCACACAGGTTAAATAAATACACATTCTTGATGCGACGCATGCTTTCCAGTAAGACCTCCCATCTCCTTCATGATTTAAATTCAGCCCAAAGCCATTATTTTTTCTGTGGATTCTTGTTTGTGTGGGTTTGTGCTACTTATCTCCAGTTTGCACAGACGTGTTAGTGAGGATTCGTGCAGAGAAGAAGCTGCCTCCTTCAGCAGTGCAGAGTGGACCACAACTGCTGTAGTGCTTCAGTTAGCATATAATGAGCACCTCCAGGCAACTCCAGGCCATTATACGTTGTTGAGGAATACAGTAGCAGAGGCTGGCAAAATTATTTCTGTTAAACTGGTCTCAAACTGGTCCCATGCTGCTGTGTATAAGGGGCCCTTATTTTTCATTACTATAATACTACAATGCAATAGTTGAAGAAATGTAACAAACAAAAATTCCAGGTACAGTGTTGTGTTATGTATTAACCTCAAGGATTTTGCTTATTATATAAATGACTTCCCTTCTAATGCCCATTATTGTCCAATTTCAAAGAATAGACTATAGCATGTAACGCTTTCTTAAAGGGGCCATAAAGATCTCTCTGTTGTTTCTTCATCAAAAAACATACCTTGAGTTGTGTTTTGTTTCATGCACACATGTTTGACACAAAAACACTGCACATTTAAGCAATAACAAAAACTGGAGAAGCTGCAAACTATCATCTGATTTACATTCACCTGTAACCATATTTTGTTAGATATTTTTTAAGATAGTTTCTTCACAAAGACAAATATGAATAAGAAAATCAATCAGTGAACAGAATAAATTATATAGGTTAGGTTATTTTATGTAATATATAAAAAATATACAACCAAAACCATGCAAAATCACTTGATAACAATGATTGTAGCTGTCTGTAGAGCATTCCCAGTTATAGACCAATATACCTTGGCATTTGGTTTTCCCGTGAAGGTTTATTCAAGGATAAACCATCGGGTGTAAAATGCAATACTAAATGTCTCATATGAAAAAATTGACCCTTAATTTAAGGCGGAACACACAGGCCTGGGTTCTCTGCTGATTCATTGCACTCGTGTTATTTCTGATTGTGTGTCATCTCCGGTGTCAGACCTTATCGACTTGTCCTGAACTGAACCATATGAGTTAAAGGATCGAAAGGATAGATGCTCCTATATGAGGTTAGCATAAATGTAATACTTAAGTTTACTATAAAATCTTGCTTGTGACTATTTTTGGAAACTATGATTTAATGAGTATGGTATATTATTGATACTTTGTAGCTGATGTCGTAACATTCATTGGTGGGATGAAGCTCTGTTACTCAAGTTTTATACTTTAATCTGAGTTTTGTTTTTATACAATCTGACCATAAAGAACTGACTTGGGTGGAACTGCAACAGGTAAATAGATGTTTATAGATAGACTGGTTCGCCTGTATTCAGCCTCATATTTTACTATGTGTCATTTTATGTATTTTAGCAGGTTAATATGTTTTCATACATTTTTGTATGAAAAGTGCTTTATAAATAAAGATTGATTGATTGATTGAGACTAGATCAGATTGGGTTGGCTAATGTGTGAATTGTGTCTATGGTAACTCCTCCAGGATGACGTCACTGCAAATTATCCAATTGGCCGTCACTGGTTTGTCTACTCCACTTGATAATAATTTAGTGATATTCAATAAACACCAGAATAATTAAATTGTTATAGTAGTAGTAACAGTTATTGCAGTAATATAACACAATACACCATAAGAAACATAGTTGGTTCAGTAAAAAGCCACTTCTCCTAACTAGTTGCTCTTATACTTCTTTGATATGATGTAAATTTACCATTAATGTTGAGCTTCACGCTTTGAATTATTGCAAAGGGTTGGCTCACTTTGCTATATTTTCAGTAAAGTAGACTTGTAATTCCTTATTTTGCAAATGTGTAAAACCCTTTGAACCTTCTATACACAGTAACTGTGTGTAGAAGGCCTGTCACAGCCCTAAATTTTAATTAAACTGTATTGTGCACCGCAGCAGAATTTACTTATTGCATTGGGACAAAATGGCTGCAGGACAGGGCTGAGCTGACAGACGAGCGCTACATCTGAAAATAATGTCCCAAGATCTCAGTTATTTTCTACTGCAGGCTTTTCCAGAAATAACATGACTGGGGCCTTTTTGGTAACTTGAAACTCATTGAAGAAAATGTCAGATTCAAAATGTTCTTTTTAATTTAATCACCCTCAGTCATTTTACTCCATAACAGATGCTCGGAATCCAGTGGTCCTCGAATGCAGCACATCGAGCTTTCCTCTTGTTGAAAAATTCAAGTGTCAGATTCATTAATAATTACTGGTGTTTTGGTTGCTAACAGATTTCTTGAGGAAAGGCTAATTTCCTGCAGAGATTCATGCCTCCTCATTTACTGGCGTTTTATTGAGGTCATTGTGTGAGTAAAGCAGTTCCTAGTCCTCCTGAGGTAACGATCACAATCCATCTTATAGACACTTGGATTTCCCTGTAGGATCTTTTTGTCACTACTTGTGCATTGGGCTGAATCTGGACAGAGATTCTATAATACTTTTTATCCATTTACTGTGTGGTCTTATCATTTTGGGACAAGCTGTATATGGAAATAATAATGCCTATGACTATCTGCATTGGAGTAAATTTTAAATTGATTAATAAAAAGAACTGTCCACAATCATAATTAGGATCTGAATATAATAGGTTTAGTAAATTGCACAGATAATTGTGAAATGTAAACTGGACAAAAGTTTTTTGAGAGTGAATACCTTTCTCCACTCGTCCATGCTTTTACATTTCTGGCAGGCTACTGGTAAGCCACAGCCTTATGTCTGTCTGAAGGAGAAGCTACACTGAAACACACAGACTAGTTGTTTACAGTAATGAGTATCTGTTATTAAGTCCAATGAAATAATAACAGATTAAACAAACAGCAAAGTGTGTGAGTTTTCATTAGCTATGGTGTGTGATACAAACCTTAAGCCAAACCAGCCCAACACTGATTCATTACAACAGATGACCATTTGCTAAATGTTATATAAGCATTAAATTCCTCCTTTTTAAAAGTCCTATATTACATAAAATGGATTCTTGTGAGCTAAGCCATATTATAATGTTGTTGCCTTGTCCAAAATATACCGAAGTGTTGAATTTTGTTTCATTCACACGTTTGAGTAGTCTGTCTACATCTCCAAAGCCTGAAATGCTCTGTTCAACTCATGATGTCATGAATGATGATGATGATGATGATTAGTAGAGATGGCAATTCCAGGGTTGAAATTATCCAAATTATTCTAGTGAAGGTGTACATGGAGTTTCAAAGACCACTTCTTGTTTTATCACCTAAATATGCAGGGTTTGCCTGTTAAACATGTGAAGTAAATGAAACAAAACACAACTCCAGGGAGATTTTTGATGAGGAAACAACAGTACAACACAAATCACACAATAGTGTAATATGGCTTATATTACTTTAAGCATGTTTCTTCAGAAGCTATTATAATTTTACACTCTTAAAATATTGACTAACATAACATTAACCATAACATAATTACAATGCTGCGCTCGAACTGGCACTAAGGCATTCCTTGTTATTAATCTGATTTCAATGTGAACAAGAAAAAGTCAGTATTTTTTTCTGAGTGCCCAGGCCAGTGACAAATACTGTGATTTTTCAGCTGTGGACCCTCCCAGCTCATCCATTCAACCTCATGCCTTCAATACCAATAGACTCACTCTTCCTTAGCCTAGCACATGCCTCTGCAGATTACAGCCATCTACCGGAGTAAAAATAGTAAAATGCCAGGAACCATTTGACTAGTTCAGCTCCCTCTCTCTAGAAACTTGCATAACGTGCCATCTGAGCCGCTGGAACTCATAGCCTCGTGTCTAATTGGGTGTGAATGTGGAAAAAGCTGCTTAAATAAAGAAGGATGGAGAAAGTCAGAGGTGTAGCAGATTGTGTGTCCGCCTACATTGCGTGGTAAAATACGATTTGTAGAAAAATAAAGACTTTTTTAGTAATCACTGTAAATGAGAGTAAATCATACTGTGTGAATAATTATTAGGCAAGTTGTATTCATGAGGATTAATTATGTATTTGAACAACTACAGTGTTCTCGGTCAGTCCAGTGTAATAATTATAAACCTAAAACATCAATATTTAAGAAAGTTAAAGTGAAGTTTTGGCTTTCTTAGGAAAAAATCTATGTGCACAATTATTGGGCAACTATTAATGTGCAGAATTATTATGCAAGTAAATGAAAAATTAACATTTTCTATTCTGACTTGTTTATTTTCATCTGTCAGAATAGTACACAATTCAGAATTTACAAATAAACATTTCTGACATTAAATAAAAATCAGTGACTAATATAGCCATCCTTCTCCTCATTAATGGTCATAAGCCTTCTCATTCATGGAGTCTGTCAGTTTCTTGATCTGTTGATGATCAACTTTTTGTGCAGCAGCCTCCCAGATGCTGTTCAGAGAGATGTACTGTTTTCCTTCACTGTAAATCTCCCATTTAAGAAGAGCCCACAAATTCCCAATAGAGGTTAGATCAGGTGAGGAAGGGGATGTGTCTTTTTTTTTTTTTTTTTTTTTTTCCATCTATAAGCCCTTTACTGGCTAATCACGCAGGAGTGCAACAATACATGTGATGGAGCATTGTCCTGCATAAAAATCATGGCCCTCTTGAAAGATTCATACTTTTTCCTGTACCACTCCTTGAAGAAAGTGTCTTCTAAAAACTGGCAGCAGGTTTTGGAGTTCATTTTGAGTCCACCTTCAATCCGAAAAGGTCCAATAAGCTCATATTTAATAATACCAGCCCATACCCAAGCGGAGCTCTGTGCCCATTACTGATCCAGCCATGGGACCGTACATCTGGTTCGTCAAGAGTTACTCTCATCAGTCCACAAAACCTTTGAAAAATCAATATTTCATGTCCCAGTCTTGATGTTTCAGCTTATGTTTCTTGTTCAGTCGTAGTCAGGTTTCAGCCTTTCTTACCTTGGCCAAATTATTGGCCAAATTAAATTAGACAAAATACCCACTTGCCTGATACTGTAATTGTGCATACAGTGACCACTTGCCTAATAATTGTGCACACAATGACAGAATGTTTATGAGTTGTTTACTATTCTGACAGATGAAAATAAACAACTGAGAATGGAAAATGTTGATTTTTCATTTAGTTGTGTATTAATTCTGCACATTAGTAGTTGCCACAATGCACACATAAATTTTCTTCTCAGAAAACCAAAACTTCACTTTTACCTTCTTAAATATTCAGGTTTGAGGTTTATTAACATTTTGGATTGACCGAGAGCACTGCAATTCAGAAATAATTATTGACTAATATTTTTATTGTTGATGAGACTTTTGTGTTAATTCTAGTGGATAGGCTAAGTGTATGTTCCTCAACTTGGTTTTGATAAATAATTGGCATACATTACCAGCTTCACTTCATTTAGAGATTCTGCTTTGCCTAGAATGTTCTTCAGTAAGGCATTACATTTATCTTGCATTTATTCAATGACATCTTTATAGTTAAATAATCTATGTAGAGGTGTCCTCTCCACAGATCTAACCTGTAACTTGGCCTTGCTTCAGTGGAGCTAGATCAGTTTACTGCCATACCATAACTGATAGTGCAACTTTAAGTTTTGCCTTGAAACTGAATGAAAACAACGCAATCCTTTTCTGCAATACTGGGCAAAATGTGCAGTATAGAAATTGGAAGTGATGTATGGGCCTACCTGTCTTGTTATCTCACCTCCTCGAAGCAGTAGCATGTTGGTCACCATGGTAACAGGTCTACGGTCTGAAGTTTGCCCCAGAGCTAGTGTAGGTATTGGAGATGCTTTTGGCATGTGAATTGCATAAAGTCTATTCTAAACTTGGAAAAATGTCAATTATAAAGTCAGGTATAATATGCACAGAAGAAAACTCTTTTATTGTCTTCATTGTTATTCACAGGCTTCATCTTCATGATTAGATGCCATATTGAGTACTGACGACTTTTCACATGATATATTATTAATTGTTATGGCAACAATGTAAATTTTTCACCTCTATAAAACCCGTGGGTAACTATTTTTGTTTGGAGACATATTGTAGTTTTGTATCCCATTTTCCTTAGTGTTACTTACTCAAATCAAAACATTTTCTGAACTGTATTATTTTCCGTCAGTGACTCTCCTTGGGTTGTCCTTTCTGCTGGAAACTATTCAAAATTGCTCTTATGAACTGGCAGAAAATTTGATTTGAAGCTGGCTGTGGTCCATCAGTATTCACTCTGCTGCAAAACCACTCCTTGAGATCTCCAAAGACTTCAGTTCTGCCAGCAAAGTGTCTTCAAATCCACAAGCCATCCCAGACAAATCATTAAACCCATCAAACACCCACCTTTGTACTTTCTGAGCTTTCATATTCCCTCTACTCCTGTGAAAAGGCAAAAATTGTCAATTAATTGTTTTGCAGGTATTCAAACAGGGATTATAATTGTGCTATACAGACATCAGTGTTATAAAATGGGGGCAGAGTTTGGGGCTCATTAAAAAGCACAGCAGTGATGAATAGTTATAATTCCTATGAGCCTCACCGTGTCATTAAAACCATTGTGCTCTCACAGTAATGGGCTGAATGAACCAAATTACTGCCTGTGGGATTCAGCACTGTTTTGTAGAGGCAGTGTGGTACAGGGGAGTACTTCAACAGAAAGTAAATGTACTATAAATTTTTGACAATATGCTGCCAACATCTACAAATTCCATTTCCCCTGTGCTCTTTTACTATAAGCTCGACCCAGTTTGTTTTGTTAAAATGCATCTTTAACGGTCCTTGAATGAAAAGTCGTTTAGGTGTTTATTTTAAAGGTGCGACATGTAATTTTTACGGTGAAAGTTCAGTCACCTGCTTGTTGCCAGAGTACCATACACAGTACGAACAACATCAAACTGATCTATCTGACATTTATTAAATTACAGGTATTTTATTGTAAAAAGTGGATTTTTGTCTTCAGAAGTTGTTTCTTGCAGATAGCAAATAGTGACTGTACTTCATCCTTTAATAACTGTTAATAAAAAAAAAAAATCTAATTAAAAACTTATGTCTTAGATCTAATTGATGTAACTTTCTTCATCCTCCCAGCCTAGAGTTCAGGGTTGTGTACTTTTGTTTACCTTGTTTTTGCTAATATATCTGTATGGAAATATGTATGGCAGTTTCAAATTTCCATGGTAACTTGGTTATTTTTTTTACCGTTCTGTCACCTTACGTCAATGTAATCAACTTCTCTGTCAGTCCTTCCATCATTAGCTGTGTTGTCAAGCCAGTCGCTCAATTCAAAATGATAAAAACTATAAAGCTGTCTTTTTTTTTTTTTTAGATGACGGTAAGCTGTCCATGGAGGAGTTTCATTCCTACTTCACTGACGGTATCCTGACCAAAGACCAGATGCAGGAGCTGTATTACTCCATTGACCGGCAGCGCTCTGAGTAAGCCCCCCCCTCTCCTGGATTTATCCCAAATGGTAATGCCATCTGCAGGCTCCGGCTGCTCTGCTCCTCCCTGGCTCCACAAGCCTCTATTGCTTTTTAATAAAAATGATGTCAATATTCAGCCTAAAGTGTTTACAACGCCTCTACAGATCCTGGAATTTGCAATGCTCTCTTTGCAAACTGATAAACACGGATAAAAAAAGAAATGTGTGAATGGGCTGATCTGATGGGATTTTAATATATTTCCACACAATGTGTTCAGCAAAGAATTATTTACGAAGCAAATATTGTTCAAATGTGAACAAACAAGTCAGTGCATACATTGTGGTGCTGTGAGTCATGCAGATTGGTAAACATTACATGCAGAATCGTTTAGCATTAGCAATAACAAATTAATCCATTATTTTATGTTTGATGGGTCCAGTAAACAAAGTCAGTGTGTGTTATAATCAGAGCATGTACAGTAGGTAAGGAATATTATCAGTCAGTATTTTCAAACAAAGAAATTCTATGTTGGAGATATTTGCTAGGTGTCTACAACATAAATAAATAAAAAACAGTTACCTACTTTGGTTGTAACATATTTTAGAGCTTCATTCCATCAATTAAAGCTGCACTATGCAACTTTCTTGTGAAGGGTGCAACATCTGCTTCTGTCAATAGAGACGTTATTTCTGTGCCTGGAATCTTCCACAGTATGGCATTAAATGGGTCCATTAAAGGTATTTTTATTTGCTAAAAATGTTTCACCTATCCACAAACGTGACTTGTAAGTTGGTCTGGTAGCATCACCTGCTTGCCTGGAGATAGATACGGTATACTGTGGAACATCCCAGACTGACATTGCCATGGGAACAAGCAACAGATCCTCCACCTGAAAAGTTAGAGTACACTTTTAGTATTAGTTTCTTTCTTACCAGGCATGTGTTGTATCGTCATTGGTGTTTCCAATAATAACTTTTTTTTGTTTTTGTCTCATTCTAAGGAACCTGGACATTGACCAGCTCTCAGGTAATAATCAGTTTAAGCTTATCTTTTACATACTGTCCTACCTATTTAACTTTGTAACTGTTGAAGGAATTTATCTAAATAAATGGGGGTTTTATTCCCAAATTAAAACTGAAAAAGGATCAGAACTTTGAAGGGCACAGTATAAAATATTCTGACTCTGAGATTTTTGTTTTGCAGGAATTTTATTATATTCTCCTATTAAACTGTTATTTGATACCACCATTTTGCCTCTCTGAGCTCTTGTAACAGTTGCATTTGAACACAGGTTAAGAATATTTTTACCTCTTACAAATTTCAAGTGCTCACGTTACTGATTTCTACTCACTGCAGAGTACTTCAGTCCACACCTGGGTGAATATGTCAATGTCCTCTCTGCACTGGAAAAGCTCAACGTGGCCATTCTAAAAGCCATGGACAAAACTAAAGAGGTAAGGGCGGTTGATATTTTTGGTTTAACACATTTGTATTCAGCATTTATAATATTGTAAGAAATTTGATGTTCTCTTAAAATATTTGATGCTCAAACTGTAAGACAGATTTGTTTATTTGTTGGCAAGAGAACACATTTACATATGAGCAATCAAGTGAAAATGTAGAAAAATGTAATGTGACAGAGCCATGTATGGCGGAGGAGTTTTACATAATACAGAGTAGAAATTGAGGGCAAGTTAAGAATGATTTTTTCTTCAGAGAGATGTGAATGTGGTTTGTAATGCATACTAGTAAATGTAATAATGCATCTAAAATGTTCTTACTAACTTGTTTAAAATTTTCTGAAGTTATGAATGCCCCTTTTACACTGCTGTATGCTTTGCTCTGTTTGACATTTCAGGGGTTCTTTTATGCATAGAACATGTTTGTTGAGGTCAAAACAACAGGGAACCTCAAACTTTAGACAAAATAAGGCTTAATATTTTCTGGTTTACCTACATAATTAGTTTAAAATGATCCTTCAGATTTGCAATTTTGATTTAGCTGATTAATAGCTAATGATCTATACGTAGTAAGCAAAAGCACTTAGATTGAATGGGGATGAGCGTAAATAAATATTTTTAGTTCTTCTCACTCCCTTTTGAGCGAGCAGTGTATTTTCTTCTTAAGGTACCATAATATTATTTGTCATAATCATGTACATGCAATGTAAACTGAAAAATATAGACATTTCTTTGTGCTCTGCATATGCTCAAAGTAAAAATAATCAGTCAATCAATCAAAAATTAATTCAAGCTATACTCCAAGTTTATGTTTTTGAATTTATTTCGGGATTATCTGTATCTATTTACATATCGGCCTATGACGCATTACTTATGCTTTTTTCATTCAGATCTTTTGATTCTGAATGAATCTAATGAGCTGTTTTTATCCCCCTTTTTTATTCATCCTGTTTATTCCTCTATGAACATCTGAAGGCACGTTGTATCCCCTGTACCATACACTGAGACGGTTGTTTATGCTCAGCTGTCAGCCATCAGCTCTGTTTGACATTAGTGAAAGCTCAGTGCTGCAGCAGAATCATGGAGACCTGCTCTGACAGACTCAAGTCCCAAAACCCATGAGCCCTATAGTGCTGTAAAATCACACTAATGCATGACAGCACTGGAGCTTCTCACTGCCAGCAAGTAAAGCCTAAGTGCATTACAGTGAAAGTATATGCTGGATAACACCTTGTCAGCTGAGGTTTTATTACCAAGCTGCCTTCTGCAAATCTTTTAACCTCTGAATTATTGTTTGTTCTTTGGCAGAAGTAACACAAGGACTATTACATTTACAGCTCGAAGTTGAGACTAAACTTTACCAAGATATCGCCAGTTGTTTTATTTTATTTTTAGTCTTTCTTTATTCTTCGTAAAGCAACTCACAAATGTCGCACCCTCGGACTTGTACATCATTTAAGATTGTTGTGCTGGATGCAATTTCATTTTTAAAGAAGTGGGACCAGCATAAAAAGGGTTCCTTCAATCAGATATCTATAATACATTTGGTGACATTTTGAGGACTTTTCACTATTCACAAGATAAAATTATCATTCTGAAACCCATGGATATTGGAATTTAACAAAATAGTCAATAATTCTGAACATAATTTGTGGTTTTAGTCGTTGTTACCAAATGATGCGTAATCAAAATATGTTTACCTCCAGACTTAAACTGATCAGTTTTCAATTTTGATAGCAATTGATAGCAATACAGTTTTCTCATGAGAAATAGCCTTTTTGGGGCTTTTTGTATTAAATCCAGTATTTCACATATTATCATAAATTCACCATCATGACTGCATACATTGTTAATAATCATTATAATCTTATTGCAACTTCATTTGAAGAAAGGTCTTTGAAGTAGCTCAAAGAGGATACTGGCATTATTTCTATGTTATTTTCTCGCTAACGAATCCCACGTTCCCACCATGAGTGCTGGAATATTATGAAACGTGCTAATTAGAGCATTGTAAACCGTGTTGTGAAGCCTCATTGAGCGCCTGTGTTTTGACAGGATTAGAGGGCTTTGCTGTGGACAAGCACTGTACATGGCACGCAGGGCTTTAATCATGGTTTCTTAAACATTCACACAGAAGATCAATGTCTCAGAACATCTTTTAAGACCATATCAATAGCTCTGCTCCCTGTGCATCGAGCCAGGCAGAGAGGAAAATAGGTTTAATCCACCTGAAACAGGCTGTTGGAAGATGCCCTGAAGTGAAATATGCAAATGTTATATAATTTTTATTGCAATTGAGGATGCACAAAGCAGATGTTTTCCAAATCGAGAGCAATAGCATTAGTGAACATTTTAATATATATATATATATATATAATGCACTATTTAAATAAATTGGATTTGCTACAGAATAGACCAAAGACATTAGAATCCAACATAGAAAAGCAAACCTTATTTGCAAAATCAAGGCAAGATTTTTCAGATTCTGTTTTGTTACAAGCATACAAAATGTTCACAGAGATGTATTAACCAGTAAATTCAGTAAACATAAGAGCAGTGGAACAACATGATAAGATGTTTGGTCATTTGTGGGAAATACAGTCACAATGATGATACTTTGAATGAACGTGAATTTTGCATCTTAGAATCTTTACAGGTTTACTATTGAGTAACTTAAAACTAAAAACTAAATGTCTGCCCAGTTTGTAGTTATTATCACACTGCCAAACTGAATACTTAGTTAACATTTATTATACAAACTTTAAATTTGTTGCTTTTAAATATCATCTAATTACCCATGCAATTATTTACAGAACCTTTACTTTAAGTTTTCTAAATTTTATACAATGAAACGTGCCTCACTAAAAACAATTATTTTTGAACAGAGTTATGCTAATCACTTCTCACATACCAATAATCATTTAGCAGCAGGTGAATGGCATGTGAAGGATGGTGTTAATTGTTGAGTCTATCCCAAGAGACCCAAGACACCAGTGCTGCTGAGGGGGACACTGGTATGCTCCAATGAAGTACAGCAAAACATTGGAAACATAGCCCTATATTCAGTGAAAGATAACTAGAATGTCAAGATATACCTTATTTGGATGCAGTTTTTAATACTGGGTTACATCTGATTTTCCATGACAGATTATGTAATCCATCATTCTTCCAGGAGTTTTAATAGTGACAGAGGTCGGTAGTTGTTAGTATCAAGTCTTCTCTTTATGGCGGTATTTGTAGTTTTCAAACCATTTTCTTCTTCAAAATTCATAGTGAGAAATGCCGTGAATGTATAGTCCAGACCTATGTTATAGATGACAAAGATTCAAGGATTCTTTAGAGTGGGATCCATCAGATTGCCAATTGCTGGAAAAAAGTGATGACATTTTGTTGATTCTTTCTCCTCGTGCTTTCTCTTCTCTTCTGTTGTCTCCTGTTTCCCATTTTATATGGCTTCACCATCCCTCTACATCTCATGCATTTTTGATGTTGCTATTAGGAGGAGAGGGTGCTTTGCTTCCCCTGCAGTGGAGAGCTCATGCAGAGATCTTATAGCTGTGCTCAAGATAAACTCTTGCTCTGGGGTTATAAGTGAATGTATTTGGCTGTGGGCCACAACATGCTTTAGTCAGATGAAATCGGGTTAACAGCAATTTTACTGATGTTGGAACATGACAAGAATAGTAAGGTACAAAAAGTGCAGAGTGACTGTTTCACCCTTAGGTACAAAATTTATCATATCATCTATACAGCAGCATCAGTGGTTTATGATTCAATATTTATCAGGCTTGCATGAAAACTTAAAAGCAGCTGGCTGATTTCAACCCAGTAGAGAAAACTACTGATAAAATAATGTAAAAATGGTGCAGTATCATCTCTGGTTGTGTAGAGATGGTGTTGGATAATAATGGTTGCTAGGGGTGGGTGACATGAAAAAATGTGTTCTAATAATTACTGTTCTGTAATATTTTTTATTATCAGTAAAGCAACCTTAAAACAGCGTTGTACCGTCTAAGAGAGTTCTCTGTCAGGTATGGTAAAAGGATGTTGGAGTAGATGACATATAATTTGTGAAATAGGAGTCATTGTGGTATAAAGGTTGTTTAACCTTTATACCACAATACTACATACTATGACATACTACCGCTGTTCCTAAAACCCCCCATCCAGACCGCAGCCATGGTAATGACTGTTTTTATGTTCAGTTGGCGCTGATAAGAGTGACCTATAGCAGGATGAGCCACAGAATCTTGGAATATTACCTGGAGATATTGTACATGATTATATTACATTTATGGTGCTAAAATTGCACAAGAATGTAAATAGTAGAGAAACTGTATGTGCAAAACAACAATGATCCCCTAATGCATTTTCAAAGCATTGAATGGAACTGAATTTGGGCAAAAACAACAATAAGCCTGATAGACCTGAGAGCTTTGAAAAATGTATTACATTAAAGGTGCACTGGATAACTTTTCTGGTGGAAGGTCTGCCTCTTTGTATGCATGGAGATGTTACTGTTATACTTTTAGTCACAGGTGTTTACATCAATCAAAATACCCATGACTCAAACTAATGGTAGATTTATGTTAAATGCATTTCAATAACATCTCCATGGAGACAAGCACGTGGTAGATCTTCCACCAGAAAAAAATACATAATAGTAGCCTACACCTTGAACTAAAATAAAACTAGAACTAAACATGTGTCAGATGTATTGTACCTTTTAGGTGTAAATTGTTATGATTACATAACAAAAAAGGCTTTATTTTAGTGGACCATCTTTTGTTTGGGGAAAAGTGCAGGGGACAGATAGTCGATAGCACCAGAGTTCATTACTCATGTAGTGCTGTCTCTCTGCTGCTGACGACAAAAAACAGCCCTGAAAATAAGAAATCAGGTTTCCATCAAACGCTGGTGCTATTTTTCAAACTGTACGTGTCACTTTATCTTGAGGTCTATTTCTCACACAGGGTCATGGAGTTTGTTATCTGCAAAAATAGATAAATACCAAGAACACAACTATTCTGCCTGCTGTCCTGACTCAGCCCGACTGCTTAAATGCTTCTGTGTGCTGGAGGTGTGTGCAAACAGTGCCAGACTATAATGCATTATCATAATACCACTTTCTACTGGAGGCAAACACACCATTATCTCTCTGTGTGTGTTGAATTTATGAACTTAAGTTGCAGTGACATTTTTAACACCAGGAATTTTCCCGAAGCTGGGGAATACTTGACTAGAATAATGATGTTTAAGACTTAGTGCAGTGTGTAAGAAAAGAGTAGTTTGAAGCAGTAAAGCAGGATTTGTCTGTTTGTTGCCTTGTGAAATAGCTGCTTTGAGAAAAATAAATATATAATAGTGTTCATCTCAAGTGTCTTCAAGTGGTCCTCATATTGATTTTGTGAAACAGAGCAGTTACTCGGTTTATAGTATCCCAACTTTAAATTACACATTCTAGCAGTTCTATGACTTCCAGTTGCACAGCAAGAAGGTCTCTGGTTCAATTCCCAGGCTCTACCAGCGTTGGGGTGCGTTTCTTCCAAGCACACAGATTTCCCCCATCAGCCTGAAGCAGAAGGTTCACAAATTGTTGTTCTTCGTGGCAGTGTTATAGCTTTGCTTGGAATGTTCCACTTTATGGCACTAAATTGACTTACAGTATATCCATGGAGACAGATAGGTAGCACCACCAGGGCAAGGTACAAGCAAGCTAGAGCTGTGGATAGGCAACCCCATATACAGTAAGAATGCATGTTTTTGACGTATTTTTGAGCAATAAAAACACTTGTAGAAAAATAAATGCTATGTAGATAAGTTTAATGCCATACTACTGAACAGGGAAAAACAATAACATCTTCATGGAGACAAGCAAGTGGTTGACTCTCAGCAAAAAATGTATCTAGAGCACCTTTGCTATTAAATTACTATAACAAATAACCGTATCCTATCATATGTGTCTTTAGGAGTACCAGGGTTCATCAGTGCTGGGGCAGTTTGTGACTCGCTTCCTGCTCAGAGAGACCTCCACTCAGCTGCAGTCGCTGCAGTCGTCCCTAGACTGTGCCATGGACGGAGTACTGGACCAGAGCGGGTCAGGCCGGAGGGTGGTGAGGAAGCCTGAAGATCTGCCCATCCTGAAGAACAACAAACGCCCTGGGAGACGCATCCAGAAGAACATGTGCCTGTCCCCCACTGATCCCTACTCCGGCATGCTCACCACAGGTACAGAACACAAACATTTTTACTGTTTTGGTGGAAGGGTGTCCAATTTAAAGTGTGTTCCCAGATATGCTGGTTTTAGTCTGATTTCAGTCTCATTTAGTTCAGATATAGACTTGGTTTGGTCTTGGACGAGTGCTGGTTTTGTCTTGGTGTAGTCTAGGTTTAGTTCTTAGTTCCTATTCCTTGTTTAGTCCCAATTTCGATGTGTGCAAACTGCAAACAAATGTGAAAGTAGCCATAGTTACAATCGTTGTAAATTTAGCTTTGTCTCAGATACCATTCATTCTGTCTTATACATAACCACTGTACTGAGCACAGCATGAGTAATTTGATATCAGACTATTATTATTGTTGTATAGTTAAAGTGCTGGTTCAGTTATAGTTGTTTTTTGTATAATCCTGTTTTGTTTATTTTGTTTTTGTTTGTTTTAACTTTGTGTGTATATTCATGAATCTGCTTCACTCTCTCTGTCTGGACAGGGGTGAGTGTGGAGCCAGAGAACCCCTGGGGCTCTCAGATGGACCGACTTGAGCAGCTCGTTGACAAACTGGACTGTGAGGTGTGTGCTCAGACAAGAGGTTTTAGAGAGAATGAATGAGTGAATAGGGTTCTAGCATTATACTGGAGAACATGGGGTGTTATGACAAAATCCACATTTTTTCTGCAAATGTACAAAATGTCAATAGAGATGCATTAGCCAAAACTATGAAAAAGTCAAAAAAGAGCCTGTGGTAGTACTTGATAAACTGCTGGGTCACTACTAGTGAATACATATATCACACTATAATCCAGTTGGTTTAACTCTAGGCTAATTGAAAATTCCATGTGTGACGACTCAATTTTGAGCTCTTTCCTATATTTAAATTGTCCCTATATCGATATACATCGAAAAGCAATGAAACAGTGAAAACATATTTGCATCCGTCCTTAAGATGACATTGTCAAGTTTATACTCTTCAAGTGATTGCTTTGCACAAGGATAATATGAATCTTATGTGCTCTGTTAATGGTATATGTTTGTTTGCTGCTAGCTTTGCTTTGGAGTGTACTCAGTATTTGCCTCTCACACTTGCCTCAGGCTGTACACACTCAGCTTCTTCAGATCGAGCCCTCAAACTGTTCTTGACATCGTTTGAAACCTTGAGTCTTTGACGGCGTGAAATGTAAAAAATGTACTATGAAAAAAATCAACAAAAAATATTTCAAAATATGCTATTATATCATTGCCAATTTTTATTTTTATAACATAGACTGAAATATTTAGCTATAACTACAACATATTCACAGTCCTGCACATTAGTGGAGAGCTATCATAACTGTGTAACAAGATATCAGTCAGACTGTTGTTTACTACATGCACCTGTTTAGCTTTATGAATTTCTTTATATCCTTACTGTATATTTTCAGAATATATCATGTATCTGATATGCACTTTCATCAGCTTAGACACAGCAGTAGTTTTCTTTAATATAAATGTTTCCTTTGGCAGACTCCACAACTTGAACCTCTGCAAGAAGACACATTAGCGGGGACGTACAAATCAGTGAGTGTATTTTTTGCTTAAATAAAACCCCCATTGTATTTCCTCATTGCTAACAGTCTCACATTTACAATTTGGTTTTATTTATTTCAGAACATCCTGTTGGTTCAGAGACAAATGTCAGTGAAGGAGAAAGAGGTTGACCAGTTTCAAGAAGCTCTAAAAATCTACACAGAAGCCACCAGCAGCCAACCAGAAAACTTGCAGTACGTATGAGACATTACAGACCACATTTTAGAGGGAGAGAGAGCTACTTTGTTCATCCTGAGGGAAATTCAAGTTTTGCATGTTATGCTATATTAAAATAAAACATAAACAGTGTTGATATTTTGTTAAATTAAATTAACTGCTTCAGTGGTTAGCTTATGGTTAGCTGTAAAAGTCTTTGCAATGCTCAGCCCATAGGCCTATATCATCCATGCATCCACTTGACAGTTCAATATATATACAAAACCATTATACAAAACTGTACAACCTGATATGATTTGCAGTAATTTCATTAACAAGATGCACTACAATTGTGCTGTGATAGCACTCTGAAGGGGGAGTAACGTAACACGGAGAGCAAAGAGAGGGGAGACTCAGAGCATCACAAAAAAAATTTAAACTTACAGGTTAAAACACTGTAACATGGTGATCTAAATACGTTACATGTTATATTTGAATAATAAGGCTAAAAACAATTACAGTACCTATGGATCAGTTTTTCTCAAACTGTGATGTGTTTACTACTGGTGGTTTGTGGATTCCATTGAAATATTTGCTAAATTAAATTTCTGTTTAATACACATTTTGGTCCTCCTTTAGATGTATAGTCCTACTGCACAGTTGTATATACCTGGTTTAAACCCACCTGGTTAAGCCCAGTTTAGACCTAAAATAGTTCAGTTATGGACCTGATAGTACTCAGAAGGCGAAATATTTCCTTGGTTAATACTGTACTTGGTGAGAAAAGTTAAAGAACCACTGCTATAGATGTAACAGGCACTCATAACTGTCTGCTCCTCAAATCCCCAATTTCCACAAAACAAAAACAAAAGATATAATGTCTCTCTTCTCGTCTCTGTCTCCTAGCGTTTCCATCCAAAACCTACCTGACAGATCCTGCTTTATCATGTACGAGTTTTGGCAAGACCGTCTCTCCTGGATGAGGTAGGATCAACAAGGCTTATTCCAAAAATAGATTCTGGTTTGTTATGTTGTTGAAGTGATTTTGTGTGGCAGAGAGCCAATAGTAGCTGTAATGATTGTTTGCCCTCAGCTACCTGCAGTCGCCCATCAGTAAGACTTTCCAGCGCTGTGTTATCGACTCACTGGAGGAGCCCGAGATGGTGTCTACAATGCTGCTCCCAGGTATGAAATTAAACTGAACATAAAGCTACCTACAACCATAAAAAATGTTATGTTAATCTGCACATTTCTGTTTTATGTTTTAATACAAAGACATAGGCATATGATAACAGTGCAGCAGACTGGTCCCACAGACAGACAAAGAAAGCCCTATGTCTCCTACCTGTGCCATTAGACTGTATTACTCTCTAGAGAGCAGTGTCTCCAAACTACAGCTTTTTACACTGTGCAATAATGGATAGTGATGGCTTATTTCTACAGACTTAAAACTATTTTTGTACATCTGTTATGTGTGCAAAAATATGCATTTATGTGGGATGTTTTCTTCAACTCCACTCCACAGATGCATAGTCTTACGCCTAGTCACACGTGGGCGAGTATCTGAAACTGTTGTTTTCTGAGTTTGGAACCTTTGCACACACATGGGGTCAAGAAGAAAACTGCACTTTACTTTAACATTTTTCTAAGCATCAACACTTACATAAAACACACATACATCTCACTCAACAACACAACAGTAACTCTGCACCAAAATGAGGCTGGCATCAGTAAAACAACAGGCTTTTGTGCATCAAACATTATTATCTGTTTATTTCATTTCAGCCTCTTGGTGGATCATGAACAACAACAACTGACAAAGCCCAGATTGGAGGCTGCATCTGGGCACATCTTGAACCAACAGGAGACTTCTACTCCTCCTTTCTGTTGTATTTTCTTTCTTTGAGATCCCTTTTTCCTCACGGCATGACTGGAATTGGGTCATAAAACAAGATGTGGCTCGGATGAATCAGCAGATAGACAGTGAAAAGAGCGGAGGTAATGCAATACTAGCCATCAGGATGTTCTACTGTATAGTCGTGTTTCCATGGACACAAAGAACTTCAAATGTCCCCAACAAATGTAACATGTTTAACTAAATAAAAAAGTTTGGTGTGGTTAATTTAATATAACACAATCTACGAATCTACAGATTTAAAAGAAAAGTATAGAGTGTGCCTTTAGGTTTATCAGTCTTACACATACAAACTAAAAAAGTGCAATAAACTAGGACTAAACCCAGAAGTAATACACCCATAGAGTGAACTGGCTGAATAGGTTTCATTTTATTGAGACTTGAGATCACTTTAGTTTCACTGTTACGGGTTGTGTTCACTTTTAATAATTTGATGTCATTATTTCAAATGGAGGACAGGAGCCTATGTGACTGTGGAAGATTCACTGTTTTTGAAAGAAATATCCAAACTTACGCTCCACTAACTTGCTATAATAATCTTATGGCTCACAGCTATCACATGTTTGTTGCTGAATAATGGCACCACATTTTAAAGCTATCTTGAGAATAAATCTGCTTTTGTTCATTTATGCAGACAGAGAAGACATTGAAGTTTTTGTTTCATGTGGATAATCTGAGTAAGTACTGAAATATGAACCATAAAACAGGTGAACAAATCTGCGATATATTAGCTAAACCTGTCCTCAAGCCCGCAAAGGCAGTATATTGAAAAAGTTTTAGATGTCAAACTGACTGCTGAAAGTTTTCCTAGCTTGAACCAAAATTACCAATATAAAATTTCCTTCACTAAACCAGCTAGTTCAGCTGTGCGACAGATAAAAACATTTTGGTGAATAGCCTTTTGTGCACAGAAATGTCAAAAACAAAATGGGACCTGCATTTGAAAAACAATAGGAAAACACGACTAGTATTTGTTTTTAGCTTGAGAGCACAGACATTTTCCTGTAACACAATAAGATTTTTTAAATGCATGGTTTTATCAATGCTAGTTTCTTTTTCATCTTAGTGTATATATTGTAACAGTCTGTCTATCCATCACTGGCTGTTCAGTAGATAATGAGAAGTAGTGCATTTCCCTTCTTCTATGTGAAACTGTTGGCTATTTCAAACCTTTATTTTTACTTAAGACTTTTTTGTTTGAAGGGTCACATGTCATGGTAAACATTCAAAAGAAGAAAACTTTATTTATCTGTGTTTCACTGCAGCACTTTAGAGAAACAGATAAATGGACCTAATTAGAAAGTAGATTTAAGGCAGAGATTTTATGTAGATCGTGTATTAAAATATTAAAATAGTAAAAGTATAAAATGTATTGTATAAATTAAGAATTCAAATGTAGCGAGATATTATTATAATTATAAGAAATAGCCAGAATTATTAAAACAAGCAATTATTTATTTTAATCTATGTGTTCAGGAAGGTTCAAAGGCACAGTGTACACACTTTGAGAAGCTATTAGGTTAATACTAAAGATAAGGTGTACAGTTAGAGTGAGAGATATGAGGTGTTAGTCTGTGTTGTTTGGTGACTGTAGCTCGACCATGAAATTGCGTGATGAACAAACTTGTCATTATATGTCATTTATGTTATTTATTTGCAAATAAAATAAAGGTGTAATGTGAATGCTCTTTTTGTTTGGCATGGAATAAAGTTGATTATATACAAATGTTTGTTTATTGGTTTGATACCAAATTTTTAGCCCAAGCCAGTAACAAAGTAACTCTGCTCCAAACCAATGTTTCTTTTAGTCTTTAAGTCCTGACAGAAGATTGATTGGTTGGTTACATGTTTGGGGGCATGCGCGCCAGGGTGAGGGCCATCATTGCCTCAACAGGCTTTAATTTTGTTTTGTTTTTTAATACAGTGAGATGGGGCTTACAGATACAAACTATGGAATTTGTAGTTGGTTTGTAGTTAATATGTTGCCAATGCAAATGCCATGCACATTTTTTGGCAGTTCAAACACTAATTTAAAAATGAAAGTAGTGTTGTATTTATTTGTTAAGTAGTAAGTCATGTAGTCTTAATACATGAAAAATGCAGTACTGCAGGCTTAGGTAAATTTTACTTATGCTGCTCCAAAGCAGATTTCATTTACATTTCATCACAGTTATTATTCAGATATCATCTTCAAAACATTTTTGTATTTTCCCCAATACTTAGATGTACTGCAACAACAAAGTGTATGTGCAATGTCAAAGAGTATATTCCTTTGGTGTGATATGGTCCAGCTGCTTTCTGTACCCCCCACAGGGACACATATCCACAGAAACGCTGGTCTGTGATTGGAGCTGCAGGAGGTGAAGGGCAGGAGGCTTCTTCAGACTCACAAATGTTTTCTCCTCTTCAAATGTCACACTCTGATCCTCTGCCCGCTGCTTTTGTCTCTGCGGAAGATAATGTACAAGCCAAAATAAAACCCACCATTCTGTCCAACTCACTATTTTCAGATCAAAATGCAAACTTATTTTTATTTCTGATACCATTAAAATATTGACATGACAACATGTTCTCAATAAGGTAAAATATATAGCTTACATACTGTACATCACAGTATGGTTAGGTTGTATTCATGGTGGGGGATTCGTCACCTGCTTGTCTCTTTGGTGATGTAATTGTATAGGCTGCAATGTTTCACAGCATGGCATTATACTGATAATTTGCATTTGTTCAATTAAAGGTGTTTTTTGCTGACCCAAAACACCTTGTAAAATATGCATTTTTACAACAGAGTCACCTCTTCACAGATCTGATTTGCTTGTCTTCAGGGTGATATTCAATTCCAATACAATAATTAAATACAATGAAACACAATGCAAAGCAGTATTATCACTAGTTGGTGCCAAACCCTTCAGCATAAAAGTTACATAGTGCACCAATCAATATATGTACTGTAAATAAATTAAATAAATTAGCGTATCTTTGTTGGTCTATTTGATATGCAGTCGAAACAAGGGTTGGACCAAATTTGCAGTTTTGTGACTAATATGCTATTCACTGACCAGTGAAAACATTTTCTCCATGTTTCTGTTAAGTTTCTGTTTTTTTTGTTTGTTTTTTTTTCTGTGATATTTGTCCTCTGCCACTGACCCAACCTTCAGTGACTCTGCAGCATCATGTCAGGGTGATCAGTGCAGCACTATCTAGTGACTCGCTAATAATTCTGTTTTCAGAGTTTTCTTCATCAAATTACTCTGCTAATAGTTCATTTAGAGTCTGTGCGTAGACTAATAAGCTCTGAAAAGGTCATTGCAGTGGGCAAATTCAGATTGGTCCACTGTTGCCATTTAAGAGCCCAATAACACAGTCCTTTGATTGCCTGGAAAATCTATAATGAATATTTAAAGGGGAGCTTATTTGTGGTTTGAAGAAATAGGATTAAAAGTCTTCTGAAGATCACCTTTTACTATTTAAAGGTACTGTATGTCTCTTCTATATGCCTAAACTTGCATATACACAAGTTTTTTCTCATTGCCAGTATACAGCAGGCAATGTTACAAGTGAAAGCTTAGAACCAGTTCACTCACTGAGCTACAGAGGCTGCACTAGCACTGTGTAATGTTTACTTGCAGGTGCTGGGGTTTAGCAAGGATTCAGGTTTAAACCAACTGGGATGTGAGCATTGAAACTGGCAACACATCTTGCTTTCTGGTCATGTCCAATGTTTTTGTAATTAAGAATAAATATCTGTTACAATTGTCATTAGTAAAAGCTGTATTTGATGATGTCTACCTCATATCTGGGGACACAAGTAGATCATGTTTATGACATTTAAAATCCAAATCTTACATACTGTCTGTCCCTAAATTGATTTGGCAATCCAGTATTATAGCCAGTGGCTCCAAATCGCATCTTATTTTCAGTAATAACAACTTTCAAGCTAAATGAGAATATAGTTCTAAAATGGTCCTATGTCTTTAAGCAGGGAGGAGGCGGATGACAGCAGCAAATCGGGGTCAACTGTCAGGATGCATTCCAAGTGAAACAAAATCATGCACACAGCCCCACACTCCAGTAATGAACCATAGAACAGTGATGGGAGACATAGGATTTCATGTTACAGGCAGGCCTAAAATTTTTTGAAGATATTTTGAATCATAATGACCCAAACACAATTTATTCAAATGTTTTGTATAAGGTTAAAATTTGAACAAATGTTACAAATAACAATTATTTTAGAGACCGAATATTCTGCAGGCATACGTCATATTCCACCAACTGAAGAGAAACGCTACAGTGGGCAAACCAGGCAACAGAATAGAAAAAATTAACAGCTGTTATGAAAAACAATGTTTCTAAATGTGTCAAAGCATATTTACTCTCAAAGTCCAGTCCTCAAGTAGGAAAACAGCATTGTTATACTAGTTACTAGTTGTTATTCTAGCTGAGGAATTTGCTTTCCACCGACGGTAAAATACCATAGTTTGAGAAACAGTGGTTTAGAGACAGCTCTGTCTTGTAGGCTGTGTCTATAAGAGATTAAATAAACGTTCTGAGGGACACTTCCTTTTGAATGTATTTGAAGGCCAATTATATTTTTGGGTCCTAAATCCCTCGGTTGCCATAGAGATAGATGTGATGCGTGTGATACACGAGGGGTGTGTGTGTAATATTTATTCTGTGGTACATATCTTCTGTTGCCGCAGCTGCCCTGAGGTTTTATGCACAACATGGATGTTAATCTGAAACATCTTTTTGTAATCAGAATTTAAAAAGTTAATCTTTAAACACCTTAAATTCAAAGCGGTGATGATCACAATGTGTCATGTCTGTATTCATGTAGGTAAAAGTGGGCGGAGAGTAGTCTGAATTGGGTTCTGGAGCAATGTCCACCTCATCCATCGCACTCACTTGCCAGCCGCGGGAGATTACAAGTCTGGGAGCTTCACATCAGCTGGAGGCACTCAAGTGCGCCGCCCAGCGTCTCCTGTGAGGCACAGCTCCCCGACCCATGTTTCTGGTTCTCCCGCTCACCTGCATCAGGTGACACCCTGCAAGGGTGACGATTGGCTCCTGCCTCAGACCTTCCCCGAGGTGATTGGTAGAGTGACGAGCACTCAGCATGTGACCTCTGCAATGAGCTTCCGCCCACAAACGAACACTAACGGAGGGGGAGAATAAATAGTGTGACACTAGGCACTGAAGACTCAGTTATGGTGTCAGTGTTTCAACATAAATCATAAAGTAAAATTCACAGTTTCAATACTGTCGTCACACGAATGTTTAAACGCCCTATACTTTAACAAACACGGCTACTGGGAAAGCATATTGGTATTATTATAGGTCCATGAGCAGAGCACGAGAGGACAAGGCATGTCGGGAAAAGAGCCCGCTCCACTTCTGACTCCTCCTTTTCATGTATTTGCATAGACTACGAAAGAAGGAAGACTTAAACAAGATAATTATATCGGCTACATTACACCCTCTCCATGCAGCAAGACAGGAAAAGTTACTCGCTGTGCCTCATAATGTGAAAAAAATCTAAATTCACAGCATTTATTTCAATCACTATCTTTTGCCTAGTTATTCAAGGCACCATGACCGAGAGCGACTAACCTCTTTCACCGTATAAGTACCTCCCCTCTCCCCTCTAACATCCGGGCACTCGGAAGACTTGCAATCTGGGCTACAGGCGGAGAACCTGGTTTCTCATCTCACCCAGGGGAAAGTCCCCGGACCTTTCGGCCGAAAGCGCGCTGGGTAAAGCCAGTGTCGGCCAGAGCACCGCCGCCATCAGCCGAGACGCTCGTGTTGAGCCGAGCTGGGCGGTCTCCGGCCGATGTTGTCAGTAGCGATAGTCATGCAAGTGTGCGCCTCTGGCGTTCAACACAACGGGGCTCATTCTCTGAATGCCTACTTTTGTCAAGCTTTGTTCAGAGGACGCGACTGCAACACCATATTTAATTTGCATTAGGCATAGAGTGACAGCAGCAGGTGCCACTTAACGCATTATCTTTTAAGCCTAAGCATTTGTAAGGCCCTCCACAATCACAACAGTCAGCAATAACAGGATATTTCTGAAGCTGCTAATTGGTTCTGACAGCATCATCGGGAACCAATATGTGCCTGTGTGTAACCTTTTAAGGTCATAAGAGACTACCGTCTGTGTAGATTTTATTTATTTATTTATTCATTCATTTGAGACAGGGACAGCACATATGTTTTACATTATCCTTAACAGGAGAGATGCATTGTACCAGGTTGTAGCATCAGTGCTAATTTCCACCTAAAGTCCCTGGGCAGGTTAATTGATTGATTGTTTTTAACTGACCTTGGCTATCAACTGTTTAGTCAGTGTTTAATCTGTTTAGATTTTCATGAAAACAATCATACATAGAGACAATCTCTATGAGGACTGAGTTTCTCAAAGTCATGAAGACAAAAACAATAGCCAACAAGCTGTTTGGTAATGAAGCCTCCCGTGACCTCATCTATTATACAAGCGTATAATTTAGGCGGAGAGGCTGTAGCTGGACCTAAACCACCTTAACATTTAACCTTAGGCCAGTTTGTTTAAATTTAGGAGGGGCATATCACATTTGATTAACAAACAAAAATAAAATAAAATAAAATAAAATAATAAAACCTATCATACAGTTACATTTTCTGTAGAACTATATTTTCAAAACAATCTGCTGAATTAGGTTAAGCGTTCGGTATTACCTTTCAACCGACAAAAGCCAGACAAGGCTGTCCTTGTACGTTGTCGCAACTAGAGGGAGCTATTGTCCTGGCGCATCTTTCTAATGCTTTGACATGGGTCGAGTTTACTTCACAGGATTAGGCTGCAACAAAGAGATTACACCGTCACGCGGTCGTCCCTCGGAGTTACCTCGTTTCCCTTATATATGAGATATTGGGGCGAGGGTGTGTGCGCACGAGACCGCAGCATCACAAAGGTTGGACTCCTCCCTGCTCACGGCGAGGGGAGGGTAAGTTAGATTCGGCTCAGTGTTAGACATAGATGAGACCAAAAGAAACACGTTCCACGAGCGCATGTCTATTGAAGGGACTGTACAGACTAATTATTTTGGGTTTTAAATAATTGGGAGGGCACTTATCATTTACGATAGTGAGATTATAGTAGGAAAAGAAAGCTTGTCTGGACAAAGAAAGGAAGGGGACACAAAAGCAGGAAGGATAACGGGGGGGATAGGAGGCAAAAATAGAGGCAAGGGGGACCCAAATTAAGAGTGAAGATGGCCGAACCGGAGCTGAAATTGCGGAGCAGCAGGGAGAGCCTCGCCAAGAGCCAGGAGAAGTCTGAAGGTAGGTACCATCACCATGCTGTGCACTCACACCTTTGAAGCGCATGGTTGCGTTTTTTCCGCCTTGCGCTCGGTGATGCAACATTGCTAGATGTGCGGCAGGTTGCTATAGTGATGCTTCCCTATGGAAAAAGATGAGTAAACTGGATCCTAGCAGAGACCAAGGGAAAATCATTATGGGTAATTTGTGAATGACTATAATATGCTAACATAGGGCCAGGACCATTATTAAAATAATTTAGTATGTTTGACTATTATCACAAAAAAACTTTGCTTATTTGCAATTTGAGGTGGGTGGATTATTGAAAATTTGATAATATGTATGTGATATGGGCCTACCTGAGCACCGAATATTAAGCATTTTGATTGTAATAGAAAAAGCTACAAAAATAGCTGACTAAATATTAAAATGAAAAAAGTGTTCCAATTATGGGTTTAAGGTACATAATTTAGCATCATTACACATTTGTCAATTTAAACCTCAACTAATACATTTAAAGGCATTTTTTAACACAAGTTTGTTGATTTAATTAAATAATGAGGAGCTAATTTTTGTCAGTATTGCCCAGTGTCACCCTTATTTGTAATGACATACAAATTTAAGTTAGTGCTGTGAATAATCTCCATGTATTCTATCTTCCAGCAGCAGAAGCAAGAGACACTGAACAGGATGGTCTCATTGTGGAGCGCTCTCCCTCTCCCCAGACACCTCCTGCTCCTAGTGCCACCAGCCCGACCTTAGATTGTCCCAACAAAGGAGAGAAGATTGAACTCAAACGCAGCATCACCTTGTTCAATGGCGTGGGCATGATCATCGGTACCATTATAGGATCTGGAATCTTCGTCACTCCGACTGGTGTGGTCAAGGAGACTGGATCGGCGGGCCTGTCTCTGGTTGTGTGGTCTTTCTGTGGGCTGATATCCACTATGGGGGCTCTGTGCTATGCTGAGCTGGGCACGACCATTGCTAAATCAGGGGGTGACTACACTTACATCCTGGAGGTGTATGGAGAACTAGCAGCCTTTCTAAAGCTCTGGGTGGAGATGCTCATTATCAGGCCATCTTCTCAGTATGTGGTGTCTCTGGTGTTTGCCACGTACCTGCTCAAACCACTCTACCCCACCTGTGCAGTGCCGGACAGTGCAGCCAAACTCATCGCCTGCCTCTGTCTCAGTAAGTACATGCTCATTTGTTTGCTCAGTTATCCGCCAAAACATTCCCTTTTTTTTTTTTTTTTTTTTTTTTTTTTTAGCAAAGTGTAGTGTACCCCTCAACTCTGGCAATTCTATGGGCAAATATATCTGACAATTGCTAATATAGTTTTGCTTTTGTTGATATTCAGTATCTTCCAATAAAAATATTTTTAAGGTTGTAAAATGAATTACTAAGAACATTTTGTGTTCAACTTCACCTAGATCTATCATCTACCATAATCTATTTAGAAAACACTTGTCTAAACTTAGATATTGTGTTGCTCTTCCATTTATCTATTACGCTGTTTTGTTTTAACTAACTAAGCAACTACTAGCTTATTGGTTTGATTTTGTTTTTAAACATCTGAGTTTGTAATTTATTTTGACCCTGTTTTTTTTTCAGCCTCTCTAACGTTTGTGAACTGCATCAGTGTAAAAGCAGCCACCAAAGTCCAGGACCTCTTCACTGCCTCCAAACTGCTTGCTCTCTTCATCATAATCCTCTTCGGATTCATACAGATCTTCACAGGTGAGACCACTGTCCTTCTGTAGTATGGTTGTACAGTTAAATTAGAATTAATTGAGAACAAGATTTAGGAATTTCTAATTGTCAGTGTTCAATTTGGATCTTTTTAATTGAGAAGTTTACTGACAGTCCTCTGTCAGTGAAAGTATGTTGTTTACAACAGAGGAAGAAATTTAGAGGAAGAAATTCTAAATTAGTTAATAAAAGTCTGTATTGTTTATATTCAGGAAAATTAATACAGAAAGCAATTTGTTTTCAATTAAATCAAAAATTGTTTTGATTTGTTCAGTGTCTTTCTTTTGTAGATACTACCAGGATGGCACTTTGCTATAAAACCTTTATAGAATCACATTTAACTTTTTAGTGGTCTCATGGTCTGCCAAAAACAAGAACTTCCTTAATCAGTTGGTTAAATGGGCAAGTAAGGTGATTAGCCATCCTCAGAACAACCTGGACTCCCTTGTACTTAAAACAGTTACAGAGTTTTCAGCTTCTTCCCTGTGGTCAGAGGTTTATAGTCCCTTATTATTACTCTTCTTAACCTTGTCGTGCACAATCCTGTTTTTATATATTTAATATTTATTGTGATTTTTAAACAAATGTGATGAATTAATTAATTATTTGTGAAAAAAAAAAAAAACATTCTGCACTGGAGCACTGTAACACTTTATTATAATGTGTTTTTATATGTGTCTATTTGTCTATAATGTGAATGAATGAAATGTGAAACGTGGGACCAGCCTCTTAAATTGCAAAACAAATTTACCTAACTGAACAAATAAACACAACATAACATAACAAGCTAGAGTAAAGTGACTATGGGTTAGTCCAACATTAATATTTTTGGAAAAAAAACTGTATGTCAGTATACACAGCTTAAATTATCATATTACTGCGGTGCAGTGAAAAACAGCTTGACAAACCGGTTGGGTTCCAAAGAGCCATTAGTTTAACACTGAGGTGATGGCCAGGTCAGAATTCTATGCTTAATGAGTGTAGCAAAGCAGTCATCATGGTAAAGCTAATAGTAACTAGTACTATTATTATTATTCTTAGTAACATGCACTTCCTGATTTTCAGACTATAAAATAATAATAATTTTGCTCAAATACTTTGGAAAAAGAGATACAGGGCTTTTAAGTTTAATGCACAGATGCATTATATATTTAATATAGCATGCACCTTGAAATTCAAAGTGTAAAGTCTAAATTTGCAATGCTTTTTTTTTTTTTTATCTCAACAAAATTTAAGCAGACTTTCCAATAGAGCCATCCTTAAATAACTTTCTTACCAGAGGAAGATAAAAGATGAGGCTGGAATAGACACTTATCGATTTTTCACACTTAACATCTTGTGGCAGTAGTTGGAGACTGACTTATCTGACAGTTCAAACACGAGTCTGAAAAGCTGGTAGAATTTCAATGTGCTTTACGGCTCATTCATCTTACCACTGTTGGTGCAGACGTGTGTTCCTTTTGTCTCTAATGATACACAAATTGTTGAACAGGGCAGATGGACTCACCCAAGCAGACTGCCCCCCTTCCACCCACCGAGTCCAAACACAGGCGGCTCTGTGTGCTACTGTGAGGCTGAAGGATCAGAGAGCAGCCAGAGCATGTCAACTATTCAATTAGACTCACCATACATCAGCTGCAGATATGTCCATCTATGTCCCAATAGGCAATAATTGATGGATTTAGGGCTGGGTGTTATGCCAGAAAAAAATATGATCATGTTTTGTTTTTTTTCTCATAATGGACAATCTTGAGTTTCAGTTAGATTTTTATTAGTCTTCCTAAAACGTTTTCAGTATTAATTTCCTGAACACAAACAACCTCCAACTGAGCCACAATATTTAATAATTAGCTATTTGTTATTTTTTATGTACTTTATTAACATATTTGGCCCTCACCCATGTGTTCACAATCCCTGCTTGAATGAGGCTTGAGCAGAAAGATTTTGATTGGATTGTGCTAGCTCATGTTCAGCTGTTCCTCTCTACTCCTTTTATAACGAGGCGACGCCCACTGTTGTACTCCACACCATCGTCATGGTAACGGGGTGTCAGGGCTCACTGTCTGCCGTCATCCTGTCGCACAGAGAGAAAGAGAGAGAGCACAAACTAAATCCTCCCCTTTACAGCAGTCATTTCCATGTGAAAGTAGCAGGTAGAACAGAAAATCAATGCTAGAATTACAAAGAGAACCGACCTTTCAGAAACTATGGCACTTTTGTAGTTTTATCTGAGAATCTTGAAGGTGTTTGCATATGGAGGTGTAACGCTGCCAGTAAATCAAATCCACCTGCATTACATGTCAACAAGAAATTAGTAAATAATTTTATACTGTTAGATTTTTTTTTATCTGGCTTTACAATGATCTTTTATATATATAAAAAAAGATCTCCACACACACATGCACACAATTTTTCAAACTTGATTTTGATACCATAGAACTGTCTCAATACTGGTTTTGAGGCCCGATTATGTCCAATTCATGTTTTCATTATCAATACTTATTTAAATGAGCATCTAGATTCAGCAGTACTGTGTAGCTCATGTCAAAATTGCATGGACTCACACTTTGAATTTTTTTGGTAACAAGGTTTAACATATTACTGGGCAGTATAATTTAGTTTCTCACAATCTGGCGATTATAAATACGTATCTTAGTACTGAGAATTTTAATGCAAAACTGGCCTTGTGCTTGTTGTTAAATGCCACCTGCAGATCCTCATTATGTTATCTGTACTTGAGAAGATTTGCTTCTTGAAAATGTCATGTCTATCAACAGTGAAAAAAACACATGCTACAGTTGACCACGACTTAAATGTCCATGAATGTGAACGAGTTTCTTCTCCTTTTCATGTGCAGGGGATGTACCATACCTCACTCCAGAGCTGGCGTTCAAAGGAAGCAAATGGGGTGTGGACCACATTGTTTTGGCTCTCTATAGTGGGCTGTTTGCTTTTGGAGGCTGGTAAGACTGGAATTAAGTTATCATCAGTCACAAGTTAACTTACAACATTCATTATTTTATTGTTTTAATTATTAAGTGTTAATAATGGACAATATTTAATCTTGATCATTAGGATAGAAGTGCACTGGATTAGAATACAAAGCATCAGAAATTGCGTTCAGAAACTGCCGTTGTCTGTTAGTTCTGTTATTCGCTGGTTTGATGCAACATAGAGGGAGCATTCAAATATAATTATGGGTATGCAATGTTAAAATGTAGAGTAACATTTTTATTAAAAAATACTGAATGTGTGGTATAGATCGAATATATAAGTACATAAGCAATTTATATGAATTCAGAAATATGTATTTAAGTGAATTAAATTAATATGTGCTTCTCTCTGTGTTTTTTCAAGGAACTACCTGAACTATGTGACTGAGGAGATGATCAATCCAGAGAGGTGACTTAAATGTGCTGAAGGTTGTGTTGAGACTAGACTTACCTCTGGCTTTAGCATGACTTTGGCTTGTTTGATCAGTGCATGGACATACAAATATATTAACTGTACATATGTGCATGACTGTCATGACTGTCTACTCTAGCAATACATAAGCATTGAAGAGTAGCAGTAAGATTATTTATTTAAAGGTACACAATGTAACTTTTAGGTGAGAAGTACAATATTTGATTGTCTCCATGGAGATTTTACTGCTATTGCCTGGAAGATTTCACAGTGTGACATTAAACTTATTTCTTTTGCACTTATTAAATTACAAATGTCTTTATTGCTAAACAGTAGTCTTACTGTGGCTTCAGCTGCTTGTATCCGTGGCTATACTTTGTTTCTGTACTGTGGAACATAATAGGCAACGTAATAACATCTCCATGGAGATAACCTGAGAAGTTACATAACTCCCCTTAATTAAGATACTTTTCAAAAACCTAACCTAAAAACTAACTGCATGGAGATCAAATTTGAATTTGTAAGTAAAAAGTAAAGGACTATTCTTCTTATGAATAATATTGTGTTTTGCTCTACAGGAATCTGCCGCTGTCCATCATAATATCCATGCCTATAGTGACCATAGTGTATGTTCTGACCAACCTGGCCTACTTCACCACTATCTCCCCAGAAGCCATGGTTGAGTCTGAGGCAGTCGCTGTGGTTGGTATACAATTAATGACATATGAATGAGATATAGAATGGCAATGGAATAAAAACAGATGATTTTGGTGATATTGGCTCTTGGATATTTGCTCTAAATGTGAAACTAAACAAATAACCAGCCATACTTTGCAGGGCCAAAAAGAGCTATCGTTTAAAAAAGTTCTATACCTGGTTAAAGTAGTTAAATGTAGAATGCACTCAGAGGTATAAAAGATCCCTGACCTTTTATTTGTAACACCTAAATGTGCTTTTTCACAGAGTTTTGGAGAGTACCATCTTGGGGTTATGGCCTGGCTTATTCCAGTTTTCGTGGGGCTTTCCTGTTTTGGAGCTGTCAATGGATCTCTCTTTACTTCAGCTCGGTTTGTCAATAAACATATTGCAAATTTGGGATGTAACAGTTGACAATACTTGACAATGTATTGATACCACAATTGTAAAATATCACACTGGACCTTCAAAAACTTTTACATTTCAATCCATTGGCATTTCTACTACAACCGAGAAAGAATGATCATATTGTGAGATCAATGCTGTTGCACTAGATTTGTATTCAGTTATATCCCTACTACAAATACATGAATATTACCCAAACTTTGAAGAATGTGCTGAAAACTCTGTATTGATGTTCCAGGTTGTTTTATGCTGGAGCCAGAGAGGGCCAGCTCCCTGCAGCGCTCGGCTTGGTCCACACAGATCTGTTTACACCAGTGCCCTCCCTCATCTTCACTGTAAGGCTTCTCTCACAACAGGGTTTATATCATACCCCGTTTTATACCACAATCCAGTACAAACAGTTGTTAGGAAGGATTATCAAGTAATTATTATTCATAAATCATAACATTATTGAGATAGTTGATTTATTATTTTTTTTATCTTGCTATATATAGCTTAAAGAGCCCATGTTGTACTTTTTTCTGAACTGTATTGAAAAAAACCAAACAAACAAACCTCGAGTTGTGTTTTGTTTCATTATTAGGCTGAGTTCTTCTCTCAAACATAAAACACTCTGTTCCATCTTGTGATGTCATGTGGTAATATAGGAAGTGCTCTACTGTGTTTTTAAAGTCCATACATCTTCACTAGAATCATTTGGATAATTTCAGCCCAGGAAATTGACTGTCTCTTCTAGGGATGAAATGATATTCATCATAATATCAAATCATCTGATACTGGTGTCACGATTCGATACATGTGTTTGCTTGATATGCACGTGTCCCTCTATGCGCGTTGTCCTTTGTTTTGGTCCGGAAGGGAAACAGTTTCCTGTTAACATGGTGCCCTCCCCAGATGCAGTGAGTCAGTAAAGCCAGCAGGGGTACGCCTGTAAGCATTGTGCATAAATTGAATATTCTAAGACGTTATGTACGGAGGAGCGCGACAGTGATTATTGACCAAATTGTTCACCTTTTTACTGAGGGATTAGGTGATTAATTATCATGCTGTTTCTGAGTAAACAGCTCAATAGAGGCTTTCAGCTGAAATATAAACTTTTAATTTTATGTTGATAGACCTAGGAATGATAAAATATGAACTTTTAAATACTAATGGCCCATTGAGACATGTCTGTGTAATGTAACAGGTTGAGTGTTCTGAAACAAGATGGGAGAGCACTGTGTGTGTAAGAGCATAATTTGTAGCAAGGGAGTGTGGGGAGGAGCTACTATTGATGAGGAGAGCAGTGTGGACACATTCATGTGAACATAGTGAGAAGAGTTAAACTCAGGAGGAAAAGAAAATAAATCATTACAAATTAATCATCAAATCATTTTCAAAACAAAATTGCAGTGTATTTCCCCTAGTAGTCTATATTAATAAGAATGTATTATAACTGTTTTCCTTAGAAAGCACAATTCTTATTTTCACTGAATAAACTGAATAAATAACTAAAACACTTCAACTTTAGAATACTTTACATTAGTTTATTAAAATGTGTGTTATATTGCTTATTAGCAGATAACATAAGAATTTTTCTGCAACTCATAACATATTGAATCGATATCGTGACCCATGTATTGAATCATGAAAAAATGGTGTGATTGCATCCCTAATCTCTACTGAGCTAAAGGTAAAACTTTGGAGATGTAGAGTGACTAATAATTAATCATACATGCATGAATGAAACAAAACACAACTCCAGGTATGTTTCTGATGAGGTAATAACTTTCTATGACTTAAAGCCAGTTTCAGATAATATAAGATGTTTAAATAATATTTAAACAGAGGTACAGAAACAGAGGAACAGAGGTACCTTTCAAAATTGTAGGTACCAATGTTTCCTGGGGGAACAGCGGTGCTGGGCTGCCCCCACTTTACCATGGTCCCCTGAACTGCCTAGAATGCCTGACTAAATAAACAGTTATATCAGGAAATTTACAACACTGATTACACTGATTACTTTTATTTAATTTTGCTTTCTACAAGCAGCCATTATGTAGCCACCATTAGCCCATTTCAACACAAGATCAACTATATATTCAGTATGAATGAAATCAACAAATCTTTGCAAGCTACTGTGTGCTGTGTTCCAAATATCCAAATGTCAATGTATTGTGTCTTGACTCTTTCCAGTGCATACTGTCCATGATGTACGCCATTTCTCAAGACATCTTCTCTGTCATAAACCTCTTCAGCTTCTTCACCTGGCTGTGTGTGGGTGCGGCCATTGCAGGAATGCTGAAGCTGCGGTTCACCAAACCTGACATCAGAAGGCCTATTAAGGTAACTGCTACAGCTGTCCTATAAACAGATGGAGTTGTCTTTAGACATAGAGATGAGATTACAATGAATTAATGAACAAGTTCTTCCAGCAGTTCTGTGAGCAGAAGGTAAAAGTTTAGAAATTGTGTGGAAAAAGTTAGAGAGGGAGTGAGATAGTGAGCTAGGTAGATCATTGGGGCTGCAGAGTACATAAAAACAGCATCAGAATTATTGGTTGAGTTGGGGACTTTATTAAATTGCTAAGGCTGCAATTATTTAGGGAATATAATATTCTCTGCATACAGCACAATATCTTATTGTTTAGATCTCTACACACATGTTCTGAAATGCATGAGTAGTGGTAATACTAGTAATACTAGTGGTATTAGTGGTAATAGTAGTAGTTGTAGCATAAGTACAGCATAAACATAAATTACAAATACAATTGCAAATAATAATAGTTGACCAACAAATAGCTATTAATTTTTTTTTTCCAAAATCATGCAGCCCTAATAGATTGATAGTCAGATGCAGGACATATAAAGTCAGATTTTGTGGACTATATAGTAAATACAGTATATAATTAAAACTGCAGAATGCTTGCATTAAGACAAGACTAGACTGATGGATGTAGTAAAAGACTTTGGTTGTAGTGAACAAAGGTGATTCAGGACATATATTCAATGTTATATGCTGTTATTACACCATTCCATCCTTGTGTTGGTTTAAAGATGCCCCATTGTGTCTTTGCTTCTTTATTATCTATAGTAGCTCCACACTGTGTTTCATGATAAGAAAGGGCTGTGTTTATATGAACAGAGAGTGTTTTGCTTCTGTTTGATCATGAGAATATCTGAGCATAGGCTTTCATCTCCTCTCAGTGGGTGTGCTCTCTGGCCATTTGTTTTAAAGGAACCTCTTGTGCATTAAATAGACCTCATATTGGACTTCACAAAGGCACATTTGTAACCAAAGAGAAAGTTTTGCATTAGACATCTTGTAAGTGCAATTATAATAATGCTAACTTACCAGGAAACTCATATTTTCATTGAACTTAATGGATAAAGAAATGTATATATAGGTTGTCATATTCTCGTGCACTTAATATTGTACATTGTATTATCTCGTAGAAACTATTGCATTAGTTTTTTTTTGTTTTTTTTTTATTTTTTTTTTTGAGATATTTAAAATTTCAAAAATAATTTTGCTGTGTGTCTTGAAGGTATGAGGTATGTTTCTGCACACCAGAAATGTTACATAGTGCACCTTCAAATTTTTCATTTCACATTTGTGTAATACTTCAGCCAATTATGACAACAAGACAATTATGGGCACATTTTGCAACATTTCTAACACACTACCATAATATTGTCAGAATATGGTCACTGGGATAGTCCAAAAGAATATGTTTTTTTTTTTCAATATGGACTACCCCAAAACTTACTGATACTTTACAGTGACATCATGCTGGGGGTGGTCCACGTGTATCTTTAATGGTGAAATATTTAGCAGTTATTGTCATGACACAATGAAACATACACAACATTAGCAAACACTGTCAAAAAATGTTTACGATTGTCTGGATTTAAAAAGCACATGTTCCTGATCATGATTAATACAAGTGTTCATGTTCCTGTTTAGGGGTTTGATTTTCAACAAAAAGCTGAAACTATCTGAAAAAACTGTTGGCTAATGTTAGCTAGGGGGACTGTGATGTTATTTGAGAGGGATTTGTATAATAGCGCAAATCATCTCGCCTATTGTAGTTCTAAGTAAGTCAGTTCATTCTTATCATATTATTTTAAAAAACTATGATTAAAGTCTAACAAACATCAGATAGCTCAGTGCTTACAGGGATGTTGATGACGCCAGTTGCAAATCATCAATATTCCAAAACATCACTGTACACCATCTGTCTTCTAGCACAATCTTCAGTCTTGATGATTGCGTCTCACTGCTGCTGTTGTTGTTCTCAGGTGTATCTGTTCATCCCGGTGACTTTTGTTCTGACCTGTGTGTTCATGATCGTGGTCTCCTTTTGGGCTGCTCCATTTGAGTGTCTGTTGGGCAGCGGCGTCATCCTGACAGGAGTGCCAGCCTACCTGCTGGGATACAAGTGGAAGAAACCTCATGTGGTGCGCAAGATGCTGGGTAAGTGTGGAGCGGACTGGGCGTGAGAAGTTGTTTTATTATGGAAAGTGATATGGATAGTTTTAGGGAATTTGAAAAGAGGGTGTTAATGTGATAATATGATGTTTGAGGCATGTGATCTGAAATATTAGACTTGAACTTGAGTAATATTTGAGTTTGAACTTTGTGCAAGTTTTGTAATGAGAAATCCAAAATAGAAAAAAAAAATCAAAATCTTAGTATTGTCTTGCTGTACTGAAAAACAAGCATCTCAGATATTGTCTAGATTTTGATACACAATTTGATACCCATTGTGGTATTTTTATAGTATCTAAAACACAGACAGAAGGGTGGGAGGGGCATCCAGGGGTGAATCTAGTTGAAGCAGATTACATCACCTTCTGGTTCATCATCGAAACATCTACCTTTGTTTCCCATTTGCTGAGCTCCTGGAGGTCTCATAATGGCTGATGCAGCTATTCTCTCTTGGTAATTCCAGGAAAAAAACTACAAAATAAAGCAATACTACATTTAAACTAATATCTTATGTAAGGCTGATTTCAAACTTAATTTTCTTTTTATCCTTGTTTTGTGAACAACTTTAGGGCCCCATTTTGGGAAGTACCATTTTATACAATAGAATGTAATTTTCAACACTAAATAACAATAGTTAAATATCTTATAATTGTTTTGACATCGACCCTGACCGGTCAGTTAAAATTGTGTCTTATTTTATTGCCCTTTAGTAACATTACCTGCTCAGTGTCTAGTTATGATACTAGTTTTAGTATTGATAAATATCTAAGTATCCCTTTTCGACCACTGACCTTGGGTGTTTAATACAGCTGATTATGTTGAAAATAGATAACTTACATTGGTTTGCTTCAGCAGATGTGCAATGATGAATATGCTGATTAAAGCACTGTGACAGTAGGACAGTAAAATTAATCACAATCAAAATGTCAAAGTGGCCATCATTTCAGGAGGTATAATGTCCTCTGCATATACTTAATTATGACACCTCCATATATAATAAGCCTGTATTATCTATAAAACCTGCTGTTAGATCAGCAGTAAATTTGCAATGCTGTGAGTAGGCATAGAAGACTCTGCACTGGGGACTGAATCTGGATTTTAAAATATAAACGACAAATCACTGTATCTTATCGCAATTAGATAGTTTTTGGAAATCACTGAGTCCTATTAATAGTTAGCTCAAATAGTAGGTGTGTGAAAATGTTATTGACCTTTGTGGTGTTGATTTTCTTTTGTCGCCTCAGAAATCTTCACCATGTTCTGTCAGAAGATCTTCATGTCTGTGCCTGAGGAGCAGTGACGCGGAGTGGACCCAAACCTCAATGTTTTTTCTTTGTTTACACACATTAATGGTTTCTCTCTTGTATTATTTTAGTGTAGTGTATGGATAGCCCCACTACCCACTACAGAAAGATAAGTCATTAAAATGGTCAGTTAGTATTATAAAAACAAAATGCACTGGTTGTTATAATAAATCCATACAATATTTTGATATTTAAGTTAACTTAGAAAACTATGAATTTATTGGGGGTTCTGTCTTTCCTCTCATGGTAGAGACCAGCTTTAAGCATATTTTTTTTACACCCATTTTCATTCAGGTCTCAAGAATCACAAGTGATTTAATGAATGTATGCAGTACTATTGTATAAGATACTCTACAAATCACTGCTATATTTCACATTAACCAAACATTTACTGTTGATTTGAATGCTTTTAAACATGCGTGCATAATGCATGTCTAAACACATAACTAGTGTAACTTAGTGCCTAGTTATCCTGTAGGACAGGATCTATTACCCAAGGCTACTGCACTGACTACAAAACTATTATTTACTTTAGGTAAATGTCTACTAACAGACATATAATAACAATTTACAGTACATACTAATCTCTATCTGAATTTTGAGCTATCAAGCCTATAAATAAACAAATTGTTTTAAGTTTATTTGGAGTAAAAGGAACTCATAACTGTAATTAATCAGGGTTGCGATCACAACAACTAGCTCAGTACTTACATACTACTAATATGGTAATTTATAGATGACTAATTTAATAATTTATAGTTTAGTTTGATTCATAATTCTACTTTTATATCATTTTATTGTATTTGGGAAACAGCACTGCCTTAACGCACAAGATGGAGACTATAGACAAACCCTGTATATTTCTGTGAAGTTTGTCTGTGACGTTGTTTTATCAATCCATTCCCAACACTTGTGATGGCAATGTTAGACCCACAAACATGGATTTTTGTATAGATGTCATGTGTTTGTATTTTGAATTGTACAGATTGTGCCAGCAGTGTCAAATTATTCTTTCTTTTCTCTTTGTTGTTGTTAATTGACCACAGTGAATGTTGCTAATTTACACAGTCAATTTGAAATGAACTAAAAAGGGTGAAATTTGAAAGAAAATAGAAAGTGCACAATTTGATGTTTTCATGTTTACAAGAAATAAGAGACTAATGAAGTACGGAAACTTAAGACTGGAGTAACGAAGGAGGAGCTATCACTTTCAATACCAGCTTAACAAATTGGTGTCTATAAGCTTATCAAGACGGTTAATTATTCCTAACCAAATCTGTTCGAGTTGTAATTAACATTAATAGCTTCATCTCATATTCTAATGAAATCGAGTTATGACAGTTATTAAGGCGACATTAATTACACATATGAAATTCTGAACCAGTTTCAATCAACCAAATTGATTCAGATGTGGAGAGAGAGAAAAGCACAACTAATAATGACAATGCTTTGTTTTTCTATGGCTTTTTAGATGGAAGCACATAGTATACTGTATACTGCACAACATTAGGTACAACTCTTGAATATGTAGTCAACAAATATTTGGCTTTCAAATTTTTGAAAATTATACAGCTGTGCTGGTTATTTGAGTTTTATCCATACATTCCATATTCTTACCTGAACCTTTTAATTATTTGATTTGGAAAAGTATATATACATAAAGACAGCAAATAAATAAATAAACTTGAATGGTCAATCTTCAACATACGTGCCTCCCAAAATCTATAAATATTGTCTGAGATTTTCATTTTAGAATTTAGGTGTATCTAATTGTGAGCACAACAGTCTTTTTTTTCCCCTCTGACTTGCTCATCTTGTTCACTTTATGCTTTAATGTATGTTGTGAAGAATTCATTTGCTAATTATTTTCTTAACTATCTTTGGTAAACATTTATGAGCATTTTAAGGTAGCACAATTCCACATTTCTACATATTTGTCATTGGACTCTTCTCTTGATGTCAAAGTGTTAGTGTATGTTCCTTGAAATGCAATGGTTAAAGGTGAAAGCTTATTTTTTTTGGTTGTGCTTACTGAAGGCACCTTGGTTGGAAATGGCTGTATGTGATAACTGGTACAGAATAAATATTTTTGTTTAAATGTTGACTTGATTCATGTAGTAATTTTCTTTTTTCTATTACATGCAGAAATGACTATCGCTACATGCTTTGGGCTTACTTATTTCCAAGATGTTACAGCTTTACTTGGAGAGAGTATGGCATTAAACTTATCAACATTGCATTTACTCATTTACAGTTGTTATTATGCTCAAAAATACTGGGTAAAACATGCATTCTCTCTGTGAGCACTCGTAAAAATCTCCATGTTGACTAGAGATTTTTACCTGGCTTCTACCGATAGCCTACCTGAGGGAAAGTTGTGTTTGTGTCTCGGTCAAAGATCTCAGTGCAGTTTAACAGGACTCACAGGACTAGCAGGTGCTGCTCCATCAGGAAAATTACATATTACACCTTCAAGTAATTTATCAATCCCCCATTGTTTCCAAATACATTCACATTTTTGATAAGGGGAGACCAGATCTTTGGTGGCCGCCACACCCAAGGCTACTTAATAAATGAACAATGATCCTAAATACATTGTTGTTTTCCACACTATTGTACCATAGGCTCTTGTGACCTGTAGTATCTGCAGTTTTTTGTACCCAGGAGCTGACAGCAGTGATGTTTCCAGTTCATATCCGTCTGAGGAGGATATGAGCCACACTGATGTCCACTGATAAAAGCAGTATTAAAGCCCAGAGCACAATATTAGTGATGGGAGATTGGACAGATTCAATATTGGTCCAGTGACGTCACATTTGAAAGCAAAAAGCTCAGAAAGACATCAAATATGCTTTCTACATATTACTATATTAAATGTGCACTGTGGAGCTTTTCTGGTGGAGGGTACACAATCACACAATCATAGTAGGCTATGACAATAAACATGTCTATCTCCATGGAAACAGATGGCACTATCAGCCATTATTACAACTCAGATCTGTGGGGAGGCAACCCTGCTCACAGAATATTTTATCTCTTTTATTTTGTTTTTAGCATAAAGAAAATAAATGTTGAATACACAACAATACATTCTAGATAGATACATTTAATGCCATGTGGTGGAACATTCCAGGCTAAACTAAAACATCTACAGTGCACCTGTTAATGTGTTTTAATAGGTTAGATTGAAAACTCTATGATATAATGTTAATAAATTTGTAATTTGTAAATGTCAAAATATTTTAGCTTGCTTATATATAGACTAGAGTCATGTATAGCTGATTATTTTTGTATAGGCCTAATATTCTTTAAAAAAAACATGTATGTATACAAGCATGTATGAACTGTCTCCAGCAGAGGGCGTCTCAGGACCACGCACTGACGCCTGCACACACTAAATCGGATGCATCTTTTTGGTCGTGCGACTTAAGTAACAGGTGAATTAATAAAGATCAGTACGTTTAATTTCTGCGGTTAAACTAAGAGGGAACGAGTGATAGAGCAGCCCTTTACGCATTGTGTGGTCAAGTTGCTTTGAGCTTCACGAAATGAATTTAAATGAATTGTACCTTTCTTCTTATTTTGTACACGTCTACTCCATCTCAATCAAATTATCTTGGCGTAGGAAAGTTGCTATTAATTGACATATCTGAATGATGTGTGAATGAGTTGTGCCCACTCCTGACCTGCAACAGATTTTGCCATTGTGATTTTAATGTTGCACTTATTGTCTGTATTTTACTTACAGTTGTTTATCACCGGTGTCTATTTGAGTAAGTCCACGCAGTAAATTGCAAGTCAGAGAGAAATAAGAATTCCCCTTAGTTTAAACTTATATTTACTCTATATTTGCTCTAGGCTTATGTTTTTGTATTTGAAAATTCGGTTTTGAATGCTTGACTAAACAATGGCAAGACTTTAACCAACTCCAAAAAAGAGCAACAGGCTAGAAAAAAACAACAACCAAAAAAAAAAAAAAAAAAAAAAAAAAAAAAAAACCTGAAAAAAATTTAGTGACTATTGCTTGCCACTTTACCAAAAATTAATTCAACACAGTTCCCCGCTATCTCCTGTAGATGGCACTGTACTTCCATGTCCAGAGTGACATAAGAGTGGCATGTATGAGTGAGGGGGTGAGGGGGTTAGTCCATTTCTTTTCCATCTTTAATCCAACTGTAAAATTCATAAGTAAGACATGCTTTTCTATTTTTTTCCTTAGGTATTTCTGTAGTTTCATCATCCCATTTGGACTGGAGACATGACCAGCAGCGGGCAGTGAGCGTGGCGTTACTGACTCCCATCATCGCATATTGATCAAAACGCACGAGATCATGAACCAACTCAGTGGAAATGCTTCACCTATGGATCCACGTGGCAGACACTAACTACAGTGTTTTCCTCATTAACTTTATCATTCGTAGACAAAATTAGATGCCCTGAACATGAACTTAACAGGCTCTTTTTTCTTGTAATGCAAATTATATAGACTACTTGTATTTTTGTTTACATTATTTTGTTCCTTTTGTGCTGTAAGCAAAAGGGGGTGAAAATAGGGTTTAGGTTTTTTGTTGTAAAAAACATCCAACTTATTATGTGCCTACAAAAAATAAATAAATCACTACAACAAATCCATAAAGTAGCCTAATTAGACCTAAAAAGTTAAATTATTTGAAGGTCCATTGAGTACCTTTTCCAGTAGAGGGTCCATCATCTCCATGGAAATGGATTTGCTTTGCCTGAAAGTTCTGTCATTAAAATTGTCCATATTGCATTTATTCAATATTTCTATTTTTGGCTCAAAAATAACTTGAAAAGTGTAGAAAACATTAATTCTTACTCATTCTTACTATATTGTGGAACATTCAAGGCAAAGCAAAAACATCTTCATTGAGACAAGCAGGTGACAAACCCTCTAACAGATTTGTTTCACAGTGAAAACAGACATAGCACTTTTATTTTTTCATAGTGGATACCTTGAATGTTTAGGTCATGTTTTTCTAGCAGAGACCTTAATTCATGCTTCAGCTAATCCCATACACTGCCATCCAATCTACAGTCCATGTACAATTACAAAGTACACAGAGTTGTACTTGTTCTTCAGTTACAAGTCTATAACATTTTAAAATACAGTCAAATCAATTTGAATTATGTTGCTTCTAACATTTATTTAAGGCTGATAATACCTGTTTTATCTGTGAGTCACTGCCAGCACAAAAAAATAAAAATAAAAAAGTCTTATCTCGTTTGATTACAGAAACCACACAGAATGGCCTTGTACATATATTTTTGATGAGAAATAAATAGACAGAGATATCCACTTTAAACATTTTATTACAGACAAAAGAAAACTAAAGAATTTGTGACACAAAATGAATTTAATGCTGGTGCACTGTTTTTGCACCAACTGCAATTTCTGGAAAAATATTGATTAATCTAGTTGCAATGTTGCATAATAATAATAATAATAATAATAATAATAATAATAATAATAATAATAATAATAATAATAATAATAATGCACCCTGATTAACTTAAGCCAAAATGTTACTTCATTTCATAAATACTGTATGTGGAACCAATTTAAATAGATTGACCATATTTTAAAACAATATATTTAACAAAACGAAAAAGGGATTTCTTAGACTTTACAAATTAAAAAGAACATTTGGCAGGTTTATACACAAACTTGAAATATCTGCTCTCCAATCACTCTCTTTTCAAAATCAAATCCTGCTACAGTGAAAAATAACAAAACAAAAATATTTAAAAAATGCTGTCACAAAAATGAGAAATATGAGTTCAACACAACTCTAAAACACCTAATAAAACTAGTCAAAAACTTTAAAACCCACGTTATTTTTTTTTTTCTTTAGTAACATTTCACATTTAGCAACTTATTTTATTCACCTGTACAAGTGAGGGAACTAACGGGGAAGTGGGCGGGGTCATTGAGGTTGAGGAGGGCGGGGCCTAAAGGAGAGGTTTGAACTTTGACCTCCGCAGTTCAGTGAAGTCCTGAGGTCACGTGATGAGAAAGGACTCTTATTTTGGAGCCGCCTCTCTCAAACTTTTTGCAGTTTCTCTTGTCTTTTATTTTGAAGAGAAACCATCATCAGTGAACACAGTTTTCAATTTAGTGTGTGTATATTCCCTCACTGAATCCGCCGGCACAAAACCACATCAACAAAAAGAGAATTTAAAATGAATTAAAGCAAGGGATTTAGCTAAGTACACACATAAGCAGGATCCATTTGGTGATATTTACACTCTGTGAGGAAAACATGAGTCCTTATAGGAGATGACTTGTCCTGTGCATTGGTGACTAGATAATCGGACAATTCGAAGCTTACTCACCCCAGCAGAGGTAACAAAATTTTACTTTCTTACATTGCATTTGCTCTGAGCATCTCCCCAAAGAGGGCAGTCCATGGCAAAATCGAGCGCTGGAGTGAACCGCAGAAAAAATGTCTCTTAAAAAATTCAAAATCGAATGAGAAGACATTTTTGGTCTTCATTTCCAGTATGTTGGCATGAGCTTTGAGCCCTCTGCCCTGGCAAAAACAGCAGAGTTCATTGATAAGTAAAATCCAAAATAAAAAACTGAAGCGAAAGAGAAGTGCCCCAGGCGTCTGGCCGATCTAAGTGCTTGGCAATAGGTGAAGGTACTGTAGCAGTCTTTGGGACCTGTTGAATCCACAAGGAAGAAAAAACACAGAGAAACAAAATGGTGTCGAGGCCGGTGATGTTGGAAAGCTCCCTGGAGTCAGACTTTTGGAGGTTTTTCAAATTCAAGTGAGGTAGAGAGGCTTGTCCCGGGCGCCCATGCCACTGCTGCAACACAGAGGACAGGGTCAGGAGAGAGATAGCACATGGTTTAAACAAGCAAGAAGAAGAAAAAAGAAAAAATGTGTCATATATCTGATTACTGATATATGGCTTTTGACTGTGTTTATGTGCACATCAAAAATCTGATTATCTCATTTTTAAAATGTCATGTAAACGGTAACATTTGATGTGAGTAATCTGCTTTCTTCTGATCACACCTGAAGGTTTTGAGAAGTGCAAAAAATGAATGAGAAAATGTTAAAGATGGAGTGGTTTTAAAATTCACAAATTCTTTTTCCAAATACAACAGTTGCACTAAAACTCATTCGCTTAACTGAGACATCACCTGATGTTTTTTATGATCAGGCTTATTTTGTGCATATATTATACTATATTTAGTGGAGAAGAGGTTGAGTGTTGGATAAAAATGTTATTGTTTCTTATTAAAATTGATGCTGTGTACCATAGTCAGTTCAAGAGCTCAAAATTGATACATTTTTATTTTGGATATTCCTTCCAATGTTATCAGCAAGGAAAATAACCAATTACCAACTACAAATGGAAGAAAACAGAAATCAACAACTAGCAGAATTTCAGAAAAGTGTTAAAATATTAGAAATAAATCCACCAAAGGAGGGCAAAAATATTAACTTTCTTTGGTCTAACTCAACTTCATAGAAAGAAAATGTTGCTTTTCTGCAAATGTTCAAGTAAATAGTACATATCAGTGACATTAGCAAATCAACTGATGTTTGGCTCCAAAAGCTGCAAAACAAACTTGAAAGCCCTGCACAAAACAACAGGCATCAATCGCCCCCCGGATTCACAAAATACGAAAGTCAAAATTTGCAGATGACTTGATTTTTGAAATGCCAAACGTGAAGTGTGTTCCGTGCTTATCGGTACTGACATGAGAGCAGCATCACCAAATACACAGTGATAGCACTTGGAAGAAGAGATTTAAGCAAAACCTCAATCTTGTTCTAACGCCTCAAAATGTGACGCGACCCAGGTGCGATCCCATTTGACATGAATCAGCTCTAAATACAGTCGACAGTGTTTGTGAGACTTCTCAGAATAGCTACAACTGCCTCTGTAGCAACTCTGTTTTGATTCAATAAGGGCAAATGTACTGAGAGAAACACAGGGACTTAATTGGATGTCACACTTTTACCAAGTGCTGTAATAGCATTGTTCTCCTCGTGCATTACTCATTTCAATTTCAAGGAGATGCTCTGCAAGAGCTTCAGTCGGCAAATCGCAGTTTATGATTAATACAGTCTCCGTGAGTACAAGTGTAGCGGTCTACAGTGACTTATTGGGATATTAGGCAGCTACTCCATGTTCACACCAGTTATTTGTCCAGAGGTGGATTTAAGAGGTCAATATGGACAGATGATATAAAAACAATACTTCTAAATACTGCTTAGTAATGATTAAAGAGTGCATTTCAGGGGCTGGATGAGGCTCAACTTTTATAAGAAGAGGTACGACAATAGATTGGGTCCACAAACTGAAATTTTGAGACAATTTATAATACATTATTTTTGCTGTTCAGTTAATAGTTATGGTATTTTTTGTTTCAATTTATCCAATCTTATGCTTTCATTGCAGCCCCGCTTTTAACAACAGCTTTTGAAGGAGTGTCACTCAGCAGCATCATTTAAAATAACTACATAAACTACTGGCTTAACCACTTAGATTTTATTGTACATTGTCTAAAGTATACACATTAGTCAGGTTAATCTCACCCGCAGTGGTTAGGCCCACAGTCCCTGTTGCAGTACTCTCCGTCCCAGTCCGGGTTTGGTCCATGTCCGGAGGTGGGGGCTCCTGGAGACTGGGATCCGCCCACACTGTTCTGGTAATCCGGAGGCAGGTGAGAGAATCCCTTTGAAAAGACAAGAGAGGAGACTCCATACATAAAGATAGAAAACTCCAAGTGTCCAATAGAGTTGAACAGTTTCAGTTTTATTTTCAGTGAACACAGTGAAACACATTTAAAAGTGTTTAAGTCAATGTTTTTGTATTGTATGTTGATTGCATGTAAGAGTTCACTGGGTCCAAATTGGCACAGTGTAGCTTTAATCCTACACATAAACATAAAGAGAGATGAGTCATGTTGTACTGCAGTGTGCACTGACCTGCTGACTGAGGGGGGGCGAGTGCAGGGGTGGCTGCAGACCCATTTGGTGCGAGATGATTGGCTGTGACTGCTGCATCCGGATTGGCTGGTTGAGCAGGGAGCTCTGGTGCAGGGAGAGCTGGGCGTGGGGGTGCAGCGGCGGGCTGATCTGGAAGGAGGTGGGGGGAGAGGCACTCATGCTGGGGGGGAGCATCTGAGACTGGCTGAGGGCGGGGGCCAGGCTGTGGCGCGGCCCGTAGCTCTGCAGCTCTGACAGGGGGAAGGAGCCCGGAGGTCCCAGGTATGGAGAGGAGGGCTGAGGGGGCACGCTGTACAGGGGCTGCTTTGGGGGCAACAGGTGGGACGACTGGCTCGTCTGCTGGGCACTTTTTGGTTCTGGGTCATTATAAGTCTGTGGAGAAAAGACATTGCTTTAAGACTCTAATTTGACACCTTTAACACTTCAGTTTCAGCCTCCTGTTACTTGTGAACGTTTGAGGGCTTTTTCCCATTCTAAAGATATAATAATTTGTATTCAGTTGTTAATCACTGCGGCAACACTCCTACATTTTTATAATTGTGACACCCATGGATAGTAGATTGTACCCCCTAATGTTACCCAATTATTAACCAGATGAGCACCAGTGGCTTGCAGCAAAAATAACAAATCTGAACTTGTTACATACATGTAGAATAACTGTGTCTTTCTGGTCACACACAATCAAAAACCCACCGACACAAACTAGGCCAGGCAGTTTTCTCTACACTTGAGAACTCAAAAAGCCATTTTGGTACATGAAAAGAAAAGTTCAATTCGCTTCTGTCAGCTCCGTCAAAGAGAGACCACCATTAAGTGCATGTACTTCATAATTACACAGTCAAAGAATCTGGATTTTTAAAAGCTTTTAACTTTTGAACCCACTTGATCCAACTTTCTTATCACCGTCTATCTTAATAACTACACTCTGCACTTTTCTGAAGAGGAATCAATTTTACAGCCCAAATCATAAATGACAGAAATTTGTAGAGCATTGGTTTCATGTATTCTCTATTTGGCCTTGACTTTGCCATTCATTTGGGTTCAGTATGTTTCATTTCATATCTGCGGCATTATTAACATCTGTCCAATACAGTTTTAACAGCGCGGTGATACCCAGAGAAGTCAACAGCAGATCCTCCCTCTGTAATGAGACAATCTACTTCATTTTCACTAAATCCATGTCTAGCAGCTTCAATTGGATTCATTTTCTCAAGATGACACATGGATGGGACTGGTCTAGTTACAGAATATTCACAGCCAAACTGCTTGTATGTTTGGAATTTATTTTACAGTAGTTATTTTAAATTTATATAGATTTTATTTCAGTTTTTATTGTAATTCAGCCCTCAAATACAAGTTCAATCAGGCACACATGTTCTGGTCCATAGCACTGTAGATATCTGCATTATAAACTAGAAAAGCACTCAGAGAGCGCAGACCTCCGCCAAGGACTACCCCCATTTTTTATATAAATTGCGATAAAATCAGTCTTCTGGATCAGATCCGGATCAGCCTTTGGAATATGAAAGAGGATCCCATTGTCCATCCCTGAGTCAAATTTCATGGGGTTTGGTCAATAATTAACCGAGATATTGAGAAACAAAATTTTTGGCCCCATTTACCACAATGTTAACTAAAATTTCAAAGTGATCCAGAATCCAGGATTTCTTCCGGATCACCCCCAAAATGAAATCAGTTCTTCCTTTTCACATTTCCAAACAGACAAACGCCGGCAAAAACATAACCTCCTTGGCGGAGGTAATAAATTTGATTTTATATGTAAATGATATGGCCAACCACACATACACTCACAGGTGATGTGCTTTTCTCAGCCTATGACAACATGACCTCTTTGTTCTTTCAAGCAGTTATTACAACTGCCTAACTCATCATCATCAATTTAAAGATGCACTATGTAACTTTTCTGGTAGAGGGGCTGTCACCTGGTTGACTCTATGAAGAGAAAACACATGTTGCACCTCCATATAATCAGGTTAAGTTGCTGGTCAGATATGTAGTGGCGACACCGCTCACACCAAGAATGCATTTTATTCAGGGTATTTCTTCAGCAATATAAGTTTAATGCCATACTGTGGAACATTCCAGGCCCAGTAATAACATGTTCTTTGAGACAAGGAGGTGATTTCTGAGTCTAGAAACTGATTCTGTCATACTCTTCTCTACTGAGTGCAATGTTTTATATATTCAGGGTAAATTCATTAGTGTTGAACTTAATCATTTCTAGAAGTGACTACACTCCAAAATTTTGTAATATAACAATATTCATATTAACTACCCCATCTGTATTAAATATTATTGGACTTGTGTTGTGATGTAATCTGAAACCCAGCAATTCTTCTGCGTTCCCCTCCGAGCTGTCAGAGCGCTCATCTCCAACCATCAGTGTTGATTAGGCAGTAATGGAGCACATTTGTATGAATAGGAGTGGGGCTGGGGCCATGATCAATCGCACCTTGACAGATAGATAGGAGAAGACCATAAATGCTCTCACATCTAAGCAGCAGTGCAGAGAAATGAGGCTGTTTGCGGCAGAACAAATGGAATGACAAAAGAGATCTTCCCCGCACCTCACAGTCTGCAGGTAATACAAGACGGCACTAAACAATGCAATCTGTGGCCCTCCTCTGCTCAACATGGGGCTGTGCTGGTGTCTAAGGCCATGTGTTGAGGTGGGACAAAACTCAAGTCTACTGAAATCAGGGAGAAACGTGAAAGGAACCTAAGTTCAAAATAAGATGCAATAGGAAATTTGGCATTGGCATTTGACTGGGCAGATGGTTGTAGAAAACAGAAGACTTTGCAAGTTAGGTGCAAAAGATTGTTAGGAGAAAACTAGACAGGTATACTATGTAAAAGTCCGACGAGGTTCAATCAGGTATGAAAAACAAACTCTTGGTCTGAAAAAAGAACCTAATAACACATACTATGTAAATGTATGCTTCCTGCTTGTCTCTATGGAAATGTTATAGATTTGACCGGACTGATCCTTGCATCTCAGTCTCTATCTTGCATTCATTTAAGCTACAGGTGTTTTATTGATAAAATAAAAATGCTCTCGTCTGCTTGCCTCCACTGAGTCAAGCAGACAAGACTCTCCACTAGGGGTACCTCCCATTTTTAACCTGTATGCTGGCATGTTAATAATATACTGTACACAAGTCACAGAAGTGGACAAATGCACCTTGCCATGATGCATATCTCCATATGTTGTGTGTGTAAAGTCTACTAACAGTAAAACATATTTTAGATTTGAGAGCTTTGGTGTGGATCTTATGGCAATGTTATGACTCATGTAGCACATGAAAAGCACATACAGTCATAGTCCATAGAGTCCATAGTTTTGCACTGGTCATAAATGCTATGCACTTGCAGTCTTCTTGTGTATCTGACCCCTCCCCCAGCCTATATCACCACCTATACATCCCCAGCCCCCAGCACACATCTGCAGTCTATGGAAATCAGGTATTGTTCCAAATATGGACAAGCCCTTTAGCATGGCACCCCCACCCCTTTTAAGACCAAGCCCCGCCCATCCTATTAGATGGGATTTTCCATCCAATCAATCATCAGTTTTAGCCCTGTGTCATAGACGTTACCTTGGAAACCAGACTGGCTCGGTACGCGGCCAGTGCTTTCAGGTACTCCTTCTTGGCAGCCTCTGTTTTCCTCTTGTAGCCCTGAGAAGAGAGGAGAGAAGAAATCAAAATATGAGACTGAGGAGCAGGCAGAGGTCAACATGTAGGGCTATGTTTTGATCCTGAATGAATAGTTACAGTAGCAAGTAGGGATGGTCCAATATGGATTATTTTGAGCAGATACAGATATCCAATATTTGTCTCGCTGCTGTGGCCTGTAACCCATACCAATATATAAAGATTTTAATATCCATGCAAGGTTAAGTTATAGTAACACCATAAATTAACATTTCATTAAAAAACAACAAAATTAATTTATCTGAGATACAAAGTAATTTGTTACAAGAATAGGTAAACATACAGTCATATTTTAAGCTAAATCATTTTATTATTGTTCCACAATATGTTGCTCAACCCTAGTATGAAATCTTACAACAATACAAAGTGAACAAAAATAAAATAGAAATACAAAACCAGACAATGACACTTAATTGTGGTAATTTAACAGTCACATTTAGGTGGTTTTGTGCTCTTGTACTAAAAATACCAGAAATTGTCTTGCTTGTATATAAAGGCCTACACCAAAGCATGCACTAGACTACAGGAAAGAGTGAAATGTCTTGCTCAATGACATAACACTAGTGTACTGCTGATAACAGGAATCAAACCACTCTGCAAAAATGTATCAACTGAACCATGTAAGATTTCAGTTGCATAATGATTTAGAAAAAAACCCTAAAAGAAGTCGGCCCATTTTTTTATTTGATGATGACTGACAGCTCTTACATTTGCGCTGATTAAATGAAGGACAGTTCTCTTTGTTTCTCTTTCTGTTAGCCTGATGGCATTGACACTTGAATAACCACACTATAGTAGTTGTCATATCCATATTAGGTAATGGCCTCCACCATCTGTCTATCTTTGATGCTGTTTGGTTGAAAATGACCTTGTTGTTAGGGACATGAATACATCACTGAAAAAGGTTTATAATGGGTGCTCACAATACAAAAGGTATATTGGTGAATGCATTTGCTTTTAGATGTTTTGCTGCAGGAAAATCTATATTCTTACAATGATAATAACAGTAAGTGCAGAGTTTTTACATAATCCTTCATATTTATAGCACAATATATTGAAGCTGTGAATGACTTTCCAAGAACTGACATAAGATTATTATTGTGAATAGATACTGTATTGGAATAAGTTGTAATTGAATATGCCTGGATGCTTCTCGGTGTGAACAAACTCTATAGCTCTAAACAGACTCTTGTCAAATATTATGAACCAGTAATGTAATGTTGGACCAGGGGTGTAGTAAGGGTTACTGAGATTTTCGAAAATAATAAAAGGCAAAATATCTGGTTAATACCATTTAATTTAAGACTTTGTTATTATTTGATCAAATTTCATAAACATAAATTAAATTAACTCAAATATCTTGAAATGATCACATCACCCAGCTTTGTGGCTTATGATCAGTCCCACTTTTGAAACCACTGGCATAGACCAACAGCTTTAAACTATATGTATTTTGTTCATGTTTTCAATTCATTCAAAGTATATAGCATGTTTAAGTTCACAATTGGCTTCAACAGGGAAAAATAGTCAATTAACACATTTCAACGTCCCTCTTATACTGTTTAAACTAAAACTTCCCTTTCCCAGCCTCATTCACAACATTATCTTACTAAATAAACTTGTTACTTCTATACAATAAACTGTATGTGTTGTCCAACAGCCAATTAGCTTCAGGCAAACCGTCCGACCATCGCTATCTCATTATTTAAGATTTCCCACTATAGCTGCCAGTCAACACTGTATGTATAGGGTATACTATGAAATAAGAGCTAAAACAATAGAGTGATGATCTTGGAGAGCTGAGATGCCCTTGAGCTTAATCCAAGGACGAGAAGCGGACTGGGGGCAGAGCTCATTCAGTATTCCACGCAGGATCAAAATAGAAAAGATATTATACTATTATATACAGGGGTTGTTGTGAAGGGTCAATGGAAATGGTTTAGATACTGTCAGTTGGAACAGCAGGTATGGATAAGTTTGAGTTTGGCAAAGATTAACATTGCTTTAAGAAAGTTTAAATATAACTAAAATCTTACAGGGGCCAAGTTTACATGCTCAAAAAAACCCCCGAATAAACTGTTAATGATATTTCTATTCTATATGAGATAGATGTTAGATAATTCAGGTGCACTACGTAACTTTTCTGATGCAAAGTCCAGCACCTGGTTGCCTCCATGGAGATGTTGTTGCTTTGACTGGGATGTTCCACTGTGGCATTAAATGTATCTTGCATCTATTCCATTACAGATGTTTTGCTAAGAATACCTTACAAAACCTGCTTGCCTCTTCACAGATCTGACCAGTAACTCGGCCTGGTGGTGTTGCCTATAGTATCTCAATGGAGGATTAGTATTATTATATTAGTAATTAGAACTAGAAGAAATGGTATCCCTTCTCCTATGTTAATCAGTTCATGTCTTAAAAAGAATACGCTCTAAAACTTAAGTAAAAGGAAATATTTAGAGTTGATTTAGGAGTCAAATTGGGATCCAGGAAAATAACAACAGAAATCAAGATTCATTAAGCAAGTTTGCATATTTTGTTTGCTACAATATTTACCAACTGTCAGCACCATCAGTTTTGCCATTATTCTTGTTTATTCAGTGCGATAATCTCCGATAGTTTTAGAGCCGGCTCCACATCTCTCTCTCCCACACCTTTCCCCACCTTACCATCCGCTCGAATTAAATTTAGACAGAAAATGATTTTAATGAGAGCCCAGGGATTGGGGATAAACGGACAGATTATCCAGAAGAGAAGGAGCTCATTAAAGTGAACAGTATCTCACATACATTTCACAGCACATAAAGCACAGAACAGGCCGCTCCAACACAAGCGCCACCTACGGGCCAGAATGTGCATTTATTTTATCATATTGGGGAAGAATTTGAATACATCATAGACTTGTACTTAAAAGGGCCCATATTATGATGTTTCTTTTAGGTTTTATATAGTTGTTTCCTGAACAACAAAAAAAAAGTGTTTTGTTTTGTTTCATTCACACGTTTAACACAGAAACCCTGCATATTTAGGCTCTGTTCTTCTCTCAAACAGATAACACCCTGTTCCACTTTGTGATGTTTTGTGGTAACACAGGAAGTGCTCCATTATGTCTTTAAACTCCACACACCTCCACTTGAATAATTAAAATTGCCAATCTTTACTGAACTAGAGGTAAAAGGTAGCTGATAACTTGGAAAAAAAACAAAACAAAAAAAACCCAAACAAAACAAACAAAAAATGCTTCATGACATCACAAGATGAAACAGTGGAGCAATTTAAGCTTTGGACATGTGGACAGATTAATAAAAAAGAGTTACTCAAAAATGTGTGAATGAAACAAAACACAACTCCAGGTATGTTTTCGAGGAGGTAACTTATACAATTTGGTTGACTATACTGAATGAATTATAGACTAAGTTTGCATAGCATTAAGGTCACAAACACTAAGCCACTAAAAAACTATTTCTTTGCAAATATACCACTGCTCCTTACACAATGAAACAACATAAAAAAGAGCTAACAAATGCAGAGCAGTAGAGGTACTTTGAGGTAATGCATCTTGAATCCTTTGTATCCACTCGGGACTACACCCCTCTTATTGTCTTTATCCTCCGATCCATCATACCTGCTTCTGCTCCTCCCCGAGGCTGTCCCACATGGACGCCACAATCTTGGACACGTCTCCGAAGGTGGCGTTGGGGTTCTGTCCCTTGATGGCAGCCTGAGTGTCCCTGAAGAAGAGTGCGTAAGCAGACACCGGCTTCTGCGGCTCATTCGGGTCTTTCTTCTTCTTCTTCTTCTGAGGTTTGGGCTTGGGCTTCATCATGTCCGCGGCACCCCTCTTCTCACTATTTATCTAAAATACAAGTACAAGATACACAATATTTAGAGCTTTTGAACACATAATATAAACACCTATGTGTACTCCATGTTTATGATTGATGAAACAGTGTAATCCCTCAATTGCCCAGGAGTGATTTCAACCCTGTACTTAGACTATTGTACTCAAGTTAGTTCTATCAATTTAAAATAACTTCTGGATGTGAGTCCTAACATCTTGATTGCATCAACAGAGTCCAGACAACCACCGGTGACACCTTCTCTACACTGAGATTCAACTGCATTAAAAAACAAAACGCCACTGTGCATAAAAATGTCTCATCGAAAAGCACATAAACTTTTGACATAGTTTTTGTGTAGATGTGTGTTTGATGAGGGCCCAACAGGTTGTAGCTAAGGGCTCCTGGCTGGTCTGCTACATCTGATAGGTGACCCCACCAGCAGTAAAGGATGAGTCAAGTGTAGATTTGTAAAAGCTTTTGTAAACCTTTTCACGCAAAGCTTACTATAGAACCTGTGTACATACAACAGTGTACAATATGCAGTACTTGGAAGTAACTAAAATTGATTTTAGAATACAAATTTTGAGAAACTACATTCTGAATTCTGATTTGGAGCATGAAGTACAGAGTATAAAGTTTCATTTGGTGGTATTCAGAACACTTTCTCTCCCCTTAAAATCAAAGACACACTGCAGTATTTGAAAATCTGGCTTTGAACAGAATTTTTTCATGACAACAAAAAAAAAAGTGTTTTTTTTGTTATAAATAAATGCAAAACACAAAGCTGTTTTAATGTTATGTTAAGTTTTGCACTGTAGTATATGTGACTTTTACTTACTTAATATAAAGTACTCTTTCAAAATACATTTTAATGCAGGTATTCAGAATTCTGTAACCAAAAACACTGTCAAAGTATTTTTCCCAACACTGACAGTGTGAATGAATGAACTGTATGTAGACACTAAAACTACCTGATCTATAAAAAACTGAACAATCTAAAGAACTATAATCTACAAATGCTATTTTTTTTATCCCCACTCTGAAATCCAGTCTTTATTTTCCCTCCTTTTTGTAGATCACAACCAAATCATCTCCACTTCTCAGAGATACTGTCAAATAGGATTCAATCTGTGCTCTTTTTTCATAAGATGCACCCAACTTGGTTTGTCAACAATAACGCACAGCAATCTCAGTACATTTTCAGAAAAGCCAAACTACGTTATGCTCAACATCCAACACACACAAATAGGTTTTCATTTTTCCGCGACAGAGTCAATTCCCGGTCACCTGATCCTGGTTGTGATTCTATATGGAAATTGCCTTCTTTGCCGAGGAGAGAGGGCATCAAGGGAGAAATAGAGTGAGGAGGAAAACGTGAGGGGAGGGGCAGATAAGCAGCCAGAGCAGAAGAAGGGATGTTGATGTAGCTATTAGCATCCGCGCAACATCATTTAACCTGATTTCATGGCTGCTAGAATTGCACCAAAAACAATCCAATTTCCACCCTTATAGACGGCCCTAATAGAAAATATAATGACATAGTAAATATACAGTGATGTACAGGGGGTAGGTGGGATGTTTACGGAAAACATTTACGGTTAAAAGGTTATGCAAATGTCGAGAAGAGTATGGAGAATGAGCTCAAATGTGTTAAACTTAAAGGGCAAGTTTTGTATTTCAAAAGGATGTATGCAGGACTTGGAACTGAAATTACCTTGGTAGATATCAAATCTGAAATAAAGTTTGATGAAAAAAATGATCCTATATTACACAAAATTTACTTTTGTGAGCTTTAACCCATGTTAGAATTCTGTTATCTCTTCAAAAGCATACTTGGAGTTGTGTTTTGTTTCATTCACACACACATATTTGGGTAATCTTTTAGTATTAGTCTGTTTCCAAAGTTCAAAATGCTCTGTTCCACCTTGTGATGTCATGAAGCTGTAGTTTTCTTGGCACTTGGACCTTGATATTCAAAACAAAATACTACAGAATGGAGACAGTTCCTCAAAACGTCACATTAATGGATTTTAGTTTTGTGGTTGCAAACTAATGCAACATATTGAGGATTTTTACCAACTGAAAAGATATAATATTTAGTTTTACATAGGTAATCGCTATGGCAATTGTCCTAATTTCTCATCATTCTGAAACCCATGGATAACAGGTAAGTGAAACCAACCAGTCAGTAATAATAAAAAGCATATATGTATAAATGTCATGACATGATTTGTTTTATTGGTATCAAATCCTTGTTTTTATTCTATTTTTTTACTTATAGTGTCATCAGTTTCAGTAATGTTACTTTACTTACTTTTTTGTCCCCATGTAAAAATTCAAACAGCAACTTCCCAACATTTAAAGACACATCCGTCTAATGCATACTCATGAAGCATTACGGCCTGACTATTCCCAACCCTTTATTGTCAATATGAAAAAACAAGAAATTACTGCCTTTGAAAATTGCATTGTTTCTGTAAATGACAAACTGTATTGCCACGCAGCATGAAATGAACTAATCAAAATTCAAGGTCCACAAGCACGTTTGGCAGCTAAGGGAGAACTTCAAAATGGCTATTGTGTTGTGGTAAAATTGAGCCAATGTTTCTATTCACTGTGATGAGAGAGCGTGGCTTGTCATTGCGAGGCTTACAGGTAGTGTTCATTCTGTGTGTGCGCTTTCATTAAAAAATAATCACCCTTCACGTTTGGAGCAGTGAGCAAGAGGACAGGCGTTCAGGCATCTGTTCCTCCCAGTGCTTTGAAGAGGGAATAGAATCAAGTCCAGATAATATGACAGTGAAATGATAACTTGTAAAAACACAGAGAAATAATATAATCTGAAAAGAAAATTGAACAGTATTTGAACAGGCAATTGACAGAGCAATAAAAATGCTGTAACTTTTCTGCTTGATGGGCTGCCACCTTGTCGTCATGGAGATATATTTGTGATGCATGCAATGTTCAACAGTATGGCATTAAAATGGGAGTCAAGCAGATGATGCAACCAAGACAAGTTAAAGTTAAAGCATTATTATTTTTTTTGCAATAAAAACACTTGCAATTGTATAAATATAAGCCAGTGCAAACATTCAAGGCAAAGCAAGAACATCTCCATGGAGACAAGCAGGTAGCACCAGAAAAAGTAGCATACTGCACCTTTAAGTAGAGAAATACATTTTTCTTTTTAGAGTCAAGTTTCTACAGAGCTCTGGAAGTGACATGGAGAGGTAAAAAAAAAAAAAAGTTCCACTACACGATACAACAATAATGTCAAACTTTTTTGGAATCTTGCTAAAGTTTCTTGAATTTTATTTTTTATTCCTCCTACTTCTCTTTTGGAACTCAGTGGCAGCAACTCCAAATATCAATAAAACAAAAAATTATAGTACAGCATTATACTAGAATTATCCTACACAACTTGGACAAAATATGAAGCAATTCTTGATTACCATTACTATAAAAATGCTAAAAATTCTATGAAGGTTAAGCAAGTGTCCTCTCTATGCCTTAGTGCAGGCTTGTCCAAACTGTGGCCCGTGGGCCAAATGCAGCCCTCAGACAAATTTTTCTTAGCCCTCAGGCTTCCAGGTGAATTGGCCCAAATTACCTTGCATCAATTAAAAATTAACTTTTTACGGCAAGTTTTTTGAAAATCTCCCTTGATAAAGCTAATATTTAATATATAGTGTGTGGTTTTAAGGATCTTAGCATGAATAAAGACTTTTTGTAACGTGTTAAACATGCACATATTTCAATTATTCACTGTATTGAGCACCAGTCTACGACCCTTGATCAGCCCTCTGCTTTGTCTGTGTTTAGATATGTGGCCCTTGATGAAAAAAGTTTGGACACCCCTGCCTTAGTACAACGAGTACAAACATTTTTTTCTGTCAACTGGACAAAACTTTTGTCCAGTTTTTGTCCAATGGATTCTACCTGGACGACTGACGGATTACACAGAAAAAAAAATTACACATTATCACAATACATAATAATTGAAATATCATCAATGAAGGCTTATATAGAGAATTTTCACAAAAAAGTGTATTATTGACCAAAATCAGAAATTATACTTTTTGACATTTTAATTGCATTATGGATGCTGCTGCTTTTGTTTGTTAGTAGTTTTTAGAGTCTATACAGTCCCAATAACAAATACAATTATTAGACAATTAATCATTTCAGCCCTACTCCAAACCTTCTATAACCTTCATTAGATCATTTTATTTTATTTCTTGCTTTTTCTATCAGAGTCATTTGTCACAAGTGCCTATTGCCTCAGCAAAGTACACAGTGACAATATTAACAGTTACTCACAGCACACAACACTTGGAGACACACACTTCCCTTCCCCATTCTTCGCTGTCCTTTATTGCTGCTTGTAGTACTTCCTCTTTATGGCATAGGCTCATACTTTGACCCATCAGCGCTTAGAGAAAACCTTTTTGTTTTTATGGCCCATTCAAACCACACTGCACTTCGCTCTTCAATGCAGATGATGATGATGCATAAATTCTCCCTGATTGGATGTACACTTTTATTGTCTTCCTGTAATATTCCCAAACATTTTATTGTGTTATTTCCGTGTCTCTAAACTCCACACACTTCACCCTCTTTATCTGCTCGACTTCTTCTCCTCCGTGTTTTTTTTTAATGGTGACACAGTTATCAGAGTGTCAATCCTAATCTTGTCTTCCCAGTGCAGCGATGTACATTAAGAATAACAACATCTCTCTATCTCTAACTCTCTCTCTCACTTTCTTTTTATTCCCCCTTTCTAACACACCTCTTTCTCCTCTTCCCCACTCTCTCTATCGCTGCGTTTTTGCTCTTTATTTTTTCCTCTCCGTTTCTTTCTCCTCCACCCCCCCGCCTTTACCACTTTCACCCTCGTTTCTCTGTCTTTCTCACTCGCTCTTCCTCTCTGCACCTATCTCTCTCTTCTCCTCTCTCTCTCTTTTATCAAATCTCTCCCCCTCTTTCTCTCCTCTCTCTCCCACTCTCTTTCATC